CAAGCAAATCGGGATGAATGCTCAATAAACAGGTCATCGGGAGGCTCCCTGCATAGACGAGCGTGATTCTGTACAAGCACATACACTGCTGCATGCAGCCTGCAGACATACTGTCTTTGTGATAAGCAGTAGGCACTGCAAGCGGATTTCTTTATAAGACTTATACCCACATGCCATTATTTTTCTTAGTATGAGTCATTCAAGAGGTCTGGGGAAGAACAAGGAGCTGAATGTCCTGAACTGATTGCTCCCCGTCTCTTGCTTCTTGCTCAAAAACAATGCTACTGGCAATACCTTTTTCCTGTTATCCATAAATAGCAAAGTGCTTTGCTGAGAAGGCACTGTAATTAAACCCATTGTACAGCTAGGGAAGTGGTATAGGGGGAGGGCTTACCCACGTCACCCTCAGAAAAGGAGCCAAGGCAGTCCTACCTTTCTGACCAGCCAGACTCTGGCATAATCCACGTCTGCACCATGCCATCATTAGACCATGTCTGCCACAGAGCCGCAGTGCCCCCGAAATCCTGAAACTAGGCAGAATGCACCGTGTCACCACTAGACAACAATGTCCACCACAGGACCACAATGCCCCCCCTCCCCGAAGCATGAAAACAAGTCCAACTGGTTTGGATATTGGGCATGTGGCTTCACTTTCATGCAGTGTGGAGCTGGGAACGCTCACCAAAGATTTCTGCAAAAGCTGATTCATCTGAAGGCTGCTCGACCCCACTTTACAGGGTAATTCATTCCACACACATACCCGACATGCTTTCTTTCCTCCCCGCCAAGGCTAGCTGTGGTGCTTCATGTTCTCTCCCATGGCCCCGGCTAGCACTCTCTGTCCACAGGAATGTGCCAGGGATGGGGAATGATCCTCCCCTGCAGAGCTGTGGGAATGGCTGGCAGCCTCATCATTTTAGTAAAAAATTCAAGGTGGGGGAAAATGGTTGCCTATAAGCAGCTCAGGCTTCGCAGCCCTTTCTAAGGCTGTGGCACACAAGACCCATGATCCTTGCACAAATCGGGCATGGCACTCTTTGGGAGGAATAGAAAGTTTGTTCCTGTCTTTGTCAATGGCAAAGTTCTCACTGACTTTGTCAAGGATGACCAGGCTCCTGCAAGGAATGCCTTGCTTGGCCTTTGTTTGTTGCTAGCTTATTCTAGGTCAGGTTAACCTCCTATTCTTCACATCCTCCAATTAGTCCTAATATTGTTGGCTGGCTCTAATAGCGGTTTAGCTTCCAGGCTGCTGCGAAGGTTGAGAAATGTATGCAGCAGGTATAAACAAGTGAGTGCTCTCCCAACTCTTCCTCTCTCAGCAGCTGGTGCTATACCAATAGACTGAGCACCACTTGCCTCCTTCCAAAGCATTTCCACTGATGAAATGGTCCACCAAACCTCAGGTCTACATGGCCTAGGCTCTTTCCCAATCCAGGATATTTATAAATAATCCCAATACTGCAACATCGAATGCTACTATTTATTTGCATTACCCTTCCTTGAAGGAATGAATTTTGGAAACAACGGTGCCCTGGAAAGAGATGGTGCTTAGTATTCATGCTGACCCCTTCCACACTCTGAGCATAAGCATTGTTGGAGGGAGTATGGGTGGGATTCGGCTAGCAAGTCCTGCTTGCAGAAGCCAGTGCACGGGCTCCTACTAGTGGAATGGGTTTTGCTCTCCCTTATCTCCCCACTGCAAGTTGGCATGGGAGAATCACCAGAACAGTGCACAAAGGGAGGAGCTGAAGCGTTTGCTTTGACAGAACAATTGCCATGTTTGCTACATTGAATTTCTCCCTATGGCTCTGACTCCCAGTGGCTGGAAATCACAGGTGGGGGAGGGTATTGTTGTGCCGCTCAGGTTCAACTTGCAGGCTTCCCATGGGCATCTGGTTGGCCACTGTGAGAACAGGATGCTAGACTAGATGCTAGACTGTGGAACGCTATCCCCAGGGAAGTTCGCCTGGCGCCTTCATTATACACCTTTAGGCGGCAGGCAAAAATGTTCCTTTTAAATCAGGCCTTTGGTTGACCTGATCAACATCACGTATCCTTTTAAAATGTGGCTCTTTGGGGGCGGTGTATTATTGGGTTATTACTTTTATTTTTATTTTATATACTGTGATCTTTTTATGTGAACCATCCTGAGACCTCCAAGTATAGAGTGGTATATAAATAATAATAAAAATAGATGGGCCTTTGGCCTGACCCAACAGGGTTCTGACTTTGCCGCTGTTGTGTGCCTCCTTTCTCTGTCCTGGTATGCTATACGGATTCAGCCAGATGGAGGTCAGGTGAGCGGTACAGACCTACCACACCATCCACTGCTGCCTAAACAGTTTGAGGATGTGCTTGCCAGTGCTTGGAAATTGGCAAAGGAGGCAATGCTCACTGGCATGCCTTTATGATCAGTTAGATAGAAAGGTTCAAGGCGCAGGGCCTTCTCAGTAGTGACCCCTTGTCCATCTCAGGGGATGTGCAGTTGGCCTCTTCAGTCTTGGTATTTCAATCTTGGTATTCAAAAAGAATTCAAATGCCTTTCTGTTCCAAGTGACTTGGGATTCTCAAATGTTGTAATTTTTGAAATGCTATAGTGTTTCCATTTTGTGCTTTGTGTTTTGCAACATTCATCCTGTTTATATTGTTGAACATTGCCTTGAGAAGACTTTGTCTGGAGAGGTGGCCTAAATGTGCCTAAAAACAAATAAGTAAATATAGACTGAATGTGAACATCATCAAAAATCAGTAGGACTTAACTTAAGAGACAATGCATTAAGAATGGGAGAAATCTAACATGTGAAAAAAGGTCACCCCATTTCCACTAAGATACACACTGTTCCCTTTATGCTCCCTTCAAACATTTCCTCACCCCTTGTTTTCTAGTTTGGTGTGCTCCTGTTTTGTAATTGGTCTAATTTCTTGAATTATTGAAGCCTATCACACAATGAGGGGCAATGACTGGGTAGAGGCTCAGACAGACCCATTCCCAAGTAAGGATGGGGGTGGAAATTCAATTCAGTTTGCATTTAAGGCCAGACCTACCTATTTCACATTTTCCGAAACAATATACGAACCGAAATACATCCAGCCTTCTCTGAATTTTGCAGTGCTATTCTCCAGTCAAATAAACACCTATCCTAAAGTGCACATAAAGATGCATCTCTTGGGAAAATAACATTTTATAAAAATGCTTTATCCTAGGGGATATTGCTTTGGAAGACAGTGCATATTAGGCAAAATCGCAGAGGAAAAATGTGTAGAGCAGGAGAGATTCGCTGATGAATTTTCACAAGGACTAATAATAAAGAAAAAACCTCAGCAAGCTCAAACTGATGTGGAAATGTAGAACCTAAGACTGGAAAAATGTGAAGGTGAGGGGGAAATGAAATTTACAGATTCAGCCATCCCTGTTCTCAGGTAACTAAAAATGCCAGCGTGTTTCCCCTATAGCGAAGCCGGCTCTTGCCAGATGGTTCCGCTTATCCCTGTGTGCTATCGGTGAATCCACGTCATCTTCTTCCCAACCTTGTTACCCAGGAACAGCCAACCTGTGGAGAAAAACCAGGGTCAGGAGGAGGGGCCAGAGGAGAAGAGACAACACGATCCGCAGGGGCCAGGCGACGGGAGGGGTTGTCTCGTTCCACTGAATGTCAGGGGAGGAAAGGAGAGGGAGGAGGAGGAGAAGGAAGGGGAGAGAGAGAAAAAAAGAAAAGCAACACTGTCTCTCTCTCTAAGCCACCTAGTAAACCGGCAAGCTGGTTACCGGCCAGGTCTTCAGGAAACCCCCTCATAAAAAGTAGGCAGAGCTGCTCGTTTATGGTGATGAGAGGCCGGGGAGTTTGCCTTTTACTTCTGGGATGAGCAATGCAGAGGCTCTGGGAAGGAGTCGTGGGGGGGGGGAGGAAAGAGAGAAGTGGAGCAACAGCAACAGCCAGTCTGGTATTGTCTTCGCACAGAGCTGTGCCGAAGTGGCAGAGGAGGGGTTAAAAAGGTGAAGGCCACAGGCCTGAGAGTGAGGAACAGAAAGAGGGAGGGGTGCGCGGAGTGAGTGTGCCTGAGTGTGTGCTTGCGGGAGAGAGAGAGAACAGAACATCCTGTACCTTCGAGCATTAAAAACGGCCCTGTGAGGGCGGTGGGGGTGGGTGCAGGAAGACAGGAGCTGTCTTTAGGGAATAGCTGCACAGAAGAAGTGGGAGGCCTCCGTCTGTGTGTATCGAAAGGGAGGCTGCCGGGCGGGGCGAGTTGGGAATGGCAGAGAGAGAGTGAGCAATGACCTCCGCAAGGTCAGCCCCCTCGCCTGCCACCGTCCAGGCCTCGGCCTGCAGCTAGAGCCACCGGAGGCCATTCCAGAAATGGGAACTTGGTCCCAGTGTGAGGGAAGGGCCACCAGTTGGTGGCAGAGCAGATGCATGCAGAAAGCCCCGTAGCCAGTCGCTGGCACCACTGTAGGGTGGGGCATGTGCCCTGTCTGAAATGCCAGAGAGCCACTGCCAGTCAGTGTTGACCAGGCGCATGGAGCCTTTTTTGGACAGGTACAGACACACTCTTTCTCTCTCTCACGTACACACATATTCCTCATTCGTTTCATTTATTATATTTCTGTGCAGCTTTTCACTCTCATGAACCACATAGCAGCATCCATACAACAAATAGCAAGAAGAAGAAGAGTTTGGATTTGCTATTCCGCTTTATCACTACCCGAAGGAGTCTCAAAGTGGCTCCCCCACAACAAACACTCTGTGAGGTGAGTGGGGCTGAGAGACTTCAAAGAAGCGTGACTGGCCCAAGGTCACCCAGCAGCTGCATGTGGAGGAGCGGAGACATGAACCTGGTTCACCAGATTACGAGTCTATTGCTCTTAACCACCACACCACACTGGCTCTCGTAATAGGACATCACAATCGCAACATAAATCATATAAAGTAACCAACAAATCGCCAGGAAAGCAATTGCAAATCATCAGTAAAACAACCAGCTCCTGTAAAACACTATTAACAAAACAACTGTAAAAAACAGGCTAGACAACCACAAGAAAAGTCATATTATGAAACTTGCAAAGCATTATGGCACTAAACAACATTAACAACCCAAAACCAAAAGCACTGTTGAATTCACTCTCTCTCTCTCCAAACCCCCATGACTCGCAGCTCCTCCCTCCCTATCTTCTGTCTAGGCAAGTGAGAAGTGGCTGGCCAAGGGCACAGTCCAGCCTGGCAAAAACAGAAGGAGGATGTGAAGCAGAGTCAGAAGGGGATGTGACTGGCTGAGGAGGAGGTATGGCCTCTGGAGAACACCACAGGTCAGATAGAGAGGCCTGGGGGACTGCATTTGACCCTCCAGGTCTGAGCTTCTCCACCCCTACTGTAGACAATGCTGAACTAGGTGGAACCAGGGTCTGGCTCAGTATAAGGCAGCTTCAGGTGATCGATTCACCTGTGGGAAGAGTGAGTACATGTGCAGAGAGCAGTTTCAGAAGCAACCCCAGGAGGCTTTGCTGACAAACTGCTGTTCATTAGCTGTTTAGAGCTGTTCGCAGACGCCTACATTTCTACAATTCCCAGCACCCTTAACAAACTGTAGTTCCCAGGATTCTTTGGGGGAAGCCATGACAGCCAAAATGGCACAAGAGTGCTTTAAATATATGAAATGCAGATTTAAAAAAATGTTGAGTTAGATCCAGACTTAAGTTAGTTGAAATCAAGTGGTGTTAATTTAAGTCATGACTAACTTATTCCATTGATTTCAAGGGGACCTGTGTTCGGCTTACTTGCTCCAACCTAATGGACCCTTAAAAAAAAACCAGTATTGCCTGATTAATCTGGGATGCCTCTTTAGCCAATTAAAAAAGATTTTTAATTGATCAACCCAACAAATTAACTCATTAAAGCACCCTCAATCTGATGCCCGCCAGATATTGGGAGTTGTAATCCAAAACATCTGGAGGGCATCAGGTTGGAGAAGACTGCATCAAAGGTTACAGCCCTGCTGCTAATGACTGTCCCTATTGGGGTATCTTATCATGCATCTCTCTGTAGTCATAAGCACAATTTCACAGGCATTCTGTTCTGGTTATTGTCAAGTGTGGAGTATCTCTTGTAGAGCTATGCAGGGCCTGTGAAATCTGGTGGAGATTTCAACATGCAGCAGAGGGTGCATACTTTCAAGTGTGAGCACGCGTGCACACACACACACACACACACACACACACACTAGAGCAGGGGTCCTAGTGCAGCACCTGTGAGTTCAGGGGCACCTTGAGGTTTTCCTCTCATGCCCATGAAACCTCTGAGCTCCCACACAGACTGGCCCCTTGGCCAGTAGGTGGTGAAGGTGGCAACCTTTATGCCCTTTCAAAAGTTGAGAGAGCTGAAGGTGGAAGTTTGAAAAGGGACACTCTTTCCAACTTCCTCTTTCAGCTCTATGTGCTTTTCAAGACTCAGATCAATTCTACTGGAACTGACTTTAACCCAAGTCCCTTGGAGAAGCAAAATGTGTCTGCATGTATGCTTCTGTCTGTCTACGTTAGGGGACAGTTGTGACCAGAGGGGATGATACCCATAGCACTCACTCAAAAACAGTGTAAGAAAATGTAAATCCATTAATTAGGTGTACTGTATCTATTTATAATCTCTGAACAAATTACACTGAGATTTAGTATAAAATGAGAATGGAAAATATGCATTGTAATTATATATGCACTTTTATTGTTGTTTTTTCTCTCCTTCAGTTTTTCTTTTCTCTTTAATATTATATGTTATGTATTCTGTATTTGTATAGTATATGAAAGAATAAAATTGAAGGGGAGAAAAAAGGAAGAACGAAAACTCATATGTTCCCATGAGCCTAAGAAGGTTGACAAGCACTGTGCTAGACTGTCTGTGTACCCTGCTGTACAGAGGGCAGGACTCCTATGTTAAGGGTCCCGGTCATCCTCTGTTGAAAGCCCTGCCCAAGTTCAGTTTAGAGAAAAGACCCATAGGAAGGGAGAACAGGGCCTTGAAGTTGTTCATCCACAGATAGCTCCCCCACGGCAGACTGAACAGCAGACAACATCCAGGTCACCCGGCCACAGTCTTCCCTTCTATGGTGAGATGTATGGTATTTTTACTTGAATTACAGTAATTATTTCTAAATTTGCAGCTGTACCTATAAATTAGCATATGCAAACCAGTGTGGTCTCCCTAACATACAAACACACAAACACCTGACAAGAACCTTAGCAATGGAGGCATAAAGAAAGGGGTAGAAATGAAAGAATGCATATCATTCTGCCACTAGACAACCTTTGATCAAAGGTTACAACAGATTTCAAGGCATGGCAGAGAACAATAAGGAAGACTATCATTTTACGTGAAGGTCTGCAATGGTAACATGATGACAGGTACATTAAAATAGAAAAAGCATCTAATGTGTGGATCTGGCTACGTGCAAGCAGAATTTTATGGGCAGATGCTATTTTATCCCCAGTAAGATGTTAGGGGTCAGGAAGGGTCCAGTTGCAGAGGTCACAGAGTTGTGTTTGTTGGCATGGTCTGAATCACTCTTCTCCTTAGCTCCAACACAATTCCCTGCAAAGCAGGTAATCATGACCAAGGTCTTGTGCATATGTGCAGTTTCTCTTGAGGTCCACTTCACATGGTGTGGAAAACACTTTGGCCTGGGAGGAAGTGGGAGCCCCAGTGTGTGGACTGTCAGATTTCCTACAGCTTTTGAGGATGGCTTCCCATGTAAATAGTTTCCATCACAGGAGTGTTTTGGCAAGACCATTCTAAAAACATTGAGCAAAAGCGGGGGGGGGGGGAGGGATTAAATGAGTCTGCTTCTGAGAAAGCTTCAAAATATGTGGGTCTTTCCTGCTGATAGTCTCAAAGTGTGGTTCCCAAGCTTTCAGTCAGGTCAGAAGGCCTGCATCTTAGAAAATGAGTCTTGCAATGTCAGCAAATATAATTTGTAAATGGTTAGATACATGTCTATTTCATTGCCAAGAACAGTTTCTGGGAAGCTAAGCGCAGAACATAACTTGAGAATGAGATGACTATTCTGTAAATGAGTTCTGCAACAAAATGGTGCAGTGCAAAATGCTGCTGTCCAAGATGCTAGCTGCTCCACTCTTCCCCTTCCTTATTTTTTCATCCATGACACCTTGTTCTAGAATCAGTGGAGGCTTGGTTTTTTCCTATGTAAATCTGCACACCATCTAGATCTTCTCCTTCTTCTTTTTGCCCCTGAAAAGTACTTCTTGAGAATCTGGTTTCATTCCAAATATAAAAGCTCATTGTAGATTGATTTGGCATTACTCTGCACTGTGCCCATTTGAAAACAGATGTAGGCAGTTCTGGCAATCGGAGATGTATCTACACCTGCCCAATGATGCTGAGGGTGGGCATATACCAGGATCGTAATCACTGCTCCCTTCTCCATTCACCTGGGGCACGTACAGGGAGGAAAAGGTGTGGATGACCTAATCAAGGGGAAAGTTTTCAAACATTTATCAAACAACCACAGCCACCCTTGTGGACAGCAGGATCTAATCAATCTAGATTGACAGCAGCATGATGAGGACAAGCATGAACTATTCCAGAATGAGAAAAACTACTTTTTGTGCTGAACATAAGAAAGAGAGCAAATCATTCTATTTTATTTTGGCAGATTGTGTTACCCCATATATTCCCACTTGACTGCTTCAATATGCAGAACTGAACATGTTACAGGTGCCACATAATATTCATTCCACACTTCTCAGAAATCATTTTTTTTGGGGGGGGGGGGCATCACCTAAACTTTGAAACTCACTGCCTATTGACATTAGGCAGACACCTTTGCTGTCTTATTTAAGCACCTGCTTAAAACATTGTTGTTTAGGCAAGCATATCAAGACATGTTAAAGTTACCTGTGTTTTATCACTTTTTAGCAACCGTTGATTTTAATTATCTTTGAATGTTTTAAAATACCCATATTTTAATTGAGAACTTGAAGGTTTTATTTTATATTCTCTTAAACCACTTAGAAGTTTTATGGCAATCAAGAGGTATAGACCTTTTGTTAAATGAATAAATCAATCTACTCTTTTATTCCATTCTGTTCTAAGTTCTGTGTTTCCGTTCTCATAGAAGGAGACTCTCCACCACCACCTGCCCCACTGCCGTGGTCTTGGGGTTGTTGCTTTCTACTTCCTTTGAGCTTTGAGGTTCAGAGCTTGCCAACCAGAGGGGCAACTTGTGAAATAAACAGCGGATCTAAAATAACAAAAAGGAAGTGGTTTTAACGTGAGTGCAGTAATTTCTCATCCTTTCCTGCCCATTGCCAGTAGCAGATGTGAGGTTAGATGGGCAGTTGCTCTGCTCCAATTGACTTGATGGCATAGTTTTACAAAGTCAGAAAGGTAGAAGAAAAGCTACAGGGATGGGTATTTGAGGTGGAAAGGGAGCAAAAGAAGATCTTGTGAGTGGGAGGCTACAGCCTTTGCTACAAGCCTGCTGAAGAGGCAGTAGGTGGAGAGTTGCCATATCAGTGTGGGGTTTCTCTTATGAACAGAAGTCCTGAATGCATTTGCAGCTGATCCTTGTATGTACCAAGGTTTCAAACCATGCTAGTCCACTGCACATCTACAGAGCTGTGAAGAATGACCCTAAATCCAGTGCAGACTTCACAATCCCTGTGCACTTGCCTTCCCACATTGAATGCAAGGGGAATGCTACAGCCTCCAGCAAAACAAAAGTAACACTCACTGTGCAGAGAAATGTCTAGAGAATACTTGAATAAAGAAGAAAGGAAGCAAGACGAGTTTGGAACCTGAGTAACATTCTTCACCCACAACATCTCCTTTCTGACTCACCAGGATACAGTATATAGAAGTGTTACATTCTTCAGTCTGGTCTCTGGGGAGCCCCGGGCCATCTCAAGGGTTTTGCTGCCCTCTTCTGGGGCCTTCCAGTGGTTCTTCAAGGCGTCCCAGGAGCAAGGCTGATGCCTCCTTCCACCTCCAAGATCCCTGACCCAAGCACTCCCAATGCCTGTAAAATTGCTTCCAAGCAATAGGCTGGCTGTGAGTCCTAGGTTGCAGAGGATAGTCCTCTGTTTGTTGAGGTCAAGGCTAGTTTACAGATCAGGAACCATGAGAAGGGAAAGCAGAGGCCTTGAAGTTGCCCACTGAGGTGACTGAGCAAGCCCACAGCACACCTAGTCATGGTCTTGGTGAGGTGCATTCTATTTTTATTTAAATAATATTAATTCTTTCTAAATCTGCAAATCTGGATTGTCTCTTTGTCCTTTTTGAGGAGATGCATTTCTTTTCTCGCTGGCAATATGTAAGTGGCCACCCGACTGAGTAAGTTTGCTTAGGACTGTTCTGCACAAGCGTATTTTTGATGCAGTGCATATTTTATTTCTGGGAAAGCATGGCAAGTTCATGCATATTCTCTAGCGTGTGGCCTCCAGAAAGTTGCATATGAGGAAATGTGGCCCCCAGGCTGACCTCTGCTCTAGGTAGTTAAGTTGTTAGGAGATAGATGGATGAACCTAAGAAGGTCCGATGAAACAGATGTGCACTTTCCAGGCATCTCTGTTGCCTTTTCAGAGTATAAAAAAGAGGTCCCCCCCCCTTAAATTAGGACCTGTATTAGGAAGTTGCCTGGAACCAAGTCAATGTGTTTGTCTCTGTAGCTCACTGTTATCTGTTCTGACTGGCAGTTGCCCTCCAGGGCCTCAAGCAGAAGTCTTTGACTTCCCACCTCAGGGATGGGGAACCTGTGGCCTTCCAGATGTGGTCCAGCTCCCATCAGCTCTAGCCAACATGGCCAATGGTTAGGGATGATGGGAGTTATAATCCAATAACAGCTGGAAGGCACCAAATTCTTTGTAGTAGCTGATTCTTCTAAGATGAAATACCAGGGATTAAATTGGGGGATTTTGGCACGCAAAGCACTTGCTCTTCCACAGAACTATAATCCCTTCCTGTATTTTACTGTTTGAGATTACATTGAGAAGTAGTCTGTCAACTTCTCACAATGTTTTGATAACATCAGCAAGTGGGGAGGGAGGACTCAGAAGTCTTACCTCTCATACCCTGTGGTGATGATGATGTGCCACAGTTGTTATGGTGGACTCAGGTGACATCACAAACCATGTAATGAGCAGTCAAGTATTTCCATAGGTGGTTGTGTTGGTGGGTTGCTGGTGGCCAGAATTCCCTAGTAAGCTCAAGGCAGGATGAAGAAATACTACGATCTGGTAACTAAAAAAAATGTGTTAACTGCAGCTACAGGAGCTACAGCCATCTATCTGGTGTCCAAGACTCTCCTATCAATGTTCAGAAGTCCCCCCTACAACCCGGATCAAATGAATTTTGCCAGTGAGTCAAATGGGATATAGGGAGATGATGACGCATTCTCACACCACATGTTTGTTGTTGTTGTTTGTTGTTGTTCCAGAAGGGTCATGGCCATATAGCACATCATCCATCCATCCATCCATCCATCCATCCATCCATCCAGCACATTCATTCTGTTTATGAGATACCTAATAAAACAAATTATCTATGTGCCATGCAGATAAAAAAAGAAGAGAATAAAACATAATGATAAAACCATACTAAAATAAAACAGCAATAAATTTAAGAGAGATCCAGGTGGAATCTACACACACATTTTTTAAAAAGCTGTGAAAATGCTTTTTTAAAAAAGGTTTTGAAAAATAAATTGAATTTGGCATAGCTCACTGTTGCCATCTAGTGTCACAGTTGTATATTGCACTTTACAACACATTTAAAATGTTTTATTTGCAGCTGTATAGCTGAGTCCCCAGTGTAAAAAAAAAAGAAAAAAGTATTCAGCACAGTAAAATACTATATACAACACATAACTAAAACAACCATCACATATCTACATTAGAACCACCAATTGGATAGCTGGGGCTCAAAACTAAATCTTATAAACCCAGGTCTGGGCAAGGAAAATGTTAGCCAGACACCAAAGAGACAGCAATGTGGGCACCAGGCATGCTTCCCTAGGGAGAACATATCCTAGGCCCCCGGGAGAGCATTCTAGTGTCTGGGGACACTACCTCTATAGGCCCCCCTCCAAGCTTCAGATTGAAAGGGCACACAGAGAAGGATGTTTGTAGATTACCTTAGGGTTTGGGTTTGGGCAGGTAAATACAGACGGTACTGAAGTCCCAACCCGTCATTGTCCAGGAACTAATCATACATTCCCTTCATCGTTGACTCTTCACTCCAGTTGTGCGGTTAATGATGGCACATTTTTGTCTTTCTGTAACTCTATTTCCTGACAGGTAATCATGTTAGTGTGCTGCAGAAGGGGGTAGAAAAAAAATATGTGGCCCCCAAACTAATAAATCTACCATGGCATAGGTTTCAATGCACTGCAGTCCACTACTTCAGATTCATGAAGTATTTCTCCAAGTTAGGTAGCTACCAACAGAAAGTAACTCTGGCACCCATACACATCTAGGTTTCTTCAGAACAGCTGCTTGAGGCAACACACATGAGCTTTGTGAAACAGCCTGCTCTATGCAGATTGCAGGACTGGTGGTATCAGCACAGAGAACCCCCATGCCAACTGGATAATCCAATGCCCCTTGAGATGTTGTTGGACTCCCAACTCCTAGCAACTCCAGCCAGAACGGCTAATGGTTGGGGGTGATGATGACGGTGGTGATTTATCAAATTTTTATAATAATGGTTAGGGATGATGGAGTTTGCAGTCTAACGACATCTGGAAGGCCACAGGTCCCCCAGCCATGCTTTATTGAAATGTCCACAGAAGCTTCCTGCCACTTCTGTTGCACTGATGCAGAAATGCAGGAAGTTCTGGATCAAAAATGTCCGTAAGTTGTCCTAATTCATCTCTGGATTATTGCTTCTAGATCTAGCCGTTGAGTATTATCCAGCTCCATCTGCAAGAGCAAATGTTCCTGGAGAGCTCAGGAGACTCCTGCTGTCTCTCAGCCCAAACTTAGATGACAACTCCAAGAGGACAACGCTTCATACCATCACTCAGTGTATCTATCTGAAGGAATCAGAGGTGAAAGTCAAAAGTTGCAGGGCACAGATGCAACACGCAATATCAAGCCTGATTAGTGCAGTTGGCTCCTGTTCAGCATTACCATATTCCTCTAGTGATCAATGTGGCTTCATCCCCAGTATCTTTCAAGCCAAACATTAAGGTGCCGCCTTGCACTGAGAAAAACTAGGCGGGTGTTTCAGCAGAAGCGGAAAGCTACATACAAGACACAGATTGTGAAGGCTGGGAATCTATAGCTGAACTGGCCCTACTTGAGAGTATCATTCTCTGGTTGGGGAGGTATTTTAGAGTTAACCCCCCCGACTGTTTGATGCTTGCTCTGCTATGGAAATCCTATTTGGTTCAGCATAGCTTTGTAGATTCAGAAAGCCTGCAGGTAGGCTGACAGGGCTCACCATTTGGCGAGGTCCCACCCCTAATATTAGCTAATATTAATTCTGTGGTTTTTGTTTGTTTGTTTTTAAAAAATCAACAGCAAGGTAGCTTGAGCCTTGCAAGAGCAAATGCAGCTTCCCCATTGTGGACTATGGAACACTATTGAGCCCACTATGCCTATGGAACCCTTGGCCCGCAAGAGGAGCTCTGTGCATGTGTGGAGCTCAAACTGGGCAGCTGATTGGGGGCATTTAAAAACAACAACAACACCCTGTTTCTGCTTCAGTGCACCTTCAGTGCATTATTTTTAATGAATCAAAACTGGTTGAGATTCTCCAAAACATAATGCTGGCCCCAAAAGGCACATTGTCCCCTTAATACATGTTTAACTCCGGGTACATAGGGAATAACTACAGTACCCATAGCAAAATAGGAATATTCCTGGGACCAATGGGAAACCAGAGTATAACTTCTGAGCACATAAGAGTCCTTTGCAGCGACCACTTGTTCCTTCTACCTTTCTCTAGGAAAGTTACATGCTAAGCAACAGTGTGCATATTATAGCTCCAATGACACTCCAGGAGTAGATAATAGCAACTGAGGGGGGAGCACTTAACCCTTTTCTTCCCCTGCTACTGACCTGCTTCAAATTGCCCTCCCCACTGGCTTTTCTCCCTGTCTGGCTTCAAATGTATGCTTGCCAATGCATTGGTGTTGCTAGTCAGAGGTATTAGCCCTTGATTAAATTCCATGTCCCAGTGGAATAGCTGTTTCTTCCATTTTGACTCTTAAGATTCAGAAAGTGGGCTGGGCTGGTAAACACTTGGGTTAAGTCATAAGTGCCACAATATCTGAAATCCCATTGTGAAATCTAGCCCGGGATTAAGTGCTGATGAAAATTCATTACATCTCTTGCCAGTTACACCACCACCTAAACTGAACCATCAGGTTCAGCATCTTGGCAACAAGGTGTTGTGTGAGCATGAAATGTGTGGAGCACTCTAATTCAGGTGGCCTCAGTTCAGGCATATTCACATCTGATAATCTGCTTCTTGCTTTCTAGGCAAATGCTTGCACCAATGATGACATTAGATTGGTGGCATTATTCCTGGATGACGGAGACAAAGCCGTCAAAACAGAGGCACTGCATGCCCTCAAAGCTTTCACTGTTGTCTGGAGGTTCAAAATCAAAATCCAGGTAACCACTTAGGGAAACTGTGCAAAAAAAACCTCTAGTGCGTCTGAAGTTCTTACCCTAGATCATTTCTAGAAGGCTTCATCTATTAACAATGCAGGAAAACAGCTTTTAAGTTTTTCTCAACTGTCATGCCCTCCATATGCCTTTCTTCCTCAGCATACTTTTAATATTAATTTGGTCTGTTTCATTTCTGCTGCTGATTTTATGTCGATTGTTCATATGTTTTGCCTATTTTTATTTTACTGTTTTAAAATTCTTTTTGTAAGCTGCCTTTCAGATTTTTAAGGGAAATACCTATAAGAAAGAGATGTGGGTGGCGCTGTGGGTTAAACCACAGAGCCTAGGACTTGCCGATCAGAAGGTCGGTGGTTCAAATCCCCGCGATGGGGTGAGTTCCCGTTGCTCAGTCCCTGCTCCTGCCAACCTAACAGTTCGAAAGCACGTCAAAGTGCAAGTAGATAAATAGGTACCACTCCGGTGGGAAGGTAAACGGCGTTTCCGTGCACCGCTCTGGTTCGCCAGAAGTGGCTTAGTCATGCTGGCCACATGACCCGGAAGCTGTACGCCGGCTCCCTTGGCCAATAAAGCGAGATGAGCGCTGCTACCTCAGAGTCGGCCACAACTGGACCTAATGGTCAGGGGTCCCTTTACCTTTACCTTTACCTATAAGAAATAAAATAAACAAAGACTGGGAGCAAGAAGGTTCAGTGCCCTGTCTCTGTAAGACAGAAACATAGGAGTATAAGAATAGTCCTGCTGGCTCAGGAAACTGACCCATCTGGTCCAGCATCCTGTTCTCACAGTGGCCGACCAGATGCCTGTGGAAAACCCTCAAGCAGGACCTGAGCACAAGAATTCTCCCCTTTTTCGGTTTCCAGCAACTGGTATTCAGAAGCATCACTGCCTCTCATGGATACTAGCCATTGATAACCTTATCCTCTGCAGATTTGTCCAATGCTCTTCTAAAGGCAATTAAGTTGGTGGCCGCCACTGCCTCTGATGGCAAAATAGCTTTGCCTTTGCATGGAAGGGACTTACTGTATATATTAGGATAACGGCACAGGGAAAGGGTTAAACCCTCGACCCCCAGCACTGCAGCCCCAATCAAAATCTTAATACCCTCCACAGCTGCTTTTTACATGAAAAAAGAGGGTTCCTGTTCATGGATCCAAACTCTCCCTTATCATGTTTCATTTGGAGTTGCCCACAGGAAGTACATGAAATTACGGTAGTCAATTCTTCCTCAGCCCCCAATGGGGGAAAGACCATAGCTCAGCAGCAGAGCACCTGCCTTGCAGGCAGAAGGTCCCAGGTTCAATCCCAGAGGACCCAAAGTCAGACTGGAAGACACTCCCTGTCTGAAACACTGGAGAGCTGTTGCCAGTCAGTGTAGACATTATTGAGCTAGATGGGTCAGTGGGTCTGACTCAGTATAAAGCAGCTTTCTTGAATTCCCTATCAGTGGTGGACTTTGGGCTTTACAATCTCAGTGGTGCCTTGTGCAACACCAAAATTTGGCACCCACCCATTGTTCGTCATTGTTGCAGCGCCTCCTGCAGGCGAACTGGTTGTGCTCCCCTAATCCGCCTCTGTCCCTATGTTTGCATGGAACTTTGGATTGTAGCAGCTGACATGATGTTAGGCTGCACAGACAACTGTGCTCTCGTTCTGCTTCCGTGAACCCAATGATTGGCTGGTATGCAATTTAGTTTTTACTCAGAATAAACCTGTTGAAATGAACGGACTTTGTCATGCTCATATCAGTGGGTCTAACCTGAGTAAAACTTAGCTGAATCTCACCCATGATTTTTAGTGAATCAAAACTGGATTAGTCTCACCAATGTTTGGCATCTTGAGCCCCGACGGAGCACTGTTTTTGTCCCGTGCATGTTAGAACTACAAGGGCACTTAAAAAAGAGCAATTCCACCCATCACCACCAGAGGACACCTTACCCACTGAACATAAGACACCGCTTTGTGTTTTGTCCTTGTTTTCATTCACATTTTAAAATTTCATTTTGAATGGGCAGAGTCGTTGCAACGGGCTGAGGTTGTCCTCAGCTGCAGCCATAATTGAAACCCGAATTCTGGGCCAGGGGAAGCAAAAGGCTTTGTTAAAAACAAATTATGGGGATTTGGAGCATTTTGACTTCTTTTGCGTAATCCGTTCTGCCTGTAGTGTTTAATTTCTTGCAGAATGTGAAACATTTCGCAAGGACTAGGCTGGCAGAGCGTGAGGAAGGAAAGGAATGAAAGCTGGTGGAGTGAAACATTAACTGTGGTAGACCATAATGACTGGAAACTAAAGTTGCAATGCTAGACGCACTAACTTGGGAGTAAGCCCCCTAAATTCAGTGGACCTTACTTCCGGGTAGACATACATAGGTTGCTTGGGACCTGGTAATCCCCACTCAGCCAGGAAGCTCACTGGGTGACCCTGGGCCAGACCCTATCTCTCAGCTTAACCAACCTCACAGGGCTGTTGTGAGGATAAACTGAAAGGGGAGAACCTATGGCTCCTCAGAGGAAAGGTGGAATAGACATGTACTCAAAATAAAACAAAAGTAAATAAATGCATAAAAATACATAATTAATTTTATTTAGTTCAATCCCCCCCACAAGACTCACAAAGCATCTCTGCCAGTACCTACAACATTTGCACCGAAATGTGCAACATGTACCAAGAAGTGAGGAGCTCTTGAGGCTCACATCTCCCAGAAGGCAACAGCCCTTGACCTCGAATACTAAAAATATAGGACGAGCTGTGATGACTGATGATTCAGTTGGTTAGACGGTGATGCTGATAATGCCAAGGTAGCAGGTTCGATCCCGGTAAGGGGAAGCTGCATATTCCTGCATTGCAGTGGGTTGGGCTGTTAGATGACCCTCAGGATCCCTTCCAAGTATGATTCTATGATAATCAGTGGCGAAAGCAAATACATGCTGTGGGCATTGTCAGTCACTCTTTATCTGCTCCTTCCCACAATTCTGAGCAGAAGCTGAAAAACAGGTACAGGGGGTGAGGTCTGGTCTGGATGATACCCTGATATGATATTCATCATAGCCATAAAAGTACTATTTACACTTCACCCTGGATTGCTAGGAGGCGGTGGTGCCTCTAGGAGCCCTCTCAACAGAATGAGCCAGAGGCCTGAAGTGCTGCGGCAAAGACATCACCTTTTGAAGCACTCGTTGCCATCTGTGGGGTGGGGGCCTAACTGCCTGCAATACTGCTGAAGGGCAGAGTGCGAGTCTTTAAATTAAAATGCTGGTCTGCTTTCTGATGCAGGAATACGTTCCCAAGATTGTTGAGCTGGTGACTGGCTCCTGGGACCCCACCCTTCAGGTTGCTGGGTTGAGGCTGCTGAACGGGTTGAATATTCCAGACAACACCCACACTCTCCTGAGAGGGATGCTGCCGAACTTCCTGGAAATCCTTCTCATGGCAAACACTATGGCCAAGGTACAAAAAATCACAGGCAGGTACCTTCTCTTCCTCCTCAGGTACAGCGTTAGCCTGGAGTTGGGAAGTAGAACAGCTCTAGTAGTTCCTAGAAGGAAACGCTGATGACTAATATTTCACCTTTTTGCTAAATGAACCTTTTATTCATTACATGTGGGGTCTGCAACAAAATGTTGCAGCCTAGAGTGCCCCTGCTTGGAGTTCCAGTCACTACATTCCATTTCAGTCTCCCTGCACTCTGGGTTCCACTCACCCACAGGCAGCCTGCTTGTTCTATGGCCATTGAGTATGTACAGTCCGCACTGGGAGTTTTGTGGGCCCCTTCCCTCAGGATGTTTTTCTGTGTATTATTTTTGTATTTCTGCAAACTATGGGGACTTCTGCCACACACACCCAAGACTGCTGATACCTCCCTCTTGTTCCTGAATGGTTCTTTATTTGCTACATAATTGATGGCACTCACAGCCTGAACATCAGAAGTAGAGTGAGAAACAGGATCTATACCCTGACCTTTGATCAAATTATCAGTGTGGCTTTGGAGAGTAGTTGCCAGCTCAAGTAGAAAGCACTGGATAAACCAGTGGTCTGGTTCAGTCTATAAAGTGACTTGGCACATTCATATTTTTGTCTGAAATATTTCAATATGCTCTCTCTAGGGTTTGTGTTACCCGAGTCCTCCAGTAAGTCCAGGCTACCTGATCATCCAAGGAGGGAAAGATCAATCTATTCCCAACTCTGAACTTACAGCCTCAATTTTTATTCTTGCTCAGAAACCCAAATCTGTTGAAGATCATGATGTAGCCTGGAAGGTTGCTCCCTCAGCTGAAAGGAGCAAATGTCATCTTCCTTGCTCAGCGTGGCTCATCTCTTTGCTGCAGTTTGCCCCCAACCCCACTGCCCAACTAGAAAGCATTAATATTTTTTATTATAATTACTACTTTGCTTGCAAAGGGGGTCTAGTACCCACCGGTATCCACACACCCTGACATTCTCACTTGTTTGTTCAGGTGCAGGTTCTCAAGCTTCTTAGCACGCTGGCCCAGAAGGAAGACCTGCTGCATGACATCATGAATTGTCGGGTAAGGACTGCCCTTGTGCCTGCCAGTGTGAGAAAGCTTTGTATTGGGGTGGGGGATAAAGAATATCAGAAGGACAGAGGTTGGGAAAGGTCACTGTTTTTTTCTAGAAAAAGAGGCTCCGGAATTCACCATGAACACCTCTTTTGTTCTCTTAGAATGGCAATGGCGCCCACCTGAGAGGTGCCAGAACTAAGATCTGGAGAGTTCAGGCTGAAAAAAAGCCCTGGGATAGGTGCTCTAGTTATGGGAATTTATTCAGACATAGGCATGAGAATACATGTTGCCCAGGGACTGCAACTAGGGAATCAATGCTGGCTCAGTTGAAGCCACTTTGCATTCCAATGTACAAGAGCCAGCATCTGAACAGGAGCCAGAATCACATCCTTTGAAGGCGTACACCCTAGCCCACCCAATTTCTGCTCTGCCTGGAAGCAGCCACACCCTTTCATTGTTGAATATTGATATTAGAAATGTCAATCTTCTAACAGGCAATAGGTAATTCATTTTCTCAGAACAGGATTATTTATTCCTTGTACAGTGGGCGGCGCCCATGTGAGACTGGTGCTATGGCCACCAGACCTTTTGCATGCTCCAAACAATATGGCTGCCGTACGAGACCCTTTTGACATTATTCAGTTTTGCATGGACTCTTGTGTATGTGCTGAGCATGCACATACACAAATTCCCATGGTGGAGAAATAGGCCACATCTTCTTCTTTTAAATCCTTAGCCTCTCATAGGGAGACTTAGCTGAGAGGTTTAAGAAGTGCTGGAAAGCTGAAAGCATGGCTCCTCTGGCCTAAGGAGGAAACAGGACATGGCAGGAGTTCCTGGAAGCTCCAGCTAGGCTCATTTAGCCTGCCCAGGTGACTGAAGGATGCAGCCTCAGCACACCGCAGATGGGAACTCTGTCAACAGGCTGGTTTCTTATGCATTAACCAAAAGGAGGAAATGTATCACCAATGAAAGAGAACAAGATGACAGGTTTTGCATAAATTCAGCAAATGCTAATTTATATGTATAGGTGCAAATTTTAAAATGGTTACAGTAATTTAAATGGAAACACAATACATGTCACCATAGCAGGGAAGACTGAACTTGGTGACCTGTGCTCATGCTCAGTCTGTGGTCCATGTGCTAACAATTCAAGGGAACTTCCTGCTCTCCCATCATACAGTTCTTTGTCTTTAAACTAGACTTGGATTGGATAGACCTTTAACCAGAGGCTTGTCCTCTGTAGAGTAGAACATATGACCACGCATCCCCTAAATTAGGGTCCAGCTCTGGAGCAGAAACCCAGGAGGTCTTGGAACCAAGTTCAGGCTTTTAGTCTGGTGGCTCACTCTTTTACCATCGCTCACACCTGCCCCCACTGGCACGAAAGTTTCTCTGTTGCCACAGGAGTGTAGGGAGCTGCACCATGCTCAGGACTCTGTGTTCTGGTGCATGTAAAAATATCAGAACTTCTTGGTGGACAAAGGAAATAATGGCATCCTGCTGGTTGCAGCTGCTCCATTTCCTACAGCATCCCCAGTGACAGAGGTTGAGAGTGAGGGTTACTATTGTCATTAACTTCTTATTCACAGATCCACATGCATGGATCAGGGCCCTGTATACCATCCACCCCCATCGTTCAGCCTGGACACTGAGGTCCAGCTCTGAGGGCCTCCTGGAGGTTCCCTCACTGCGAGATGTGAGGTTGCAGGGAACTAGGCAGAGGGCCTTCTCAGCGGTGGTGCCCACCCTGTGAAATGCCCTCCCATCAGATGTCAAGGAAATAAACAGCTATCTGACTTTTAGAAGACATCTGAAGGCAGCCCTGTATTGGGAAGTTTATAATGTTTTACATTTTATTATGTTTTTATATGTGTTGGAAGCTGCCCAGAGTGGCTGCGCAACACAGCCAGATGGGCAGGGTGTAAATAATGAAATTATTATTATTATTATTATTATTATTATTAACATCATCATGGGGATGAGGAGGAATGAGGGGAAGGAAGATGAGACAATGACTACAGCAACTTGTGGTGTTTCTCCCCAAGACACCCGCCGAGTTCCTGAGCCTCTTCCAACCATCCCTGCCAGGGAACCTGCTCTATGAGATGTTAGTCTTTGTGGAGCGCCTCAGCGAAGGGCGCCTCTCCCCACAGTACCAGTCCATGCAGTGGCAGTACAGCGACAACTCCCTTCACGAAACCATCTTTGGCAACAACTCCCGCCTCTCCGACCGCCTGCTTGCTCTCATCATCCACCCCGAGGAAGAGGTGCAGGCTCAGGCCTGCAAGGTCATCCTCAGCCTCCGGCTCAACAGGGAAGAGAGCAAGGTGGTCAGTGCCCTCCCCTTTGGGGCCAACATCAGTGTCCACCCCCTGGAATCAACGAGGATTAGCCAAGTCTCCAACCCCTCTGACCTGAGCAGCCACACTCTTGGTCCCAACAACGTCTCCTCTGAGCCCACCGGCACCAACATCTCCTTTGACAGCACCCATGACAACAGCGGGCGTAGCTTCCACACACTCCAAGGCACTGATGAGACTGGACACAGTTTCTATCCCCTTCCAAGAGCTGACCACAGCTTCTACCCCCTTGAGACCATCAGCAGCCACATTATTCAGGACCAAAGAGTCAACAGCTTCAATATTCCTCCAGCTTGCTATTCGGGTGAGAGTGACAACAGTGTTTAAAGGGCCCATTTCTAGACGAAAGAGCGAATGATAAAAGAGTTGGAGAAGAGATGACATCACCATTTGTCTCTCCCTATGTAAGGAAAAGGTCCGGGCATGTAAGCATTCAGGATCCTACCTTCTACCTAACAAAGCTTCTATGTGCATTAGAATCTGGAGTGTACTGATCATTTGCTCATTACCATCAATGTATGGTCTGCTGAACTTTGCTGCTCCAGTTCAAGGTTCAGAGTGCTCAGAAAATCAGGTCCATCCTAATGTCTGCCAGCCTGCACTCATGGTGGTCTCTGAAGGGGTGTCTCTAGAGTTAGGTTAGAAACATTAAGACCGTGCCAAAATAATGGGGAAAGTTGCCTGGAGAGAAAGATCTGGTGTGTTACTGAGAAACCAGTAGATAGTCAGTAGCTTTTATTGTTTATAACCAATGGTCATCACAATACAGTATGAGCACAAACCACACAACTACACAAGGAAAGACATTGCATGCGCCAGACCGGAACAAATCTACAATGTTCAAAATTTAGCAATGTTCCTTCTGGTCAGCATCTCTGGGTTTTGGCACTTGCACTATCCAGAAAGTTTGCCCTTATCTTTCTTGCCACTAATGCAAACTGTGCAGCCTATAGCACTTATCAACCTCTGCCAACAACCATTTAATTTTCAAATCATCTGGTTGACCTTCTAAGGCGATCTGAAAAGGGGAGATAAACTTAGCTCTGGGTCAATCATACAATAGGCAATATAAAATATAATGTACTAGATCCTCAATATATATATGATTCACATATACAAAGGTGCTCTTTTACATATTTGTTAGTATATCTCCCAGCCAGATATTCAGTAGGCATTGTCTGAAAACTGAGCTGGGTAAAAGCATGTCTTATGGGGGGGGGGGCGGTGAGTTAATTCTCGCAAGTACATAGCCCTTTTGTGGTCTTTTTAAATTTTACTGTACCAAGTGGCAGATTTACAATTTTTTGTATATTCAAGGTCTTTTTTGCATCTTCGCCAAACACAATATCTCATATCTTGTGCTCAGGAGCATCTGACAGTATTACTGCTGGGGAGATTGAATAACTCTGCATCAGACCTCTACAAGATTTTAGCCAGCCTTCCCTTTTCTGCAAATCTGAAAAACAAGTTTGGGTTATGTGTTGTTCTGGCTGCAATGATATTTCCCCCAGTACAAAAACATGGATTTGTGTATACAAGCCTTTATAGAGGGAAGACCCAATTCAGTCCTTAGTAGTGCTCCAGGTGTACTGTGTGGCAGTGCCAACATCACATGCAGGAATTTATTTTGAAATACATCAAGTTCCTCCCTGCAATGGTGACCCCAGATAGGTGCACCACATAAAAGGTGAGACACAATCTTGGCCACAAAAATCTTTAATGTTGGTTCAGCTAAATGATGGCCCTCTGTGTAATACAATTTCTTTATAGGCTCCAATAAGCTTGTAGCTGAAAGGGTTGTTGATTCTAAATCGGTGTGGTTCATGTTCTAAATCGGACATGCTAGTAGATTGTGGCCTGGTACAAGGTTGGTTGCAACAGGAGCATTACCACCATGCAAGTATATGGTGAAAAATTAAGAAATGGGCCCTCAAATGCATATTTGGGTTAAAAGTGGGTACATGGTCTAGACCAAAGAATGCAATCTAAAGGGTATACTAAGTAATAAAATTATTTTCAACGAAATGGTGTGGTTCATGTGAATGGACAAAAGAGGTTTGAGAGTATGGATATGAATATGCTGTGCTGAACTGATGTATATGGATGTTTTGAGAAAGTATGTCTGATCTGTGTTAGATAAGGGCTTTTAGCAGGTTGGATGAGGGGTATATTTGGAAGTATTTTCCATTTAAACAAATTGTGGTGGTGTGTGGATTAGTTTAGAAACTTGTGAGATATGTGCAGACATTGGAATTATTTTGGACAATGATAACTGCTGCATGGATGTGTGAAGGAGAACAGGCGTGTGTGTTCATATTGTAAATGTTGGTTTCTGCTCTCTGAGTCCTATGCACATGCACCTGCTCACTACGCTCCTTCACTCTGCTGACGAGTTCCTTATGCAGAGTGCTGTGCCCATGTGTCAGCTGCTTTCTTCCACTGAGACATCAGAAAGGACCATGTGGACAATTAAACTGCAACATATGTACAGAGGTAGGAATTACATTGAGGAATAATAATCACAGAGAATAGGAGAGCAAGTGCATCTTTAATGTTTTTCCTCAACTTTTAATTTTCTTGCTGGGTCCTCACAAATGCCATAGTCGGTGTTGGTGACAGTCCCGATAATTGTCCTGTCCGCCTCACAGCTTAATCCATTTTCACAGGGACACCTGTAGTATATCCCAGTAAGGTGCTGCAAGAGATACAAAGATGTAGATCAGAATTCACAACTTGGCTAGAGGAAAAGCTACGTATACAATATCTTCTCCATTCTGCTAAACTGACCAAGTTTGGACATCATCCTGCACTCCTCACTTTTCACTGTATTTGATACCAACTTCAGAATATTTGCCACATATATGAGGCTGCTTTAAAGTGGGTGATGGGTTCTTCCAGAAGACTTTTAAAAAAAAATCTAATTCAATTCTGCTTCTTCTCATGTTCACTCTCTCACACAAATCTTTTCAACTTCTCACCATCTCCAAAATTCATTACTTCATTCAATACCACTACATCCTCCTTCACTTTCCTAAGTATCTCTCAGGTTCACAGTTGTAATTACCTTCCCTGGCTCTCTTCTTTTGCTTCATCCTTCACTTACACTCATTCCCTCTACCCTTGGTTCTGCTGCTTAGCTTTATCTTCCCAGCCCATCATTATGATCATAATACTTCTCTCTATTCATCTCTCCGCTGGTTTCTTCTTTCTTGTCTGACATTCTTCTGAATCTCCACTGACATCTTTAAGCCACCAACAAAGAAGATGAAGGCCAGAAGAAACACCAGTCATTCCTAAGGAATAGGAAATGCCACTTACCCACCGAGAGCACTCCTGAAACTCAGCTGCTTTGTCTGCACAACGAGCCAGGCTTAGGCCACTCCCTCTGTGACAACATCCATTTTTGCATTGGAGACTGTTGAGACATAGCTCTCCATTCTCCTATAAGGTAACCATGATTAGATAAGGGGTGAGCAACAGGATAAATGTCCATGAAGATGGACGCAGGTGGTGCTGTAGTCTAAACCACTGAGTCTCCTGGGCTTGCCAATCAGAAGGTCGGCAGTTCAAATCCCCATGACTGAGTGAGCTCCCGTTGTTCTGTCCCAGCTTCTGCCAACCTAGCACTTCGAAAACATGCCAGTGCAAGTAGATAAATAGGTACTGCTGTGGTGAGAAGGTAAATGGCGTTTCCATGCACTCTGGCACTTGTTACAGTGTTCTGTTGTGCCAGAAGCAATTTAGTCATTCTGGCCATATGACCCAGAAAGCTGTCTGTGGACAAACGCCGGCTTCCTTGACCTGAAAGCGAGATGAATGCCGCAACCCCATAGGCGCCTTTAACTGGATTTAACCGTCCAGGAGTCCTTTATCTTTTATCTTTTTTTTTTTTAAATAATTTTTATTAAAGTTTTGAACAACAGAGAGAGAAAAGAAAAACATACACAATACATATAACAAAAACACGAGAAAAAAAACAAGATTCAGCAGTAAAAGAACAAAAAACAAAACAATTAAAAACAATATCTCTTTTCCATTTCCATTTTTAAGTTACTTATTTTCTGGACTTCCTCATACCTCCCTCTTTTGTATTCCAATCCAAATTGTTTGTCCAGCAGTTTCTTTTCCTTTTATCTTTTATCTTTAGCATGAAGATGAAGGCCAGATGAACCACCATCCATTCCCAAAGCATAGCAGAGAACAAAGCCAGCCAACTAAGGGAGTGATACGAAAGCTGGAAGCCAAACCCAGCTCTCATAGGTCTATATTCCCTGAATAGAGGATTTCATGGAATCTTATGGACCTTATATTTAAGTAACATAAAGTTGATTCTGCCGCACTCATGTCCTTTCCAAGCTGCCACTAGAAATACTGTGTTGTCATCATCCCTCAGCCTCACAAAAGAAACTTCCCATATAGGCAGGAAGGTACCTTGTGTGCCCTGGTTTTTATGCTGATATCCTAGAGTACCCTAATGCTCAAAGTGTTTGTTTGATACTCCTATTCCTAAAGTGAACTGGGGCAACTAAAGCATTTCTGAAATGAATCCTGAAATGGATCATATGCATAAATCAAACAAAGTGTCTGAAGAACTCCCTGTAAAAGTCTTTCCCTATTACATGACTGGGTAGCAATTTCAATACTAGAGAGAATCCCAAGAGCCAGACAACATGGCAAATCCCCCGCATCAGGGATGCTTCTGGAAAGGGTACAGCAAGAGTACCCAGCAACCTCTTACCAGATTCAAGATGAGTCCTCTTTGGCTAGAAAAGGCCTCTGCCAAGGCAAGTGTCAGCAGCAACAAAACCCAAGGGCTCTTCATTGCTTCTTAGCAGTAAGCCAAAGGTTTGATCTGGTGCACCTAGGACAAGAATCCAGAACATGGCATGCTGCAGATTTATAAAGCCTACCCTCAAAGTCACATGGGTGCCTTCTTGCAAAAGATATGAGTACATGTAATGGAAAAATGCTGTCTGGGTTAAAAATAAAGAAAAAACAAACAAGCCACTCAAAATCACCCAAGGCCACGGGAGAGTATCATGTGCAGTCAGCCTCGATAGCTCTGTTGGTTTCCAACCTTTCTGAGTCCATGGCTCCCTTGACCAACTACATTCTTTCTGCAGCACCCCTGTGGGGCTCAGGAGCCCAGTTATGTCACCCCTTGCCTGCAGAGCTGGCAGCCCCTGGCCCTTTTTTGAACTCCCTCCATTGTGGAATGTTCCCTCAGCCACCTCTCCTTGGGAGTCCTCTGGGCAGCTGCTACTGCTGCCCCTGGTCTCTGAGCTCTCTCCCCCCGCCTCACCCCAAAGAGAGGTGCCTCCTCACACTGCCCCTCAGGTGCCTGGAACTTGTCTCTCCATTCCCAACAGTAAGGGCTGGTGGCTGGCTGGGCTCCCTTTCCTACTTGCTTACTTACTCCAGCAACAGCACCCCCTGCCTGAGGCATCATTTGCCTGAGGAGCTTGTAGCCATGGCTGCTGCAACAAACAGCTGTGCAAGCCTTTGGGAAGCATAGATGAGAGAGGGCATCAGAGGAAGGAGGGAAGGAAGGAAGGAAAGAGGGCCAGGGGGCAGTGTTGTCCATGGCACTCCTGACCATCATTCAAGGCACCCCAGGGTACCATGAAACACTGGTTGAAAACCACTGGGTTAGAACATGGTGCTGATAATGCCAAGGTTGTAGGTTTGATCACTGTATTCTGCCTATTCCTGCATGTTTACACTCTCATAAAGAACTGGAGCATGTGTCCAGATGTTTGGATATAGCAGATATAATCACACCAGGCATAATCTGGCAGGGCAGGTCCTCACTTCTTACCTTTCATAGAAGACTTATACTGCCAGAGGAAAGGATAACTTGCCACTGGGTAAAAACAACAGAAAAGCTTATTACTCACTGTTACTCATTTCATGGCCCTTTCGTCTTCTTGAATATCTAGCAGGACTGCCAACATAAGGAACAGCAGGCAGGTGTGAAAGGCTTGCTCTTTCCCAGAGCTATTATTCAGACAGCTTGAGATATGAAATCACCTTGAGTCCAGTAACAGGTACAGCCTGCTGGAACTTTCTCAGGGCACAGGTGTGGACTTTTTGGATTGCAAGGCCAGGCTCAGGTGTTCAGGGAGATGATTTTTTGAATGCTCTCAGCAGTTAAGTAAGTTTCAGTTTAGACTTGTGGGTCCCAATGTGGGGCACATGCCCCACAGAGGGGCAATTTGATTTTTAAGAGGGGCAATTCAAGCAGGAAAGCTTCCCGTTGTTCAACTGTACTTCCTCTTCCACCCTCCCCGGTATGCCCCTTGTACTTCACACCCCAGCTCTGCTTTGGGTTCCCCCCAACTCTGTAGAGCAGATTGGGGGAGGTGCAGGGGCACATGGGAGGAGGAACAGGAGAATTGGACCAGGTACACATAATATATAGTTATGAGTTTGGGTGGGATCATTCTGGATGAAACTGTTGGTTACTTCCAGGGTTGGCCGATCCATGAGGTGATATGAGGCAGTTTCCTTGGGGTGACAGGCTCTTGAAAGATGGGAGGGAAGGCAGACCCAGCCTCCATGAAGCATGGCCTGTGCTTGCTGACCTCCCCCCCTCTTCTGTGTGCTTAACCCCCCCCCTGCCAACAACAGGTGGCAGCTGGTTCGTAGGTAGGTGGGTGCCTGGTTGCAGGTGTGCAATGGAGGAGGAGCAGGTGGGTGGGAGTGCTGTGGGTGCTCAGTGGTGAGGGGGTGGCATTTTCTGTTTTGCTTCTAGCCCTTCCAAACCTTGGAATGAAGATGGAATGAAGATATGGTTTTATGGTTGCTTCACCCTGTTCCTTGCTCAGCCCAAAGTTGTATTATCCATGCCGCTGCAAAGTTGCTGAAAACAAACTCACCTAGATGGCAGAATGAGAACATTTTGGAGTTTTAGCTGTCTAACACACAAAGTGCATTAGAAGCTAAACTAATGCTGTGATTTTTTTCATAAAAATATCTTTTAACCGTAAGCTTCAAGCTACATTTCCCTTGAATATTCCAAAGACCTTGAAAAACGCAAAAATGCAAAAAAACCTTGGAAAGTTGTCTCCATCCTTGCAGAACACCTCCTCAAGCCACAAAATATGAAGTGTTGTGATTCAGGGGCTACTGCAATTAATATATTTTATATAGCGAATAGAGAGCAGCTAGCATTCTTTTGCATTACATCAGGTATGAGCACTTGGTCTCTGAGGGAGTCAGAATTATAATGGGTCAATCATGAAAATAATGAACAATTCATTGATAAAACCCTACTAAGCTTCAGTTAGTCCTGGAGGACGTGGCTGATGAAAGCCTGGAAAACCACTGTCCCCACTTGGATGCCTAAGGCATAAACAGATGTTCAAAATTGCCATTCGTCCCCGTCCTACACCCGGATCGGATTGTATCCCCGCCTCGTCCAATTTAGTGTATATTCGTGCTGTGCGCAGCTGTTGCAGCCTGCCTCCTTCCCCCTGGCTCTACTCGCCTTCCATTCCCTTCTCTCCCCTTGGCTTTCTCTGCCGGCCGCTGTCCGTGGTGCTGAAGCAGAGCGCGGAAGAGAGAACCGGGGGAAGCAACAGCAGGGAGGAGCTTCCCTTTGAAGGGCATGTGGCAGCCGCCGCTTAGAAACCGGGAGATCCGGGAAAAGAAGGAGGAGGAGGAGCCACGGCTAAGTAACCTTCAGGCTCTCGCAGGCTCTCAGGGAGCAGATCAGAACAGAAACTTAACAGGCATTCTGGAGCCCGGGAAGGGTCTCTGAGTCTAGAGCTACTTCCCAGAGCCCTGAAGTACCGTCTAGGATTGGGAAGCTGAGCCTGCAGCCCCAATTCCGCAGCTTCAGAGCATCTACCCGCTGCTCCCCCTCCCATTTCCTGGCGTAAGGAAGCAGCCAGCTTGCTGAGCGTCTGACTTTCACCTCCTAGGACCCCTGTCCAGTGCTGACCCTTACCACCTGTTTCCTAGAAGAAACAACCCACCCTAGGAGTCGCCATGGGGAAGATGCTCCCAGCCCAGGAGGCAGCAAAAATCTACCACACCAACTATGTGAGGAATGCCCGAGCCATGGGGGTCCTGTGGGCCCTGTTTACCCTCTGCTTTGCTGTGATCATGGTGGTGACTTTTATCCAGCCCTACTGGATCGGGGACAGCATTGACACACCACAGGCTGGCTACTTTGGCCTTTTCTCCTACTGCATTGGCAATGCCCTTACAGGGGAACTCATCTGCAAGGGCAGCCCGCTGGACTTTGGCACCATCCCCTCAAGTGCCTTCAAAACAGCCATGTTCTTTGTGGGCATCTCAACCTTCCTCATCATTGGCTGCATCTTCTGCTTCAGCCTCTTCTTCTTCTGCAACGCAGCCACTGTCTTCAAGGTGTGCGCTTGGATGCAGCTGGCAGCATGTGAGTGGGGCTTAGGGGACCTGGAGGGAGAGGGGAAGACACTCTTGTAAGAGTCGCACACCTGCGCTAATGGGAGTAGCCTCAGGGCCAAGCAATACCATTTTGGGGACAACATAGCTCTTTGCCTCTGTTTTCCAAAGGCCACCTGTGTAGATATAATTCAAATCTGCCGGTGGCCATTTTGGATTCAAGCTACATTGGCACCAACACAAACCAGGTTTCGGAACATAAAATTTGCTGCTGAAGCTTCCAGTACATAAGATGGTAAGTGAAATTGGTTTTGTGATGTATATATCAGATCCTTGTGTGGGACGCAGGTGGTGCTGTGGGTAAAACCTCAGTGCCTAGGACTTGCCGATCGCATGGTTGGCGATTCGAATCCCCGCAGCGGGGTGAGCTCCCGTCTTTCAGTCCCAGCTCCTGCCCACCTAGCAGTTCGAAAGCACCCCTAAGTGCAAGTAGATAAATAGGAACCGCTTTATAGAGGGAAGGTAAATGGCGTTTCCGTGTGTGGCACTGGTGCAGGCTCGCCAGAGCAGCTTCGTCACGCTGGCCAAGTGACCTGGAAGTGTCTCCGGACAGCGCTGGCCCCCGGCCTCTTAAGTGAGATGGGCGCACAACCCTAGAGTCGGACACGACTGGCCCGTACGGGCAGGGGTACCTTTACCTTTACCTATATCAGATCCTTAGAGGAAATAAAGCATTTCCAACTTCTTATACAAGTGGTTGCCCAGATTACATGGATGCAAACGCTAAATTGTCACTGCAGCCAATCATTGCTCCCTGATCAGTGCACCTATATGCTTCATATGATGGCAAGTGAATCCTTGTACAATTCATATTTTCTTATTTTTGAACGTACACTTAAATATGCAATATGTGAAGTCTTCCATAAATATAAGTCTTTTTGCCTTAAATTTCCAGATGGGTAGGCAGGTCAGTCTATTGCAGTGCAAACGATGAAGTCTTGTGGCACCTCAAAGACAAACAAATTCATTATGGCATAAGCTTTTGTGGACTACAGTCAACTTTCTACTCTCCATAGATTATCCTGTTTAATCTGGTGTTTACGTAATGAATAAGAGTGACTGCCTAATTAAGCCCTGCTAGTAATGGCAATGTCCAAGAGAAGGCACAGCTAGGATTTGGTGAAGCTTTTAGCTGTCCAGATTCAGTCCTGCTAGGTCTGTGAAATTCTACAGGCAGAAGAAGTTGACATATAATCAAGACACTTGAAACCTTTTGAAATATTTACACCAGTGAGAAATGTTGATAGCCTTCTTATATTACCTGCAGAGTTCTGCTTCAACAGGTGGAAGATACATTTGGTGAGAGACATTGGTGGCATAAACCAAGATGAACAACACTGTATTTTGTGGTTTTATATTCTGATTTTATCCTGTGAACCGCCCCGAGATCTGCGGGTATAGGGGGTATACAAATGTAATTAATAATAATAATGATAAGAATAATAAGGGAAGCCTCTGGTTCCAGCTGTCTCCAAAGCTTGGGAGTCAGAGGCTTGAAAAGGCCCGCAAGTGGCTCACAGTGATCAAAGAGCAGAAACACAGGAAGAAAAGAAAAGGATGGGTAAGCAGGGGGATGTGTGTGTTTAATGATTTCAAGTACAAAATTTCATGTTTCATGTTGCCATATTAGCTGCCAAGAAAGATGCCAAATAGCAGCATTGATCTATTTTATGATACCCACTTGCATAACTGTAGGAGACTATTTAAACCATGTATGACTCTTTATCTTACCGGTTTAGTATCTTAATCCCATACATGACCAGTGAACCCATTTATTCTGAACTGGAGGGTCATTGAATTTATTTACCAAAGACTTACAGAATTGTCTGAGATCTCAGGATGTGAAGAATGAACCTCTGCTTTCTGGAAAGATAGCATTTATACATTTCAGTGTAATCTGGGAGAGAAGGTCAAATCAAACTGTGCATGGCACATTAAGTAGAAGCCCCAGCAGAAACACCAACTAAGATCTAAGACAGGAAGGGATGCGGGTTATAATGAAGAGGAAGCTGATGGGAAGCTAATAAAGTTTTCTTTCTTTATAAAGTCCATCCTAGGGAGAAAGCAGTGCCAGAGAGTCATCATCATGTTATGGCATTGTAGTCTAGGCTGTCACAATTCCTAGTGGCAGAGATCAATTGTGTCTGTAAGCAAGGAAGACAGAAGGCAGCACATTTATTACTGGCATGAAAGAATGCTCTGCAACAGAGGTTATACTGTCTCTTGATGCACTGGTGTATAGTAGTATATCAAAGTACTGTAACTGTGACCATGTGGCTGCTTTAGAGCATCAATTGCTGCATGTCACAGAAAGAACATTCACAATGGATATTAACAGAGCTTTACTGGATGCTTTTTCTACCACACTTGCCAGTGATGAAAAATGCTTGTGCAGCCCAGAAGGGCTTGTGTTAACATACAAATAATGATTCCATGACAACAGAAGCACTTAAACAAGTCTAATTCAGAACAGCAATGCTACATAAATGAACCCTATTCCATACTTATGCAGTAATCCTGGCTTATTTGGTTGTTTACAGCTTGGTTTGTTTGGATGAGTCATCTTGAGCTTTTTGCTCCATTAGCAGCTTCTGTTCTCCTTGTAGGAGAGGTTAATGATCTGTAGATATCTCATTAGTGGCTTGTCTGTCTTTGCTACAGGCCAGCTAGGCTGATTGTCAGTCCCATTCAGCTCTTGGATTCTATTTCAAAAGGAATAGGAACACCACAAGTGCATATTACTGTTTTAATCCTTTAACTTTCATAGTTTTACCCAAAGATTAATGTAATTCAGAATTAGACAAGGTGCCAAGAAAAATCCACAGTTCTTTTTCACAGAGCTACTATTACTGGATTCTCTAAGGAGCAGAAATTGACCAGTCCATCAGATTAGCTAAACCATATCTGTAGTGTAGATAAAATGCCCTAACACAATTACTACAGGTGAAATAAAGCCAGTAACATCTTGAATCTGGGGGTCTCCCGTTGGCTTAGAATGTCTGTGCAGTGTTGTAAAAACACACAAATGTACTGCGACCACCATTCTGCATCCCTCTTTAGATAGGATTATATTATAAAAGGGATCTACATTAGTTATTGCAGCAGCACAACTCAGGAGCGAAGATGCTGCTGTTCTTGCAGAGGACTTGGTCCTCACACTGCAGCTTCCTATGATGGATGTGGCCCCAGGCACTGCTGAAGAACAATTCACAGATCCCTTTTGTAATGTGTAAAGCGTCTTCTGCATTTAACTGTGGCGATGTGTTATCTCAGATATCTAAATAAAGTTGTCATAAATAACGCAAGTGGTTCCAAGGGAAGTCATTTTTCATTCAAGATCCTGGAACTGAAGTGTTGCCAAGGGAACAAAGAAATGATGCAAAACTACATCTCTCAGCAAAGAAACTCCAACAAGGCTTATTCTTTAGAGATGCTACAACCATACCACTTAAATGTACGAGATATAATAGGCTGATGTCACAGGCAAACTATATGCATGTGCACTTAAGAGAAACAGTAGATTGCATGAGGCATATATGTTATATTCCAGAAAAACAAGGCACCTACTACAATGATAATCCATATCTAGCAGCCTCCTTCCTAGTCCTAGACACATGAGGTTGGGGTGTGGTTACTCTGTAGTGAAGGACCTGGTGCTGACAATTGCTCCCACACATTCATATCATCACTAGTTAAGCTAACATAGAACTGTGCCCATCAAAGGCAGAGACGCTGAATGGCAATGACCTTCTCCATGCTGTGGAGATGAGTGGCAGTTTGCAAGGGATTCTGCCTTGTGTCACCACTGATGCAACACTGAGCAAAAGCACTCCATTTGTGTTGTTTGGCTCTCTTCATTTCATTCAGCCCCTCTTCCACCTCCATCCCACAATTTCTGGGAGAGATTTGAAGGACGTTACTGGAACCAAGATTATGTTCGATAACCCTCTTGCACCATGCAAACATCCTGAATGAGACAAGATGAGATCACGTATGGCCTGCAGTCATCTATTTGGAAATCTTATTAATGCAAAGCATCTTTCCCTGCAGGTGCAGGCTTGGCAATAGGCTGCCTGCTCTACCCTGACGGCTGGGACTCACCTGAGGTAAAACGTATGTGTGGTGAGAAGACTGACAAATACACACTGGGGGTGTGCACAGTGCGCTGGGCATACATCCTCTGCATCATTGGGATCCTGGACGCCTTCATTCTCTCCTTCTTGGCATTTGTGCTTGGCAACCGGCAAGACAATCTCCTTCCATCTGACTTCCAAGTGGATAATAAAGGTGATCCTATTGTGTATATGGAATCTCTCTCAGGGCAGACACCACCCTCCAACCGACTAATACCTTGTAGGATAGCATTAGGCATGCATTCAGAAGTGCCAGGACTATGGGATATGATGAGGGAATGGTGGTTCCGAGCTGTGCTTAACTGCATAGTTTACCCAGATGTGTGCTCATGCAGCAACAGTAACTGCAGTGGGCAATTTGAGTTGATTTCAATTATTACTTTTATATCCAGCCTTTCTTCCATGGTGAAACTCCAGCTGGCAAATAGTATCCAACTTGCCTCCCATCCAGGTACTGACCACACCTGCTTTACTTGAGCATAGTTGCTTCATCATGTGGTGGTGGGGAGCTCAGTCCTTGTGCCATGGTACAGGGAGAAACCAAGTATTTAATAGAGAGGGCTTACTTGAAGGGTGCACATGTCAAGGCTTCTGCATAACTATATCCCTGAAAAACAGCCTGTAATGCAAATGCTTCTGCATGAATGCCAAAAACTCAAGTCTATGTATACAACTCCAAGCAAGCTTCTAGCAGGTGTAGGTATGACTCTCCCCTTAAATATATATGTTTGCTAGATACTAAGCAGCACCGCAATAGCCCTGTGGACAGATGATCTATCTTTTCCTCATTGCCCATCATCCTTCAAAGCCCTGCTCATCCATGGAATTCAGGTCTAGTCAGTTGTGATGAAGCCGATACACTTCTAGTGCAGTCCTTATTGGTACACTGGGTACTAAATTGAGCCAGTTCTCATTAACTGCAAGCGGAAATTGCAAATACAGAAAGGGAGTGACAACCTTTTTGCATATATAATCATGGCTAGTGATGGCTTTCAATTTAGTACTAGAGGTTCAGGCTGCACATCACACACCTTCTCCCCTCCCTGAGTAAGTGTGGGCTCGTGTGCATCATGACACTCTTTTGGGCCATGAAACAAGGGCTCCTTAAATAGTAGTCATGAGGCCTGGATACTTTTCAGGGTCACCATTTGAATGTTGTTGTTTTTTGTCTTGCAGAAGAAGGAAATGAATGAAGACAAACAACCTCAAGTGTACCTTGACTGAAGTGGGCGACATACACATTCCAACTATGACGCTGGAGTCAAGAAGGCTGCTTGATACGCGCTCCCAGACTTTTATTGCCTGCAAACATTCAATTGTGCTATGACACAAAACCAAAGGCACCACAAAAAGGGGGGGGTGAGGACTCCTTTTGGAAAACGAACCCTTCTTTCTCTGGAAAGATCACCTACTAGATTCTCAAAACCTTTGCCTTTGCCAAGAACTATACCCAAATATTCTTGAACTGAAGATCTGCTATGCAAGAATCAACATATTCATGACATTCTCTTTTAACTGAGGGATCCAATCAATCAAGAGACAATGCAGGCATATAATAAGTAACAAGCAGCCTATGTGAAGTAATCTGTTCCCTCCTTTGTTTACATGAAGCCAGAGTGGAAAGCCACAAAAGTAATTGAGGCCCCATGACAGGCATGCCCAGGAGGATAGTAGACTTCCTTCTTTGAAGAATGACTTTCTACCCTGCACTACAGAGTGATCGTGAAACTTCCTTCCAGTCATGAGTTTGCTGTGCATCAAGGAGAGCTGCTGACTATGGAAAATATCTCATTAGGTGTGCAGTTGCTTGCAGTTTTCCAAATTTGGTCTTTTATTCTGTTCTTATGTTCAGTGTAGCCTACTGAGGTTTTCCGTAAAGCATAAATGAAAGAAATCTGCAGCAAAAATTAGCAGTTCCAACAAGATGCAGTAATACTGGCACCCAAGGAGAATAGGTCTATAAGCAAGTCCCAGACATCAGCCACAAAGCTAACCCTCCCCTCCTTTGCCCTTACAAAATATCCCACTAAGATACCAAAAGAACCACAGAACAAGCAAAACATGCTAGTAGTTGGTAATGCATCTCTGCAGGAGGCTCTGTCCACTGCACAGAGCGTATTAGAAATAAGCTCAAATGATAAGATTATGCTAAACAGATCTACTCTGAAACCCAAGAGTATTAACTGGATTTCTCTTTATGGTTAATTATCTGGGACAATTCAAACATCTCTTCCTGCAATGAGACCAGTATTGCATTAAGATGCTACAGAGTTAAAATAAGCTGCTAGTATTGTAGTGTAAATCTTAACTTAGACCATGATAATGAAATGTCTGATCAATTATGCATTGTGGTTTATGCTTTCAAGAATTAATTTCATCATCTTTTCTCCAGCAGTCTAAAAGCAGACCACCATTTCCTGAACTCATCAGCCACCAATATTCTTTGTTTCCTTTTCCTGCCCTGCAGCCATGCAACTAGATAACTATATCCCCATAACACAGCAGTGCTTGGATTTAATTTAAGCTTCTCACTGTCTCACAGCCTGTTCAGATAAGAGGCTCTACTGTACGAAACCTGTGGATGAATATAGACAGCATTATCAAAAGTACTTGTGGATTATTTAATAACCTGTTTATTGTGCTGCTGCATTTACAAAGAAAAAAAGACAATGCACCCAATAGAAAGAATAAAAATGTATTTTTTTCCTTCAGGTTTTAGAACGACAAAACAAGTACAAATCTGTTAGTGAGCACTTTATGGCAATTTGGAAGTTGAGTGAATCCAATGTGAGCCCCCAAATATGTAGGCGATCCTGACAAGCTACCTCTTGTATTATCCTAGAACTTCTCTCTTAGTGCAAAAGAGGTGGCAGCAGCCTTCTTCGGTGGAGGGGAACCTATATCAAAACCCAAGAGATGCAGCCTCCACACCTAGGAGCATTTTGTTCCATTCAGGTAGGCAAGATGTTGATGCAAACTAGGTTGCATTGACACCGGAAATTCAATTCTCCCTGCCAGCAAGTTTTCACAGTATTCAAAAAGAAAGTATGTATTTATACATTCTATTTCGATCCTTACAGTCAAGCAAAGAAGTGCTTCTTGGAGGTGAAGAAGATACTTTAGATAACCGGAGTATCATTTAAAACTATTGGAACCTTTTCCTTTTCATCTTAAGATTGTACAAAGAGAACATTGCTTAAGATCTCCTAAATGGACATGCAGCACAGATTTTGCAAAAGCCTCAGTCAGGTATAATATGACAGTGCAGCCAAATTCGAAAGTGAAGGAGGTATGATGGTTAAACTTCCATTTAAGATAAAGTAAAATAAAACTGCACCAGATTTTTTTTTGCAAAGGATAACGAGGGTTTAAGATGACTATAAGCTGGGATTTCTGCCAAGAGAAAACAACCGAGAAGAGTGTTTTCCTGCTGGTAGCTTTTGCATTGAATTGTCCCTCAGAGTGCCTTCAATTCTGAGTCCTCCAGCAGTTTCCAGCCTGGGAGAATTTTGCAATCTCAAAGGCCTATTTGGTCCATGGGAAGTCTCCAAACCTTACATTTGAGCAAGATGCTGGGGATTTAAAAAAAACCACAAACAAACCTGGGAAAACCTAGGAGATACTCATTGTAAAACTAGCAAGAGTTACATATCTTTCTAATAAAATAAAAAGCCTACAAGAGTCAGTCACAACTAACCCCTTTTCCTAGGAGTTTTACAAGCTGGCGTTGTATATTCTCTGCTGAGCAACAATGGCTGTAATGATTCTGGAGAACAGAATTTGACACTTCATCTCTAGGGGTGGGTGGGGAAGATTCAAACTACTCTGTTCCCCTAGATTATTTGTTCTGCTGTTAATACATAGGAAGAAATTCTATTCGAAAGGGGATTTCTAGAGTCCAGCCCCTTGGACAGTTAACAGGGTATATATATCATTACATTCATTAACCTTTGGAAATAGGGTGATTGATAGTCTGGACACAGCTGGAAAGACAGCCCCCAATATTATCTTTCCTTATTGTTGAAAAGGAAGAACATATCCTGTTTTTCCAGACTGAAAACGTAACTGCTCTCTCCTAAAAAGACAATTTCACACAAGGCCAACAAGGCCCCTAGGGGCATAAGGGAGACCTATGGAAAAAGTGGTCTGCCACAGGCTGGATCACCTCCTGGCTTTTGTAGCAGAAACCATGCCATCGTCAAATGCCTTTTGGGCCACTGTACACTGTTGGCAAGCCCCGTATTGCCTGGGGCTGCATGTTGGGCAAGTCTGGCACTGAACCTGGGCAACCTGGCTGCCCCTCTGCAGCCAACAAATGCACAGAGCCATACTTGTAAAGAGACAGTGACCTCTACCAATGCCGGCTGCCTTTATTTTCCATGTGAAACTTACTGGAGTTCACATGCTACGGCTTTGGAGAGCAGCTTATTTCATGGGACTCAGAAACTCAAGTGAACATGGAGGGGTCAAAAAATGGTGCTAAAAAAAAGAGAGGTACAGTTCATAAGAGGTCGTTTCAAAGGATTAAATGGCTAAAACTAGAGAAAAAGAATAACAAGCAAAAAAGAAAGTTACCCAAGCAGCAGAGCAGACACCTTAGGAATGAGTCGAGTCGAGTTCAGTGCTCCACATGGAGCTACCACCTTGGTGCCATCTGCCATTTCTCCTCTTACTGTCAGCAACTGGATGTGCACTAAGAAAATGACTCCCAGAGTCAGTGAGCTAAGGAGGGATTCACAGCTCTTCACATCCCCCTTGGGATGACGGCAATATAGTTAAGGGAGTGTGTCCCAATGGAGATTTCCCCACACCTTCAGGGTTAGGTACTTGAGTAAGGAAGAGAGTCAGGGGTCATTTCACATTCCTGTAAAAACTCTTTGGCAAACTCCAATCACGGCAAAACATATTGGACGCCCACTGGCTGACAATAGTCCCTACTGAGTCGAGTACACAAACTCACATGAACGGTTAGATTTATCTAAAATCTCAAAAGCCCTCAAGGAGAAGCTTCACTCTGAAAATCAACAAGGAAAAAATTGACCTGGGAGGAGAGGGAAGGGGCAGCTGGGACATCTAGGTGTGTATATATTATGCTGTAAACCCGGTTATAGGGCCAATACATCTAGGAGTTGAGCCAGGGGTGCCTGAGACACTGTGCTGCTGTAGCTCTCTTCTCAGGATTCAGTTCCAGCATAGGTAATAAGAAGTCTGTGAATGCAGCTGCCTCGTCTTGGGACCACTCATATTTCTCCACCAAAACTTCAAAAAGGCCCCATGGCTTCAGTTTGGTGATGTGCTTCAGATCACCTGAGAACAATGACAGGAAGATTAACAAGGCTCACATTAACATGAACAGGAAGGCAAACAGAACAGGTATCAGGATTCTAATGCTCCCTTCTAAATGATATTGCTCAACAGAAAAAGGAGTATTTTTTCTCTTTCAAATTTAACACCCAGCGCAAGGCAAGTTGTAAATTATGGACTGTATGAAGTAGTGATAGGTAGGCAGTGTTGTGCCAAATATGGACTACACTTTAAGGAAGTGTCTGGACTCTGGGAAATTTTTTTGAGAAGTCTGGTATTCCATGTTCTCTGTCTTCCTCACTTTCCAAAAAGCCTAAATCCCAATCCTGCTCTACACCTGCTGTCATACAATGTCAGGTGGGCAGGACTTGGGCAGGACAAATGGCATTGTGGGCCAAAATGGGACCTCAGTGGGCCTAATACAGCCTGTGGGCTGAAGCTTCCTGACCAGCGGCCCAAGGGGCCCCAATGGTTAAAGAAGTCTGACTTTGTTTCCAATGAATGAAAAGTAGAAATAATTATAAGCAAATGAGTAACCCTCTCTGCCACTGCTCATATACATCAGCAAAGTAAATGGGCACTTTGTTATTATAAAAGAAAACAAACAAGCAAAATAATAAAAACTAGATATTCCAACTACCCCAGGTCTGGAACCCTCAGCCATTCAACCTCAGATTATTTTCGCCTTACCTTTTTTGGTGAAGAACTCCTTGGAGTATTTTCCAGCCACAATGAGCTTGCGAGGTATTTTCCCCAGAAGTTCTATGATTAATGCAATATGGTCTGTATTCCCCAGGAGAGGGCATGAAAGAAATAATATGCAATAGTATTAACACACAATGGCTTTCATCCAGTTAGTGTGCTCTTTCTACCTTCTTCCCCGCTGGATTTGAGTTTTTGTCCTGCTCTCCCCCCCCCCCCCCCCCCCCGTTTTCTATTGCTCTGGGTCAGTCTATTCTGGTAGACATAAATCTCTACATTGGGAATAGTCCTTTTTATGTGTTACCTTTCTATTAAAAATATTTCAAGGAACTTAATGCTGTTAAAAACGAACCATTGATTATTTAATAAATGACTAACAGTAACACGCTGGAACTTAAAACAATCTGTTTTTAAATCTGATATAGAAAATGAGCTGCATAAAGTACCAGTAGACTCCAGCAGACCAGTATTAAAAGCTCTCAACAGAATAAAGAGGCTAGATCTCTTTTTGAGGTCTTGCTTTGTAGAGCTAGAACTTCCAAACCCCCTTGCGTAGGAACTATGTGCAGAAATAATTTAAAGTACTAGAAGTAGTAGGTACTCACCTTCATCCCTTGAGTAATCTTCTCCAGAGTGAGGCTCAAACAGATAGTCACCCGTAGCCAGTTCGAAGGCCTAAACAAGAAAATGTCAGACAACTTTCAGGGTCTTTGGGGGGAATACAGTCATTTGGTATAAAAGCCACAATGCTAATCACACGTTAGTGTGTAGAGAAAAGGAATCTACTCTAAATTATGGTGCTGAAAGAGTATGTCAGGGACCTGCCATCAGAACAGGGGTGGGAAACAGAAGGGCAGTTGTGTTACAGGGAGCCTCCGAAAATCTTGCGAAGCAGTTCCTCTTCTCGTGATGAGGAAAACCCCACCTCCAGTGGGGAAGAGGTGAAAGGACCAGAGGACTCTGGTGGGAGCCTCAGCCTCAGAGCTGCCCCCTCTGTCGCCCACCCTGCGCAGAAGTCTAAAGCGCAAAGAGGGAAGGAAAAGGCTGGGCGTAACGAGGCTTTTATGCTGGAGGAGGTCCAGGAAACAGGCACTCCCGGATTCTGCTAGTGATTGAGGCAGACATGAACTTTGGGGTTCTGCACTGTAAATAGTTTGCACCCAAATAAAACCTGTAAAAGACAGGTCGGAGTCCTGCCTGATTACTCATGAGCAGCCACCCTTGCCATCTGACAAGTATCATGACTACTTCAGGGTTCTTTTAGTCAAGCAATTTTGATTCAAAACAAGGTCCACATCCCAGAGTGCCTTGCTCACCAAACTGCTGATACTGAACACAGACATATAACTGGTTAGGCTGTAGACCTGTAAATTACTTTGTTCATGAAGTCTGAAACAAGCAGCCTTACCGAACATTGGCAATGTAGTAATATTTTTTTTTTTTAGTAAAAAGCTTGCTTCTATTAAATGAAAGCTTCATTTAATTTCTAATAGCACGCTTCATTTCATTTCAGGGCAGTACAGATATAACAAATGCAAAACACACACACAACAAAACCAAGAAAACAGCAGACAAAACTTTAAAACAGATTCAAATGTACTATCAGCTTATTGCAATTTAACAGTAATTTAATTCCTGCAGAATTCTGCAACTGACACCACTTCAAAGATTTAAGACAATGTGATTGAACTTACCATGCAGGCTGTACTCCAAATATCAGCTGGGGTGCTATAACCGGCTCCAATCAGTACTTCCAAGGATCGGTATTGCCGTGTCTGAATGTCCTCAGTGAAATGTTTATGCTGTGGGTTTAAAATGAGAGATCAAAGGAGATTCCAGAGACCAAGTAGACATGTACTAGGGAATGAATACATCTGAGAAATGAACCCCAGTGAATTCAAAGGCGTGTATAGGCACTAGCTGGTGTCAACAGAGCCCCTAGTGTTGCTGTTAGAGGACAGATCTGCAAGATGTAATATAGCTCTCCATTATCTGGTGCTCATTCCTTTACTTGGTCTGCCCTCCCTCACCCTCATCTTCCCTTCTGCCTACCCCAGTGCTAATTAGGATGTTATACAGCATCAACAAAGGCTTGCGGTCACTTTTGTGGCTCTAATATGGGGCTGAGACAAACTTGGGTACTCAATTTGAAGATGCACCTTGGAAATCAATGTGCCAAAAAAACCCTGACTCTATCTATCCTTGAGTCCAGTCTCAAACATGTTTTGAGATGAATCTGTACTGCTACCAAACAGAGGATTACTGGACCACTCCCTATGGAACGCTGGATGCCTGTTGATCGTGCGACATATACTACCACAAGTGGTGCTCATACACAGTGATACAGACCTTTTGGTCTCAGGTATCACAGGAAATCTCTGCTAACGTATCACAAATTGTACCTTCCTTGCCACAGCGGGCCTTGCTCTCTATCTTTCCAGAGGAGATGTGTGAATTTCTGTATCGGGAGTTTATTTCTTTTGCTGGCTGTGAAGCTGAAGGTTGCTCAGCATTGGAACCAGAGCTCCCCCTTCACTTTGGAGGAACGGTGGAACCAAGTTTGGAACCTTCCACTATTAGAAAAGCCAACTTACATGATCAGGCTATGTACAGGCTTGAATGAAGTGGACAGATTAGTTTAGAATACTGCTTGCATACATTGACCCCCTGGTCACCAACTAACTTGCTGCAATGAACTGATCCAACCGTGTCACATGAACTCTCAATGTTACATTGAAGATGTGCTGCCTGTAAGAAGCTAGATCTAACTTCTCATTGTAGTCAGCGTATTTTTCAATACCACTACTAACAGTACCACTACTGTTTGGTTTCCTGCTTATTTGGTGGGAATGTGGGGGGGGGGGGTCTGTATGGGTGTCTGTGTGTAAGACACCAATTTTTAATAAACAGTATTAATGGGGGGGAAATATCAGAGGTATGTTTGCTACATTCACCTGAGCTAACTGCAAAGAGACAGCAGTTTCTGTAACAGTGTGGAAAGAGCTTTAAAACTTACCACCCAGCAAGCATTTCCTAGGTCAGCTATCTTCACTTTGAGCTTATCTGCATTCCCAGGCTCAAGAGGATTAAGGAGGAAATTTCCAGCAGCTGATTTTCCTAGGCACAGCACAAACAACAGCCAGTTAACTCCACATGGACAGGCCCACCATCTGCCACACAAATTCTAAAAGCATCATTGTTTATTAGAGTACTAGTCACTCCTTGTCTGGAGTCAAGTATTAATTTCACATCCATGAGTTGGTTTGGATGTCACTATAAACCGTGGCTTAATGCGACAGGAAATACAGAAGCCTTGAGCTCATGTGCTCCCCCCTTCTCCTGCAGTGCTACTATAAGTGGAAGACCAGAAGCTCTTGCTTCTGTTTGTGATCAATCACAGCTTGTCAGTTCTGCCAAACCTGGCAAATTGTGGTTGACTTTAACTATTTAACTTTTAGAATCTTCAAGCCGTGTGTTATGGAGAAAGGAAGAACCTTGACAGTTCTTATTTTCTTAGAACCAGGGCCAGCTCTAATAGAGAAGTTTTCACTTCACAATGAAGCACAATAAAGGACAGAGAATAAACTAAAGCCAACTCATGCCTTGTCTAATCTCACCTCAGACTTTGCTGGATGACTTTAAACAAGTCATTATCTGGCTTCTCCCTGCTTCTCCTTTCATATGGGGAAAAAACAATACTAGCGTGCCTTACAAGGAATGCTGCTGTAAGATTATCATGATCATGTGTGAGAAATGCTTTGGAAGCTTAGGAAATGTTGATAATATATCAACATGATTGTGGCATATTCCATAACACGGTTTGCATCAAAATTGCACAATTTATTGCTTATACAGAACCCATGTCCTGTACCTTGGCTGTTCTCAGATGACTCATTATTCTCATTCTCATCCTCCGAAGGGATTTCTGCCCTGATGCTCTCTTGCAAATGGCTGATCTGCTGTTCACTAAAATACTGTCCGTCGCTTGAAGTTGCTTGGCATATCATTGAATCTGCAACCTCCAAAATTAAGGGCTCGCAGGAGTCTGATAACGCTTCCTGTATGCTGGCCTCTGGGCCACCATTACTTTGGTTGTAAGTACAGCTCTCCTCTTCCTCCTCCTCCTGCGAGGGCCTGCTGCAATCATTGGCATTGTGAAGGTCTTCCTCCAGTCTCACTGACACTTGGTTGATGGACTCTGAGAAGGTAGCCATTTGCATCACTCCATTACAGTTGATCTCTGTTATGCATTTTTCAACTCCTTCCATTAAGACAGCTTGCTCTGATACAAGGGAAATGTCATCTAGATAAAAGAGAAAAACTGGAGTTATAATGGAGTTATAACTAAACGGGTTTTAAATGACTAGTGATTAGCTATGAAGTGCAAACAGTATCCAATACTGCAGCTGTTCTAATCACTTATAAACAGTGGCTTAAGATGTCCATTACATATTCTGGGAAAATGCTAATTCCTATGGTAACAATAATGATCTGTTAATATTTTCTTTTCCTGTAGAGTTTTTATCATCACTTGTGTTATGTTTAATGTCTATTAATGATTATTTTAAAACCTCCTCCCTTTCAAAGGATGCGTTATTACCAAGTACACCCAAAGCACATATTTTCTAGAAATCCATACCTGTCTTTTCTGGCAGCTCTTCATCTGGAGGGGTCTCTTTTAAGAGCAGCTCAAGTGGCTGTGGAATTTCTTGCTGCTCCTCCTGCTGCTCCTCAGGCTCTGCTCGCAGTGGGACGGCTTCCTTCTCCATCTCCTCAATTTCCTGAATTCGCTTCTCCAGCAGCTCCGCTTGTCGTTTCTGTTTCTTTTTCAATTTCTTTTTCTTATTTTTTGACATTTTGTCAGCCTGTAGGGTAATTGCAAATACACCACCCCTCAGGCATCTATTGCCTACTGCAAATAATCTGGCAGACTTTTTATATAGAAAAAGTAGTTAAATAAGGGAAAACAGAAGGAAATAACACCATCCCTCTGATCATACAGAACATCCAGATATCATGAACATTTACACTGCAATCCTATACATGTTTATACGAGTTCAATTTGGCTTATTTCCAGGTTTGCAAGTAAAAGGATTGCCACCATAAATCCAGTATTTCAATCCTATTCTCATAATTCTAGTATGTGCTTGTTAATGATGCACTCCTAAGCTTACTCAGAATTCCTACTGAGTTCAATGTCACTCCCATGTAAGTGGATATAGGATTGCAGTCTAAGTGCAAATTAGAAGATGTCAAACAAAGCCTCTCTGAGGTGAGCGCTCTTGGATGTCAATACCATTTACTTAGCAGAAAAATTCTCCATAATTATTCTTCCTTGTGTAAATTGATAGTCCTCATTGATAATATCTGGCCACATTCTAGATCAGGCAAAGGCAAATTCGGCCCTCCAGATGTTTTCAGACTACAACTCCCATCATCCCTAGCTAACAGGACCAGTGGTCAGGCATGATGGGAATTGTAGTCTCAAAGCATCTGGAGGGCCGAGTTTGCCTATGCCTGTTCTAGATATTTCAGATATTAAACAAGGAACCTTTGCGCACTACAGACCAGTTCACATCATATTTATTTCATTCAAGTGAGCAGTTCAGACTACCTCCAAGTACGTGTTCATACGAATAAATATATGATACGAACAGAAAAATCATAGATTTGGTCATCAGAAATTCCGCAATTGTAGTAGCTAGAAAAATATTAAAAAACTATTAACAGTACAACTAAGGCAAAGAAAGGGTAACCATTAAGAGAACTGAAAGAAATGGAGTGTATATGGCAGCATGCTAAAATATGAGCCCCTGGGATGGTGGGAAATAGAAATCTAAATATGTCCAGACACAACTGTGCTATTTGGTAGGAGCCTTCCCACAGCACTGGAACTGCTCTGTAAAAAGACAGTGTACATCTGAATGCAAAGTTTAACTCATTTATAACATGCACAAGTTATTACACTTACTGGTTTGGGCTGTGGTGCAGTACTCACTGTGAAGTAAAAAAGAAATACAATTAATAAGCCTGCAATCGTGCTATTAAAGTGGCATGCTACTCAAACTATTCTATAGTTAACAGAAAACTACTTCTGCAACATGACTGCAGTATAGAAAAATAGGAAAATGTTCTCATCAAGTCATCAACAGATTGAATTCCAACACTGAGCAGCATTGGAAGACAGGCATCTACTTAAATCACTCCTGCAACAGTGAGAAGCTGTTCCAAACACTAAATTGTTACCTTCTTATGGAAGCAGAGAGAACTCGATGTCAGATTATTATACATAACAACAATTATGTTATCAATTGTCAGGCCACTCAACCGTTTTCAAAGTGAGGGGAATAATTACATGCAAGTGAGGCAACACAGCAGCACGTACACAGTACTTTAAAAAGTGAACTGAGATGACACATAGGTAAGTCAAGAGTGCATTAAGTCCACTTCAAGTTCCATCAATTTCCAATTAACCACAGTCGTACCTTGGAAGTCAGCCTAGTTCTCAAACATTTTGGCTCCTGAACGATCAAAACCTGGAAGTGACTGTTCTGCTTTTCTAACATTCTTTTGGAAGCCGAATGTCTGAAAGACATTGGCTTCCTGCAGCCAATCAGAAGCTACACTTTGGTTTTCGGAAGTCGAACAGACTTCCGGAATGGATTCCGTTCGACTTCCAAGGTACGACTGTACTTGAAATAGTAAATCACAGGTAGTCAGCTGACAGTCCACAAAAATAATTTTCATTGGCCCCTGGCAGACCTATGTTTAATCAAGGGGTAAAAATGTTTAATAGACAAGAAAGAGCCTGACCACTGGAGAAGGACAGGGTTGTGACCCCTGGACCTCTGTTTTGAAAACTGACTGGTCTTGAAGAATACAGATACAGCAAGACATTTAACAGTTGTCATGGCTACTGCTCTGTAACCATACTCTTATGAAAGCTTCAGGTACGGTGTACCACCTTGGCTGGTGACTGAAAAGGATGGAGTTCATGTAGTCTCAATAAAACACCACAGATTTGGTGGAGACCAAATTGGGAACACCCTCCCCGCTTTTACCATTAGTCAATGCTCTTCAAAAGTAATCCTGAGATACTGTTGCACAGCTCTTTGGCAGCACCAGGGAGGATTCAATTTCTGTATCAGATTTGTCTTAAAAGATTGAACACCTGTAATAGTAAAGCCACTTAATGGAGAGTCTACTTATACATAATATATACGGAATGTATGATGGAGAGAATTTTTAAACTCTCTGGAGAATACAAAAGACTGAGCAAGGCATATCCAAGATGCACCTCACTGCAGAGGTCTTCTAAATTGAATTTCTATAAACTCTTTTATACACAACGCAACAGAAGTTGGTTGGCCTATCATCAGTTTAATTACATGAGATCAGAAACAGCATTTTAAATAATTCTCCAGCGTGGCAATTTACACACTTTTCATGAGCTCTTTACAGAACCATACAGCTAGTACTGCAATGAATATCTATTTTATAGACAAACAGAAATGGTGTTCCGTACTAATCATGTTCAGGGTGATCTAGACAGCTAATATTTGTCATATCCTAACAAACCACTTCAGAATGAACTGACTTTAAGCTAAAACACAAAAAGCACCTGCAGAGCCAGAAGGAGGGGGGGCTCCAGATCTCTGCCACTCTGTTGCTTCTGCAGCCAGCCTGCGGATATACTGGTCATTAACACACAGCAGAATGTTCTCTGGTTTAATATCAGTGTGGATAATCCGACACTTGGCGTGCAAATAGTCCAGTCCCTGCAAAACCTGCAGAGAACAAACGACAAAGGAAAGTCACATACGGGTGACAAAATGTCATTGTGTAACTTCCAAAGTACACCGAAGAGCCAGGATCTGGTAGTTGTGGTGCACAATGTGACCAAAAGCTTGATTTTATTATGAAGCAAGCAGTGAAAAAGCCAGGTTACTATGGAAACTATAGCAAAATGAGCGTTTTACTTGATCTTCAACCTACTGTTGCTGAAGGCGTAATTCCCATTCATTTTAGCACTATTCTTCTAGGCTTCCCCATCCTTCCCAGCTTTCATTTCTGTTCTTGAAGCATCAATTACAAATGGAACTTGCAACAAAGCGTTGCACAACACCTGGTGTGTGTGTGTGTGTGTGTGTGTGTGTGTGTGTGTGTTTGTGTGTGTGTGTGTGTGTGTGTTTGTGTGTGTGTTATTCAACGGGATGATGCCTCCAGTATTATATGTTAATGTACAAGTGTGTGATAATATGAAGGGAAGATACATTTTGCAGCCTGAACAACACACCCAGTCAATCTTACATGGGAATAAGTCCCATTAGGGCTTGTTTTCAAATAAGGATGCCTATGATCAGGTCAGGCCCTTGAGTGGAGGCACCACTGTGACATATTGGGATGTCCATTTCACAGCACTTTGCCAACTCCTTTTGCATATCACCTGACTCAAGGGGCTGTTCCGTACTCACAGAATGAAGAAGCAGCAGGTCAGTGTGCCTCTTTGGTTCCACCTCCTTTAGTTGCACCCATTAGGAACCAGGGCAAGTGGACAGGGCAACCGAGCAACAACCCACCTATTACCCTAGTTAGGTGCTGTCACTCCATCTCCTCTTCACCTCTTCCCACAGCCAAAGTGTGGGGCAGAGAGAAGTGAGCAAACAAATGATCCATCATCACCATCCAGCCTTTTGTTCCTGTGTGTGTAAGGCAGTTGGGGGATGGCACCCACCTGCCTCAGTAGCAAGAGTGCCCACATCTTCCCTTTGTTTCTCCCTCCCTAAGTTAACCCACCCAAATGATTCCCTCCCCCTCAACACACATACACACAAAACACATTTTATATGACCCCAAGTGGAGCAAACAAAAATGCTCCTGGAGCAGTAAAGCACACATACACAGTCCTTTGCTTCCACTTTTGGGAACTGTGCTGCCTTTTTAGAAGAGTGCCTTGTGGTTTCCTGTAATATGCAACAACCTACCCTGTTTTGCTGCCAAATCAATCAGAACAGGATCACTGATTCTGCTATTAGATAGAATCTGATTCTGCTATTAGACAGAAAGCATGAGAAAACTCTTGAACTGGCCTACTGATTCACAGCAGTTTCTTGTTATCCTTAAATACTGTGTGAAGGACCTGATCTTGGGATCCTAGAGCATGTGATGCACAGGATATCCACCAATGAGAAGTCATTGTTATAATTTTGATCTGTTCCACCAGCCCAAAGTGCAGCAACTGACATCACAGAGAGTCTCCAGCTGCACTTCGGAGCACCAAACGCTTGACAGAAAACAACTTTTCACAAAAGTAGTCCCAAATGTAGTATATATAACATGCCTGGTGGATGATTCTTTTTACACAGAGTAGTGGAAGACCCTGATAATTTGATTTGATGATCCATTTCAGAAGATGGTGCCCTAAAACTTCAAACACCATGCAAATATCTGTGGCTGAGTCAAGGCTGAATTTCCCGGAACATTTACAAAGTCAGCTATTGCTGAATACATAGCAACATGGAAAAAGAAATTTCATGCTTAGTTATTGCATATATACCCATTTTCCCCTGACTATCTGCATGTAGTTTTCTAGAATAGCTACTACACTTTGTGGCAATTTTACACAACCCCCGCCAATGGTGTGGCATTCCTTCCCCATGCTGTGCACTGCTGCCAGTTACCAAGAGGGAGAGGTAAGGCAATGGGGCGCTTGGTGTGGGTGCAGTGGTTGAGTCAGCCCAATGCTCCCCCCCCCCCACTGCACATCCACTGCACTCCCTGCCCCACTCTTGGTAACCAGCAGCAATATATGACATTGGGAAGCCAGATGAGCAAGGCCGCAACATCCACCCCATTACAGTGGTACCTCGGGTTACAGATGCTTCAGGTTACAGACTCTGCTAACCCAGAAATAGTACCTCGGGTTAAGAACTTTGCTTCAGGATGAGAACAGAAATTGCATGGCGGCAGCGGGAGGCCCCATTAGCTAAAGTGGTGCTTCAGGTTAAGAACAGCTTCCGGTTAAGAACCGACCTCCGGAACGAATTAAGTTCTTAACCCAAGGTACCAATGTACTGTTATTGCACCATAAAGTATTCTAATTATTAATAGTCCTATGAATTTTCACTGGTAAATTCCACACACACAGGGATACAGAAATATTGTAAGGTGGTACAGATGAAGCTAAAGCCACATCAGTGGGAAAACCCAAACAATACTCTCACTTTTTTCAAATTGTCTTCTCAACTTCCAACATTCAAAATGGCTCTTGCCACTCAGAAAGGAAACCTTTTTGTAGGTTGTTTTCTTCATATGGCTGAAGGAAACTGAAAACATACTTGTGCCAAATGGCTACACGTTGTGAAATTTCATCACTGTGTAAGACAACCATTTATGTTTTAACCCAGCACTGTATTTTATTAAATCCCATATTTTGCTGGATTAAAGATCGCAGAAAAGTTTGGTTTTATTAAAAGGATACGGGAACCATTTACTCCTGAGATTTTGAAGTCATCTAATAACTGAACTACTCTCTCTCGGTTTGGGTCGTCTGGGTCAGTGTTGCGGACCTGTAGGGTGGGGGAGAAATCAAACACCATAAAAAATCATTTAATGTTTATCATTTAATCTTTATCAAATCCCATAGGTTTCCAAGACACTCTCCAGATTCTCACCCCACATTCTTATTTAGCAAATCAAACAATCAATTTATGTTAGCATTTCTGACTATTCTTGAGCAACTATGTCCGTACTAACCTTGCCTTATGCCCCAGCCGGGGCGGAAAAACCCTTCTTTAATCAGTTCCTAAACAACACTGTCTAAGTAGCTGTACTAATGCTGTTACTTCTCATGAGCCTGCATTTACCTTTCCCTCCCTCCATAAAAATGACTGAAAATGTACTGCTGGATACATGAAAGGAAGATTACCAGCTAAGGTAATGGGATGACATGATACCTACAACTAATGACACAAATAGCAAATCAAACTTGAGATGAATTACCCACTTGCAATAATTACAATAGCCATATCTTTAAGCACCAGGCAGAAATTTTCATCTCTAACCAAGAATTTGACCTTTAATTATCTGTGGCCTTTTAGAAGTGTGTGGGATGTTTTAAATGTATTCCGCCCCCCTTGGTTTTAATATATCTCTTGTGGATTTTTTTTTCTTTTTCTGTTTGGTTGGTTGGTTGTAAGTTGCTTTGGGCTGCCTTGGGCAAGATAAAACGACTAACCAATTTAATAAATAATCTTCTGTCATCTTTTAAAATGCTCTGGAAACAGAGATAAAAATTGACCTTTACAAATTAAAGAAAAATAATAACAAATGCCTAATCTAATCCTGTGTACAGCATTCCCCTTTGTATCTAGTATGGAGCAAGATATTATATTATGGCTGGGAGCCATTTGCTGATATTTTTAAAGGATATAATTTGAAATTGAATCAAAACCATCTACTTGTGGATACTCACAGATTTCAGCAGTTTGATTTCATCCAATGCTGTTTCTGTGTAGTGTTCAGCACTCTTTACAACTTTCATTGCCACAAACCTCTTCCCCCTAAGTGGACACAAAGTTTAGTACTAAACTGCCTTCAGGAATCAGATAACACTAACAGAAAAAGACCTGAATGCTCAGGATCATTTCCTACAAAATACAAACGCAGGTTCTCTGTCACTCCTGAATGCATAATTTCCCTCAAGTTCAATAAAAAGTAAACTTGAAGAAATAATATGTAAGGGGGAATATGAATCAGTTTTCAGTTTGTACATGTTACCATGTTGTTGTTGTTGTTGTTGTTAGAATCTTAGAATCATAGAATCATAGAGTTGGAAGAGACCACAAGGACCATCGAGTCCAACCCCCTGCCAAGCAGGAAACACCATCAGAGCACTTCTGACATATGGTTGTCAAGCCTCTGCTTAAAGACCTCCAAAGAAGGAGATTCCACCACACTCCTTGGCAGCAAATTCCACTGTTGAACAGCTCTTACTGTCAGGAAGTTCTTCCTAATGTTTAGGTGGATTCTTCTTTCTTGTCGTTTGGATCCATTGCTCCATGTACGCTTCTCTGGAGCAGCAGAAAACAACCTTTCTCCCTCCTCTATGTGACATCCTTTTATATATTTGAACATGGCTATCATATCACCCCTTAACCTCTTCTTCTCCAGGCTAAACATGCCCAGCTCCCTTAGCCGTTCCTCATAAGGCATCGTTTCCAGGCCTTCGACCATTTTGGTTGCCCTCCTCTGGACACGTTCCAGTTTGTCAGTGTCCTTCTTGAACTGTGGTGCCCAGAACTGGACACAGTACTCCAGGTGAGGTCTGACCAGAGCAGAATACAGTGGCACTATTACTTCCCTTGATCTAGATGCTATACTCCTATTGATGCAGCCCAGAATTACATTGGCTTTTTTAGCTGCCGCATCACACTGTTGGCTCATGTCATGTTTGTGGTCAACCAAGACTCCTAGATCCTTTTCACATGTACTGCTCTCAAGCCAGGTGTCACCCATCTTGTATTTGTGCCTCTCATTTTTTTTTGCCCAAGTGCAATACTTTACATTTCTCCCTGTTAAAATTCATCTTGTTTGTTTTGGCCCAGTTCTCTAATCTGTCAAGGTCGTTTTGAAGTGTGATCCTGTCCTCTGGGGTGTTAGCCACCCCTCCCAGTTTGGTGTCATCTGCAAATTTGATCAGGATGCCCTTGAGTCCATCATCCAAGTCGTTGATAAAGATGTTGAATAAGACCGGGCCCAAGACAGAACCCTGTGGCACCCCACTAGTCACTCTTCTCCAGGATGAAGAGGAACCATTGATGAGCACCCTTTGGGTTCGGTCAGTCAGCCAGTTACAAATCCACTGAGTGGTAGCATAGTCAAGACCGCATTTTACCAGCTTCTTTACAAGAATATCATGGGGCACCTTGTCAAATGCCTTGCTGAAATCAAGGTAGGCTACATCCACTGTGTTCCCTTCATCTACCAGGCTTGTAATTCTGTCAAAAAACGAGATCAGGTTAGTCTGACATGACTTGTTCTTCAGAAATCCATGCTGACTATTGGTGATCACAGCATTCCTTTCTAGGTGCTCACAGACTGTTTGCTTAATGATCTGCTCCAGAATCTTCCCTGGTATTGATGTCAGACTGACTGGGCGGTAATTATTTGGGTCCTCTCTTTTCCCCTTTTTGAAAATAGGGACAACATTTGCCCTCCTCCAGTCTGCCAGGACTTCGCCTGTTCTCCAGGAATTCTCAAAGATGACTGCCAGTGGTTCTGAGATCCCATCTGCCAGTTCTTTTAATACTCTTGGATGCAGTTCATCTGGCCCTGGAGACTTGAATACATCTAAACTAGCCAAGTATTCTTGTACTATCTCCTTAGTTATTCTGGGCTGTGTTTCCTCTGCTGAATCATTTGCTCCAAATTCTTCAGGTCGGGCATTGTTTTCTTTATCGGAGAAGACTGAGGCAAAGAAGGCATTGAGGAGTTCAGCCCTTTCTGTGTCCCCTGTTGTTGTTGTTGTTTTAAAGCATGAGATGAAACCTCTGGATTTGAAAACAAGGAGGAACATTCTGAGGAAAAATCTCATGTTGCTGGTCTGTAACAATATTCCATGCAACTAGCAGAAATTCCTTCCAAAAAGAAAAAAGACTTACTGGATGTCCCATGATAACCACACCGTAGAAAAGTGTCCCCATCCCAGCTTCCGGATCACATGGTATCTTCCATTGAACAGATCCCCTATTTTAACAAGATGGTAGCCTCCTAGGAAATGTAAAAAGAGTTATTGGGTTAAGAACCCTCAGTGATATTGAGAAACTCACAGGTCAATCTATGCACCTGCCACTTTTAATCTCTCTTAAAAACAAATGAAAAAAAGAACATTGAGAACACACAATTGTTGGTAGAACCATGCAATTTCTTCATTTTAGATATCATGCAAATAAATTCTGACAGCTTACCAAAGAATAATATCAGGCACAATATAGAATAGATGGTGTGTTTTCCCTTCTCAGCTTCTGCAGAGAAAATAGCTGTAGAGTGTGCTATTCCTCTACGTGGGAAGGATAAGCAGACCAGCATGGCTATGTGCAGGTGGTACAATCCCACTGGGAACTCTCAAATCTCTCGATTTTCTCACTAAATATACTCCACAATAAGAAAAAGTATCTTTTAAAAACACTACTGTTTAAGAAACTTCAAATGTCACATTAGCTATGAGTTCTGGGATTGGGAGAGATAGAATGCATTGCTAACTGCTCTCTCCTAGCAGTAGCAAGAACATTTGGCTTTAATAATGCTTTTCCTTCCCTCCATAAGAACAGGAATGCTACCCTGGGATTTTCTTTATTTGCTGAAGCACATGATGACACACCACTTGGCTGCAACTGCAGCTGAAAGGGGATGTTGATTTGTAAGGTCTAGTCACAATATTAAGAAGACCTGGTGGCTACTCTTCAAATCTCTTCAAAAGATGCTGGGCTCATAACAGAACAGAAGGGCTCAGCTAAAGCATAGCAATATCCTTAAAAGAATGAGAGCCTAGCATGTCTCTAAGGTTTCCATGATGAGGGGCCTTAGCCATGAGATAAGAGAATGATTTGATGGGTAATCTACTCGGTATTACGGTCATACTGAGAACATGTAAATTCTATGTGCTACTACAGATGCGTATGTTTTGTTTAACACATTTGTTAGCCATCTTAAAAAAAAAAAAGTATTTTCTCAATTGGATGTCACCCTCTGAATTCAGGAGGATTCCCAGGTTGCGTCCTTGGACTTGCAGGCAAAGTGCAACCCCACATCCAGAGCCAATTGAACCTTCTTTCTGGAGAAGACCAACTTCCCACCCACAGTATCTCCATTTTGTCTGAATTAAATTTCAGTTTTCCTGCCCTTGTTCATGTTAAAATTGCCTCCAGATACATAATTGACCACTAGTTTATTAATAGAAGCCAATGGAGGTGCATACATTCAAGCCCTGCCTTTGTTCAAAGAGCTTACTCAATATTTATCAAAAACAATCTAGAGAGAAGACGGGCATGGTGGGATTGGTTGCCAATTGATGTATGAAGGTCTATGTCGTTGAATTACTGACTTTGAGACTTATCCCTGGACCCTGGCGATGCTGAATTAAGAAAAATTATGACCTATGTGAGCTCCTATTAAAGAGCTCCTGTACACCATTCTGCCAATGCATTCTTGCCCCCTTCTCACATTACCTTTGTGCTATGGTTGCCACCACTATGGTGAACTGCAAAGGGTCCAACCATGTGGGAAGTTGCATATCTGAAGAGGTTCACACATCATCCTAACCACCTAAATGGCATCATCAGCCAACCCAAATCAGCCCACCTCAAACAGGAGCTACTTCACACAAAAACAATTCATTTTCTGACATTCACGCCAGGCAACTACAGTACATCACTGTGATTCATGAGGGCAGCACCTCCATTTAGGCCCCCGAGCTGTACTTGCTACACCTACACACATACTTCACAACAGCATCAAGCGTTGTTTGCAATTGTGTGAACCTGCTTTTTAACAAGGAGGAAAGCTAACAATGCCATCTCATACATTGCTACAAAAAGATCCCATTAAATTAAAAGATGCTTACTCTCAGGTATACACAAAGGGGAAACAGGCAACATCCTACCTTTTAAGAAATGGCTTGGTGAACGTATTTCCTTGAAGCCTAGTTTGTTCAGCATGGGGAGTTTGTTATTAATTTTTAAAATATATTTCTGGATCACTATATTGGATTAGATAGTGCAAGGACTATAATGCAAGAACTATCAAAACAGGCTTGTTTTTAAACACTTGCCTGGTCGCCATGGGCAACAAGGAATTTCATCCAGGCGAGTGCCTGGGCTGATCAAGGGCTTCAACCCTTCTCTGGTAGCTTGCTGCATTTCTAGGCTGGGCTTGGAGGAGGGTCTGGAGGTGGAGGGCTGAGCACCCATTCCCTTCTCCAGCATCCTTTCTATGCTGGACAGGGAGGTGGGGAAACTGCCTCCTTCTGTCAAGCAAAGAAACCATGCAGACTGACAGGAGGCAGAAGTCTGAACACTCCATCCCTCTTCTGACAGCCCACTGCCATTCCAAGCTAGCTGATAATGGGTAAGCCCCCTCCGTGTTCAGCATTAAAAGCAAGAGGGTTCGCATCAGGCTGCTCCTTCCCTTTTGCTACCAGTCTACCATGTTTTCTAATACAGGCACAGCAGGTGACACACCCCCCCCCCGTCTAGCATAGAACACGCTGGCTGGCAATAGAAAGACAGAGAGATCCATGCCTTTGCTGCCAGCCTGCTAAATTTCTATGCCGGGCAAACAGTACACCCACACAAAATGAAGTCAGTGGAGACATGACATGTTTTTCATTCAGTTTATTCCATTGAGCGGGATGCTAAGTATACCAGTTTGGGTAAGAAGAGCCAGGATTGGGGAGATACAGTCATGTTTTACATTGAGAATTCAGTGATGTGAAGGTAGACATATGGTATTTAAGTGGAGGAAATGACTGTTCTTTGCCAATTCCTGTATGACACTATGTCAGTGCTTTATATATAGCAAGTGGACCCAAAATGTACAGAGTTACATGGTAATCTTTAGCACCTGAAGAGCAACTAATAGCTTTCTCTAAGTGTTGGCAGGTATCCAAAGGTACCAGTACAAATTGAATTGCTTCACCCAGTATTCTCTAGCACACACTGGGGGTCCTATACTGAGCTTCCTGCAAACTATGGATTGCAGACAGTAACTACCCTCGGGAATGCAGTCTCCCTCTGACTAGAACAATTCCCCCCCTACTTATTCCAAATTCTACCACTGCATTGGGTTAATCCACTGCTGTCCCAGGCATCTTCCATGAGGATGATGTTGCTTTGGAATCTCACTCATCACTCTGCTGGAGAGGCCTACCAGACAACTACATAGTTTTTACTTTTCACTCGCCATGCTTAGGGGCTATTAGGCTTTGTTTATTTCCTGGTTTCCTGATGAATTTTACATCCTGATGAATTTCTCATGTAACTTTGGATGAAATTCCATCACAGGCTTTGCTCATCTATCAGGGTTTTTGCAACGATTTTTCTGTTCTATCAGGAATCTGCATACTGTGAGCAATTTGTGAGATTGCTTCAACACTTGCCCAGATTGTAACCTGAACTCATTTTGATTTAGTCAGCTTTTTTATTAAATTTTAAATTTTAGTTTTATTTTTTAAAATTGTAAAGTTCCATTTTTTGTTATTGATAAGTTTTTATTTCTGATGTTTATTATGCAGTTTTGATGTTAACTTTAATTTCAGTTGTAAATATGGAGCATATATTAAATGGAAAGCTGGAGAAGTTGTAAAAAGTTAAATGAATAAAAATACTGAGAAATACCTTAAGCAAGCATATGTCTTGATGTATTAACTTTGATTTGCTAAACAAACAAGGAGGACATAGTCTGGTAGATGTCTGGTCTTATAAGAAGAAGTATTAGTCTATGAAGTCCCCATAGATGAGTTCCTTTTTCTATCTACAAAGCAAAATCGCTTACTGGCTGATACATACAATGTACCAAACCAGGTTTACAACCTTAATTATTGGTCTAAAATTATGATACTCAAATTGTAAAATAAAACCTCTCACCTTTGCAGTAATCATTGGGATCTTCCTGCTCATCATCATCTGATCCCAGGATTTCCTCTTCTTGTTCAGGAAGATCATTCTCTGAATGGGCAGCAGGGCCTCGATGTTGGGTTTCTGGCCTAGGAGACATCGCAAGTTTGTAAGTCGTAAGCTTTTTACTGTGTGTACTTAGAGCAAAGGAAGAAAGAATATGCAAAGACTAAAATGCAGTTTGAGGTTGGATAATGATAGGCAAAAGAAATGTTCCTAATTTTTTTAAAGGAACTGAAATGCAGATGCATCACATCTATCTCAGATCACTTTGGTTGGAACAAACCCTCTCAGCAGATACAACTTGTGCAGACAGCTCCACATGTGCAGCAAGTACCAACACTCAAATTAGTACAGTTTCAAAAGATACCAGTCACACCAATGTCTAGAGCTGTCTTCATGGAGGATCAAATGTTGCACACTACACCAATCACTCCCACTACGATTATGCCAGGTATTTGCCTTGCTCAGTCATGGGGAGGGAGTCAACTGCACTTTTACCAGGTACAGCTGTGCTTTGTGATGCATTTTGTCTGTAGCAGAATGTCCTAAGCTAGAGGCGCTGGGCCAAATGACTGCCCCTCTCCAAAAAATGCCAATCAAGAGGCGAGAGAGGCAGGCAGAGAGTAATAGCAGCAAGAATTTAGGCTTGTAACTAACTACTCACCTTGTAGCTATAAGCAAACAGGAATTTCATACTGGCAAGGGAGCGAGCTGGTAGAGGATGGATCTCTCCATCCCTCCTCTGCCCAGTCCACTTGGTTTCCATGCCAACCATGGAGGAAGGAAAGCACCTCCCTCCCTGATCAGTGTGAAAACCAAGCAGGATGGTGGAGGGATGGTTCATTTTACGTCTGCTTGATAGCAGGGTTCTTTGTTTTTTTTTAAGAACTTTCATTTCCATACTGGTTGTGAAGGGGCTTCCGTTCCTCTCCAGCCAGCAGGGAAATGCAGGCTGCCAGTGTCTCAATGGAGCAGTAAACATTTCAGCAGGCTAGTAGCTTTAGCAGCCTAATTTATCTGAAGGGCCATCTATACCTGTATGAATCTGCCCAAGATCAGGGTCCAAGACCCTGCTCTCTGGGCTGTCATAAGGCGGGTAGGTTCTAGGAACAGGGCTTTCTCAGTGGTGGTCCCAACCTTTGGAATTCCTCCCCAGGGAGATACACATGGTCTCCTCATTACTGGCTTTCAAAAATATTTTAATAAAAAATAATAGGCATTCAGAAGGCTTCAACAGTGTAGGATAGTCCTTAGGCTAAAAATAACTGCCAGTGGCTCACAGAAGACTTGCAGTGGAAACTGCTTGGTGATGGGTTCAGGATGAAGGGAAATTTTAGGATTCTGCATTATTTTCTATATACATCCCCTCAGAATGGCTTCAGTTTAGTCATCCTATTACAGGTACCCAAATGCATTCCAGCCCTATAAGTGACTCAGTGTGCTTCCATGCAGTGGGATGAACCCATCTTTATGGCTCCCTAAAAACGAGAATTTCAAGCTACTGTATAGAGTGGCAGAAAATAAAAACCCAATCTTTCAGCAGAAAGAAAAATAGTCATGCATATCTAGAAACATGTAACTACAACTTGCATGCTGTCAACTAGTAGTTGTCAGGCTTTAGACTGACAGCTACAGTGATCCATGGCATATTATATTTGAATACCAAGAGAAACATACTTATATCTAGTCACTCCCTGGATTTTGTTTGTTAAGTACTGAGTTGCTCAGCTGATCATAAGGCATAAATCAATGCTCTGAGGGTCCCCAACCCTCTGGAGAAGATTTTTGTGTGTGCACAGGGTTGCTGGTGGTAGGGGGAATAGCCAAAAATTGCTTCCCTCTTCATTCTGTTCTTACTGACAGCTATATAACACCATTATATACAACACAAAACAGTTATTTTGCAAAATAACAAATAAACCTTTTGTAAAGTAACTGGTTTCACAAAACAATTGTGAAATACAGCTATTGTGGGGTTCGGTGTAGGGATGTTCAAACAAAAATAAATAAATCAGCATACTTGCAAAGAGTGCTCATGTACACTTCTGGAACATTTTACACACATTCTAAACTGACTGTTCCCTCCACACACTCATCTCTTGAAGATTTATTTAAACTCCCTACACCTTTCTTTGGCAAAAATTAGAAGTTGTAAATATTCAGAGTTAGCCTAATGCGAGCAGAGCACATACAGGAATAAACACAAAATCAAATGTTAAACAAGAGTTAAGACAACTGCAGACAATGATTTTAAAAAATCATAACGCTACTCAATAAATCTCAAACCTAGAGAGGAAATGAATAAGGTTGAAATCAATGTGATCCCTCTAGAAGCCACACCCATCACAGCAAATCTCTTCATTAATTACGTCATAACTATGGGAACGCTGAATTGTTAAGGTTTACTAGATCGGTTTTTAATGACAGAACGTTCTAGGGTATGCATCGACAAGGAATTAGGTAAGCCTTAAAGCTAATTTTCCAGGCAAAAACGCTGTTTGAAATTCCCTGAATATTCTGCAATCACACATCTCTTCCACAAGCACAATCTTCCTGCAGCAAAGAAGTTACTAGAAAGCCTTCATAAAGCTTTTGAGAACTATCCTGATCCTTTAGCTAAAGGAAGTCTGAATGTCTTATCACTGAGTGATGTTACAAAGACTCAGAGAGCTCAATATCTTTGCAATTAATTATTTCAAGTCCTTATACTTTCAAAATGAGCGTGAACTATTATTTGCCAGGCAGTGAAAAAGACCACATAACACTGCAGAGATGTGATTGCCTTTCAAAGGCAATATTTTCTCTCTAATGTTTCTTGGAAAGTATGTGTACTTTTGCTATTAAATCTTTTAAAAATGCTCAATACAATCCCCACAACTGCTCCTGCCCCGCCCTCCTAAAATTTATCCATCCTAAAATGCACCCCAAACGGGCATGGGCAAGGATGGTAAAACATGCATAGGAGGTACAAAGACCTTATTTTAATATATCATTTGATTCTAAACAATGATTTATTTGAGCAAATTGTTACTAAGAGGAGAAACCTGAAAGCATCTTCTGATTCATTTAAACGATTTAGAAGTCAGCTTGTAAGCAGGAACAAAAGGCTGATGTGAGAGTTCCAGAGACTGCATTTCAATGAATAAGAAACAGACAGCTGTCAGAACTGCTACACTGCTAGAAACACATCAAATGCTAACAGAAGCCTTGAATGAATCCATTTTAACATATCAGAACATTTGGCAGACATCCACCCCAACAAGCACCTTGGGCTTCTGAACATCTACTTGCTTTTACAACCTAACTTCATTGGATTTGTTCTTAAGCTAAGCATCTGGTAAGATTACATGCTAGGGGAGGACGACAATTGAATCAGTGTCCTCAGGAAGATTTATGAGCTTAAACGGAATTCAGAGAAGTCCTCATTGAGGCAGCCAAACTCCCTTTTTTCCATCTGGGTTTTAAAAAATGCTGTAAAAGGCAAGCTTACCTGCACGAAGCACGAACTCCCATTGATGAAGGTATCTCTGAAGTCGGGTCAACAGTTTTCGAAAGAGCCATCAAAAATTAAATGGCACCCTGGTGCAAGTAATAGCGGTACATAAATTGCAAGCAGAGGGCTGGTTCTTCCTGAACACAGCAAAGCTTTGTGCAAAAGCAAGAGAGAAATGGAATTTGCCTCCACCACCTAGCTGCAGATGCATAGCACTGCATTGCAGGTAAATGCCTTGCAGCATCACTGAAGAGAGTTGCTCTCAGCTAATTTGCTTCCTGAAAAATTTAGCCATGCTCTGGAATGGCCAAAAACTCATTCTATTCTTTTGATGCTGACCAACTTCCAAAGTCTTTCCAGATATACTAACTATGTAGCCTAACTGAAGTGAAGCTATGAGTTTCTGGTTCAGTAATAAATTTCCTTAAGAACTTTGAAAGAAAAGAGTATCACAGTATTGATTATACTGTATCAGCACAAGAGCTCAAAGTATTAGCTTCTCTGTGCCAGTAGGTGCCAATTATTTTTCTAGCTCTGCCCAAAACAATTCTATGGAAAAGATGGAAGTCAATTTTCATAAAGGCATCCCAACCTAAACAAGACAAGCTTCTTCATCTCATATGTTCTTATTAAGAAATAAACAAACTGGACAATTGCAGAGGCAGGTGCCAGTATTATTCTTGGCTATTGTATGGTACTTCTGCAACATATTTAGCCTTTCAGTTCATGCTGGCATTTCAGTGATTAACTGAACTGATGAGCTATGAAAACCAAACAGCAACGCATCTGTCTATGTAAAAAGTGGTATACAGCTGAAAAGGCAGAGAAAAAGTTACACGAAGCAAGACAAATGAAGATGCAGCTGAAATACAGTCTGAGTAAGTGTGGTTAGTGGCTCCGCCTGCAAACACATTCAAGTTCTAGCTTGCACATCTTATTCATGAAATAAGCACTAATTTGTGCTTTAACATTCCAGGTATTGCAAGGTACACTGCCATTGCCTCCTCTACCAACAGATCTACTCAGGAGAACAACAGAAGCTCTTGCTTGCAAGTGAATCTGCCTGGCTTCGGTTAGCCTGCTGCAGCTTTTCTTCTCAAACAGATCGGCAAAGAAAGGAGTACTACAGTCGTACCTTGGTTTTCAAACAGCTTAGTTCTCAAATGTTTTGGCTCCGGAACGCCGCAAACCCGGAAGTGACTGTTTCGGTTTGCGAACTATTTTTGGAAGCCGAACGTCTGACAGGGCTTCCGATTGGCTGCAGGAGGTTCCTGCAGCCAATCAGAAGCCGCGCTTTGGTTTCCGAACATTTTGGACGTCGAACGGACTTCTGGAACGGATTCAGTTTAACTTCCAAGGTACGACTATACTTACTGTGAGAAAACAGACTGAAGTCTTTTACAGCTTGTGAATCTGCTTGAAACTAAATGCCAAAACCAAACGGTTATTCTTAGGTAATTCCTTGGTTGCTCTGGGTTCCTCCCATGAAAATCAGATGGTGCAAACACAGCCAAAGACTGGAATCCTATATGCATTTACACGGGATTAAACACCCATGTACTCAATAGAACTTCTTTTGAAGAATCAAATAACTAGTTCCACTCAGTGAAGAGGGTCTGGGGCTTGAGATTCTCAAATGGCAACTCTCCCAACCCCTAGACAATGTTACACAACAAGCCTTTTGAAACTAAAAGGATCTTTCAAAAACAGTTTGTTATGTGGCATGAGGCTTGCTGTTCAAAATCAAAAAATCTACTGGTCATGCTTTTTGGATCCCAGACTTGATTGCATATGCAATTCATATAACCAACAGTCCTTAACTAAGGCTGCCTGTAACTCTGATTCTAGTTATTCATGCATAAGCCCCATTCAATGTACGGGGTTCACCGGTGCAGAACTGGTAGCAGAACTGCCATACTGACTGTTTCATTTAATAATCTAGATAAAGTAGGCTTCTGATTATGTCTTCACAAGATATACATCATACAGTTGTACCTTGGTTCTCAAACAGAATGTGTTCTGGGAGTCCGTTTGACTCCCAGAACTGTTCGAAAACCAAGGAGCAGCTTCTGATTGGCTGCAGGAGCGTCCTGCAGCCAATCGGAAGCCGCACCGGACATTCGGCTTCCGAAAATTGTTTGAAGACTGGAACACTCACTTCTGGTTTTTTTATCATTCGGGAACCAAAACGTAGGAGTTCCAAGGCGTTTGGCAACCAAGGTATGACTGTACTGTCTTACAGTATGCATGCTTAGTCCTTTACTGTAATCTACATTCCCCATATTTAAATGTATGGAGAATGAAGTAAGGTTCATATTCTATGAAGAAAAGCCAGTCAAGTTCTTGTTCTTAAAAGTTATAACTAAGCAAAAACACTTGCTTCCTCTCCCACAGACCTGAAAATGAAGGTTTTCTATTTTCTTAAAGAAAACATGCCAATTGATCACTAGCTTTAGAACTATAAAACTATATGACTTCTATCACTGAAAACAACCACAGGGTAGTTCTATTTTATCTATTCTGCTTATACCAGAGAACACATACCAGAGTAATTCATTCATTTCTTCCTTCAGGCATTCACTCAGGATAAATGCCACCAAACTGTGTTCGAACAATAATACAGTGGTACCTTGGGTTAAGTACTTAATTCGTTTTGGAGGTCTGTTCTTAACCTGAAACTGTTCTTAACCTGAAGCACCACTTTAGCTAATGGGGCCTCCTGCTGCTGCCGCACCGCCGGAGCACAATTTCTGTTCTCATCCTGAAGCAAAGTTCTTAACCTGAAGCACTATTTCTGGGTTAGCGGAGTCTGTAACCTGAAGCGTATGTAACCTGAAGCGTATGTAACCTGAGGTACCACTATAAAGCATAAAGAAATAAGATGATGCACTGCCAACCCGTCTGTAACCATTAACTGTTCTAGACAGAAATTCAGAGGAAACAGATTAAAAAAATAAAAGGCCAATTAACATGTAGCTTCTCATTGCAAGGTGAAACAATGAACATTCAAGCATTTCATTAGGTACCATGCTGATTTATGAGTGAAGACAGAATGTTCTTCAAAGGTGGTGGTGAGGTGAAAAAAAGGACTTGAATTCATGAGCATTTAACTCCCAGCAAGTAGGAATTTGGGGTTTAAGGGATCTCACCCTTGTCTCTCTGCCTATAGGAAGGAAGACAACAAAGAAGGAAAAACAGTATTGCAGTAGTGTCTTGCCCTCACACTCCTACATATTTCCCCACACATTCAGTAGTGCCAGTGATGTCAGAGGAACAGAACACATGGCACAGAACACAGAGCAGACATATACAGATGGATCTGTGTATTAATGTTAAAATAATTCATGGTTGTGGATAGCAAAAAACTTAGACCCAGCACACAGAATGGCTGCATTTACTTAAAGGGAAACAGCATTGGTTTAGTTTATTCTATATCTATGGCTCAGAAGGAAATGTCATCTATATTGTTTTCACAGTTATACATGCAAAAAAGTAGAATTCCATTGAGGTCCCTGATGGCCACATACTCACAGACCTCTAGGCACTCTTTCCTCTACAGACAGGAGGGCAAGTGGATATCTCCCTTATTACCTACAGCCTTAGCATTTCCTCAGTGCTCTCCATCATAATTAAATCTGGGGTGTAGAGAAGTGTGAGAGCTTGACTTGTTACCAGCTGCTACTGTTCTGCAGATCTTCTCCCCAAAGACCTACATTTCCTCAAAGCCCTGAAGTACAGGGATTTGGGGAACCTTGTGACCCTGCAAAGAAAGGTGTGTCACTCTCATTTTTTTAATTGTAAGAGGGGGAAATGCTGCATCTCCACACTAACAAAAATGCACAGAGGTAGCAGCAAGAACAACTGCTTGCTTTCCGAAGTTCTGGGAGGGAAATGAACCTTCATTGATGCTTTCTAGCTAATGCAGGCAACTAATGCTCACAACCAGTAGGCCCTGAACTGATGACATACTGACTAGGCCTGTGGGTTATAAATGTATTAAATATATTTTAAAAGGTATAGGTAGTTATGTAAAACCACCACCTTGGAACACATTAAAAAGCAGCAAGCCCAGGCTCCCCCTCAGAGTACACTTGTCAAGAAGCTTCATCCAGTCCCAACTGACAAGTGTATGGAGGACATGTTTTCAAACATTCATAGCATACTTGTGTGTGTGAAGAGGCCCGCAGAGTACACACACAACAAAACAGTAGTTCTACGTATAAGCACCAATGTTATCAGAAGGAAACCCATGGCCAGAAAGCAGCACATATTTTGCAGTGATCACAGGTTATAATCACAGAAAGCACTCTATATGTATTGCCATTTATCACCTCCATATTTGACCTCTGCCTTGACTTGAATGCTCTCTTTCTTTTCTTTAAAGTGTATTGGCTTTTAGCAGAGATCTGACATTTGACTGTCAAATACCACATGCACTGCTGCAGCTTGTTGGTAACCATTTGCCTGGTTATGAGCAAGGCTTACCTCTATGCAGGGAAGCCTGATAAAAACTACTGCTTTTAGAAGACAGATGACTAACATTAGTATGTGCAGGCAGGTGGGTTAGAAACATTTTTGTGATCTTTTGCACAATTATATGCAAGTCAACATTGTATATTTAAATGCTTCTTAAACTTAAAATATATTTTGATAAAACACTGATAGCTTTGTATACATAGTAACATAGCTGTTGCTCAAAATTATTCCAAAAAAGAAGGCATTATTTAAAGCCTGTTCTTTTAAATTTATGTTTGCTGTTAACAAATAAGCCTATTCATCAAGTTCAGGGGCAAAATCACACAAGCAGCAGCTTTGAGCGGAGAAATCCACCTAGGGCTCAAAGACCCATTTCTTCTGGCAACCAACTCAAGTGTATGGATGGGCATCAATTGGGAGTGGGTAAGAATGAAAAAGGAAGGCATGGGAAACATGCACAGATCCTGTTATACTTCTTCCACACATACCGCAGCTGAGGAGAAATGGGGCTCTGTTGAAACCCACAGCGTTTTGCAGTTCAGTATATATTGTGTCCTAAGCCTAACTTTGTTACAGCAAAATTCTACTGCTTCTCTTCCTCTATGATAAAGGATAGCCATGGCTATTTTAAGGCTCTCAGAACTGCCAGAGTTCTGAGCCATCTTACATATGAAGATTCACGACATGTTAGCTGCAGAAACAGCGATAAACAACTTTATGTCAAGTCCTTGATTTTTTGACAAGAAGGGAACTTTTTTTATTGTTCTTTTCTACAAGCAATTAAAAAACCGGAACACTCTCAGAGCACTAGCATTAAATGGGAAGCTACCTTGGCTAAACATGTTATAAAAACCACTCTACTTAAGACACTATATGGATTTGTAAATAATGGTTTTGGGTTGTATAATTAAGTTAAATGTTGGCCAACTCTTTTAATTTTTACTAGAATGCTTCCACAGTGCATGACAGCTTCAAAAACATAGAAGAGAGAGCTTGGAAAATTTGGGATTCAATTTCTGAATATTACTAGCTTGCCACAACTTTGCAGTAAACCTTCATGCACTGAAAACAATGCTGCTACTACTAAAACTTTGGATTCACAGCATGATTTCAGAAAGCATTATTTTAGACACAAAAATTGCCTTGACTGTTCAGAAGTGACAGAAATGCTACATGGACAAAAATTAGTGACGTGAACAATGGATGAGTAGAGGCATAGGGTAGGTGAATAAATGAAGCCACTTGACACCAAGTCAGAATATTGGTGCACCTAGCCTAGGTCTATCTGGTTTTCCAATTGCTCAGAGGCAAATATTTCCTCCCACTATTGCTCCCTGAGTTAATTTAACTGCAGATTCCAGCAACTGAAACTAGGATCATCTACAAAGCAGTACTTCATTATTGCTTTTTTCCAATCAGAGATGCCAGATTTGGGAGCTTTTTGTGCACTGCATGAGAACTGGAGAAATATGAATAATGAAGGGCAGGACATGACAAACCAGGGGCAACCCAGTCAGATGGGTGGGGTACAAATTGACAACAACAACAACAACTAATAACCATTTGAAAATGCAGACAAAGGGGTTCAATTCAGGCCTATTTCAAAGTCAATAGGAAATAAAAAAATTATTAGAGCATTTAATGGCATATGATGGCATCTACACATGTAAGCTTCCAGCGACTGTGCAGTACAATCCTTTGAAATTTTACTCAGAAGTCTCACTTAAACGGGGCTTACTTGAGTCTTGTAAATAATCCTTCCCCTCCACCTCAAGTTACTAGCTTGCAAAAACTTTTACTCTTCTCACTTTCCCACATGTAACTCTTGCTTGCATATGGGTACTTGGCTAGTGCTTAAACAAGGGATTACTTTCCTTAATATTCCAGGCTTAAAGAACTTTCAGAGAGCACTATCAACTCTGATAATTACTCGCACTAAATAATGCACATTCTCTGGCTCCATTTTCTTAATCTGAAACCACTTGCCGCTTAACACACACAGAACACAATCTTATCCACACTTAACTGATTTCAGTGGGACTTCTCAGTAAAATTTCAGAGAACTGGCCTATCAATTTAGTCCACCAAAGTCAGTCTACAGTAGCTACATAGAGTACGGTATGGTCAAATCTCTTTTCGAGTTAGAGTAACAGGGTGAAAAAAGAAGACTTCCTTCTTCTATGTGATATCTGAAATGTTTAAAGTAAGTTCCACCCTTCAGTTTGAGTAGGATTATTAAATACTCTTATTACAGTATTAAACTACACAGAGAACATATGTCTATTGCATTTTAGTTTGCTGAATTTACGGGCAATCTTAGATGTTCAGAAGTTAGTGCACCATTTTGAATATGTTTCAAGCTTCTTGGATCTACAAGGCCAGAACAGCTTACTTTGACTATGCAAATAACACTTGAAATCCAGGGCTAGCCAGAACGGCTTGCTATACAATATAAATGTAAATCTCAAGGTCACAATTCAAATTCTGCTTGCACCAGGCTGGGGGGCTCGATTAAGCAGAGATCTTGCTTCCCCCAGCCCTGCCAGCCTCTGCCTGCAGAGTGACATCGGCATCACTCTGCCAGTGTGGTTTCCCATTTTGCCTGCTAAACTTGTGGGCAGAATTGCTGCTGGTGGGGAGGGGGACTTTCTGGGATGGCAGACATTCAAGACAGAGGGCTGAGCAAGCCTTACAGCTGTCATGTGACAGCAGCAGGCCTGACTGCCAGCCAGTATGTGCTGCAAGGCTGCAGATGCTGCAGTGGCCCTGTTGGACAGCGCCCAGGGCTTGGATTTCACCCTACTACGGTTTAAAATGTATATAAATAAATAACATATTTGATCCATTATCTACTATTTTAGATTAAAATATTATCCTTGGAAAAGGAGACGAGAATATTACCAGCATGCTGATAGGCACCCAGAGACAAATTTAATGGTGCCCACTTAAAATATGCACAAGATGCAGAAGAGGGCATATCACTCATGTGAGTTTACGCGCTTTTAACACTGAGGCTACCCTCAGGATGTAAAGAGTCACTTAGAATTGGAAAATCTGGAAGATTTCTCATTACCATGCAACCAAGGCTACCAGGCTGGCTTCTGCACATCATTTCAGGAAATTATTGTCACTGTCCAGGACACCATTCCACTCTGTTTAAGGCAATAGGGTCACACTTACTTTCTCTGGGCTTTTTCCTTCTTGGCTTTAGTCCGCTTCTTCCGGGCTTGCAATGCTAGAACTAGGAAGAAACAGAGGGAAGAAGAAGGGGTGGGGCAAGAGTCAGTAAGCTTTTGTTCAGGGTGAAAAAAAAGGGCACATTATTCGCATCATCAAACCTATCGGATTTATTTTGTTCTAAGATTAACCCCCTCTTACCTAGAAGCAGCATTAAACCAAGAACAAACCAGATTCGTGAGACACGTGCTCATAATAAACTCCTTGTACCCATATTTATAATATTAAAAAACAACAACCCCCAAACACGTTACTGGAGGAGACAGGCGATTATGTCACCCTCTTTTATCTCATACTAGGGAGCGGGGTGGAGGCCGAGGAAGGGAAGCCTAAGGGCCGGACATTTGCCAGGATACCCGAAGACTGGCAGTTAGGATCCGTGAGAAGAACTCTGCGAATAACAGCGGGACCTGACAAAAGGAAACCGACGCCCGATCTCGTGTGAATTGGGGCAACAACCAGGGACGCAGAGGAAGCGAGCCGCCAAGACCCAGAAAGCTGAAGCCTGACTAGAAGAGTCGAGGGGCCGAGGGCGGCGGGCGAGGGGCGGCGGGGGGGGGTGAGGTTGGCGGGGAGGCGGCGGGGCCAAGCGCACTCACCTTTCCGCTCCATGGCGGCTAGAGACAGCAGCCCCCGCGACCCCCCGCGCGTGCGCTCCAAGGATATTTCCTGCGCCTGCGCTGGCCGCGGGCGAGCCGGTCGGCGCGTGCGTACGACGGGTATCTTCGCGCGCCGTTGCGCGCGCCACCAGATCTCCTCGCCGCCGCCGCTGCTGTCACTTCCTCCCGAGCTGGGGCTCCCGGGGAAGGCCACTCCCCCTGGCTCTTCCAAACGCGTGCGGCGCCGCCCCCTGCTCTGCGTGACAGGCAGGAGCCGGAGCCGCGCGTCTGGCCCCTCGCCCGCCTCCCCTTGTCCCATGGGCGGAGCGCATGCGCCTCGCGGTGTCCCAGCCCACCGCTTGCTTCCCCGGGGCTTCGCCGGATTTAACTAGGGCCAAGGGAGGTGGGGGCGGCGTAAAAAGTGGCGCAGCGCGTATACAAGCAACTGCGTGTGCTGTCGCCGGAGATGGGATTGTGACGTGCCCGCCACGCGTTCTGGGTCCGGGCGGGTTTTCCAGCTTCACGCGTAGCCGGCATGGGAGGGAGGGATGTGTTCTGCTATGGACCCCTTGCGCCACCAGGTGCCGCGATGACTCGCAGCAGCTAAAGTTAACGTTCGAATTCTCGAATTAAACTTTTTTTTTTTTTTTTTTTTTACAATTTACATGACCTTGTACAAATGCGTGGCTTACTCAGTGGGAACTTTTAGAAGTTATTTTAATGTATGCAGCTTATTAAAAAATGAATTTAGTGTACGCATGTTATCCTCAACAATGGTTAGAAGCCAACAGTCGGGTGCTACCAGTTCTATTTGCAAGAAACAGGAAAGGCAACTGGTGCTGCGTACGTGCAACAAGCAACGTTGCGGCTGGATGGTGAATGAAAGTAGCCTGGCTTGTCACTGCAGATAGTGACAAATACCTTTCTGATTGGAAAGGTTGGACAGTCCTGCAAAGTGAAGCCAAAAATGGCTTATCTTCTGAGTTTATGCCAATAAAACTCAGAAACGTGCGGTTTACAACAGACCTAAGCATAGGAATCTAAGCAAGAAAGGATCAGCAATCACAGCTAATTTATACGGCTTGTCAGGGGAAAGGGGGGCGTGTGTAGAAACAGTACGAAGGTAAAATTTACGTCCATTGATGCACCACGAAAATGGCCCCCAGAAGTTGGTCCAAGAAGGGAATGCAGCCCATGAGCTGGAAAACGGCCCCTTATCCCGCATTAACCAATAACAAGGAAGACTGTGTTGTTAGCTACCACAATTTACTAGCCGAGGACTGTAACTCAAATGGCTGCTATGAAAAGAATTGCATTCCAACGATTATTTGTTAACGAACATTATTACAACTGCAAGCACAAAACAGCTAATGCGCTTCTTCCCCGGGGGCACAGAAAGAACGGGAGGAGGGTGTGAGCCTTCCTTCCGAGAGGGCACCTGTCCAGGTTCCCGCTGCCTTAAGCGGCAGCACCTGGAAACCTTAAACCCTGGCCGGCATCACGCTCCACCCTTCCTCTTCTTCCTCCTCCTCTTTCCTTCTCGCCTCCTTCCAGATCTCGCGAGACGCTCCCCTCTTTCTGGTTGCGCTCATCATAGGGCGCTGGAGCTGGGTTCCATATTGGGGCATCGCCTCAAAGCTCTTTCCGCGCCGTGGGTCTCGCGAGACCTCTGCAATCGGGGACTTAGGAAGAGGTCGGGAGAAGTCAGGCGGCGGCAGCAGCAGTAGCTCCTCCTTCTCCTCGTCGTTGCTGCTTGGCTTTGCCGCCCCCCCCCCAGTGCAAGCTCTGCTCTCCTCAGGGGGACCCCTCGCGCCCACCTGTTAGGCTCCCTGACTTGGGGCTGTGCAGGAGGCCGCGGGGTTGCAACCCGACAGACGGCGGGAGGCAGAAGAGCCCCGCTTGGCCTGGCCTTCCCCTCCGGCCGCGGGGCGGGGTTGGGGTGTCGGCGGCGGCGGCACGAGGCCAGTTACTGAGGCGGCCGCTGGGCGCGAGCGACCTCTTTACCCTCGGAGCAGGAAACCCCCTTTCTCCGAAGGGGGAGGAGCCAACGGTTCTGCTCGAGGGTCTCCCCCCCCCCCACTCCCGGCCGCGCTGGGTTGGGCGGGCTCGGGGTCGAGATGACCCAAGAGCGGCCCAAGTTCTACCGGCAGGAGCTGAACAAGACCGTCTGGGAAGTGCCTGAGCGTTACCAGAACCTCTCTCCGGTGGGGTCCGGGGCTTACGGCTCCGTCTGGTAAGTTGCTGCCGCTCTCCCGGGGGCGGGGGGGCGGAGGCTTGGGAAAACTTCGCTATCCGCGCGCTCCCTTACCCCCCCCCCCGCAGCCCTTCGTGCGTACGGGACAGCAGCCGCCACCACGAAGGCCTGTCATTCTGAATGGGATGATTGATTAGCTGGGAGATCCTGAAAGCGGCCTTAGAAGGCGGTGGATCTCGCATGTGTCCACACCCAGTCCTCCTTGCAAAAGGAAGTCGGTTAGATCCTGTGATTCCGAGGGACCGGCTCTCGGTTGCAAATACTAAAAGAAAAAGCGTTGCCTGTTTGGTTCTCTTGCACCGTAATGCTGGGGTAGTGCAAGTTAGCAGCAGAAGTAGTAGAGGCGTTTGATGTACTTGTCGCTCCGTCTGCTGCAGTGTCTTGATCTCCGTCACTTCTTCCCGTAACCGCTATGAACTCATTCCCTATTTATTTGGGAACGCAAAACCCGTGAAGTCCACAGTTGAGCAATGTCTCTAGAAGCAATCAAAATGTGCACCAAACAGTGGCTTTCTTCAAGTTCTCCAGTTTTCAACAAAGGCATTATGTTAAGCATCTTATGCACGACCCTTTATTTTGCTTTGTGGTGCCGAGATCATTGGCTTTGGTAGGAAATGACTTCTTGATTATTTTAGTTGCATTTGGCTTGCGAACTGTTGGGTGTTTAATGAGGTTTGGTTTTTTAGCAGAATCTTGAAAACAAACATAAAGCAATATTATCAACACTGCACAATTAAATAACTTGTAATTAGTCTTATTATTTTTTGCATTTTTATTCCAGCACTCCTTGAAGAAGCTAAGGGTTATGTACATAGTTTCTTCCCCCACCCTTTTTTATTCTCACAAGTCTGTGAGGTAGGATAGGCTGGTATCTCAATAAACACCATGAACCTGCATCTCCCCCAGTTTCTTACACTGATCTTGCTGGGAATGAGAGTAGGGAATAAGAGTTTACTTGCAAGTGGGGAAGATGTGTACTGAAGAGGTTAAGTGCAAAGCTGCTGAAGGAAAAACAGCTGGCGAGGGGTATCAGAGATTGGCAGGAGAGGAATTTGTGATTCACCTCTTCGTGATGTCATAGGCACTATCCATAGATGTTTGACTTAACTACCACATTCCTCACAGCAAAATATGTATTACAGTTAGACTGCCAGGACAAAGCATAGAAACTTACTCAAGAATCCAACAATAAATGGATGTTGTCTTGGCTACAGAACCACTAAGCCTCTTGGGCTTGCCAATCAGAAGGTCAGCGGTTCGAATCTGTGCAACGGGGTGAGCTCCCATTGCTCTGTTCCAGCTTCTGCTAACCCAGCAGTTCGTAAGCATGCCATTGCAAGTAGATAAATAGGTACCACTGCAGCGGGAAGGTAAACGGTGTTTCTGTGCGCTCTGGGACTTGTCACAGTGTCCCGTTGTGCCAGAAGCGCAACGTCGTTCTGGCTAAGAGATGTAAGTATTTTTGTATATAAAATAACATAACCATTGCAAGTTCAAGGTAATCATAACTTCTTTGGTAACAAATACTTGAATTGTACGTATCAGACTACCAGCCTTCTGTGATAGTTTAGCTAGAGTTACATGTATATATTTACCTTATTTACATGGCACAGTAAACTAGTGAATGGTTTGCAGTGAAAGTACCAGTCTGAGCCACTTTGTTCCTCTCTGCTAGCCCAGTCTCTGGCTTAACATTGTGTCCAAACCAAGGGTTGTGGTTTATTTCCTTCCAGACAAACACTATGATATGTAGCAAGAGTTTGTTCTTGGCTTGGGAGGAGCAAACTGGCTCATGTGAGAACTGAAAACAAAGACTCAGACTCTGTATTTATGTTCTTCTGCAGCTACATAGCACTGTTCTTTTAATTGTAGATATTAAGCCAATTTACTGCTTTAAACAAAACTCAGAATTCTTGTTCTGCATTTTTTCCTAGAAAAACATATCTTGATCTAAACTGTTTTATTATTTCATGTCTTGTTTGAAACAATATTTCACTTGCTTGTGTTTTGTCAGGTAAGAACAATACCATGAGACAAGTTCTCATAGTAAAAAGCAACGAAATTTTGTTTTTTAAACACCTACAACATAGATCCTGGTGGCCTCAGAAATTTGCATTCATTGATGACTGATAGGCAGGTGTGGTTCATTGCACCATTGTCGTGGTAGGATAGGAATGTATACTGCAGAGTTTTGAAAGACCTTAGCCTTTTTGCTAGTTATTATTGCTGATACATCTAGTTATTGTAGTGATCAGTTTGCAGAATAATTAATGGTAATTCCACTGCCCTCTTTTTTTTTGTCACTAAGAATCAAGTTTTGTGCCTTGTATCCATTAAGCAAATACACATATATCTCCATTCCCTCTAATATCAAGCTCAGGTGGTTGAGTGCCCATCAATTTTGGAAGCAAAATGGAGAATTAAAGTAGTGGCCTACTTAGGCACACAGAAGTATATAAATTTAATAATAATAATAATGCTAATGCTAATATATTTACAAACAGCCCAGCAAAGTTTTGTGAGCTCTTGAGGTGTTTGGCATGATTTATCAGAAAATGTATGTGAGGTCGGGGATAAGAATTGGCTTACTCAGACCACTAACAGTTTATTGCAGGTATGCTGCAGGAGGGTAAATTAGGGTTAGGTATGTGATATTAGGTCAGAAAGTACCAACCGCTATACACTATATATGGTTGTTTCAGGAGGGAAAAAAGCACTCTTTTCCCTTTAATCAGAATCACTATACTGTATAGCTATAAAATACAGCAGGGTAAAGTTTTGGGTGGGCTGGAAAAGTAAAAAGAAGTTGTGCTTTTTTCTCATCATTAGAGATTCAAGCTCACATAAAGCTTCTGTTTCAGGCTGCTTAGAGCACTACACATAGTGGGTATACACTGAAACCCTTGCAAGTCTTCCTGAAACTCCCATACTTCAGTGAGGGAGAGCTATCTATATTCTCTATAATGTACCAATCACTTTCGTGGTATAAGTGAGGATGAAGCTGCTCACCTAGCCCCCTGAGCTTGCATTATATGAAGGAAATTATATGTCAAATGTATGTGTTCTGATCTGAAGGATGGTGGTTTGCACTTCTCTGTAACTTAGTAACTATCACAAATCATTACATTTTTGTTAAAATGTGTGGCACTTGTTCGAGATCTTCAGAAAAATTAACTCATCTCTACTGTTTTTATCATGCCTTATCCCTACCCTGATTTCAGATCATTTAAGTCTCTGCCCACAATATTTTTGTCAGGGAAAACTTGATTTAGATGCAAAAAAGGGAATAAAAAGCAGAAGTGGAGTTTTGTTTGCAACTAAACATTTTTTCCTGGCTCTTGCAACATGTGTTCTGTGGTAAGGCAAGGTGCAGGGCAGTGCCATATTGACAGGGTAAATTAAAGGGGAACTTGTTCTTTAAAACAATGTTTCAGTAGAAGCATATTAAAAATGCCTCATCAATTCCATATTATGATCAGGTACCAAACATAGATTATTGAAAAGCAAATCCATACTAGTCTAGAGTCAGTTGAGAAGTGCGAGTGGCTTCCTGCTTCCTGCTAGTGTGGCACTAGCCAAGCTCTAGAATAGAAAATTGGATGTATCAGTGGATCCTTGCAGAAAGGCATTTTGCATCATTTGTATCTGCAGGTGTTTCCACTAATTTAACACAAGTCAGCGGGATGGTGAATTGCAAACCTAATCAACTTCATTTAACAGGCAAGTTTTGCCTAATGCTCCACTCCCCTTTTTAAAAAAAGACTTGATATGTATACAAGTACCTATTTTCCACAGTAAGAAAAACAAATAAACTTTAGAAAATATTCCACAATTGTCCCAGGTATAGACAGGTGCCCATGACAATGGCACCAAAGTATGCTGTTGTAACCACATTGGTTGTATGTGTGTTTTAGGGTGAGGAGTAGTCTGGCTTTCTGATGGTAAAACTTGGAATGCCAAAAAATCTGCAAAATGTGTACCATAGGCAGTGACATCTCTACCATACCACCTTCAAGTTATCATCACTGTAAAGCTATTGGCTAACATCACCTGATAATTCACTTACTACCAGAGATCCTAGGTATTCAGTTCCTTATTTCTACAAAAAACTTGCTTGGAGACATCCATCATGTGTCTGCTAATGCTGTGACCTGGATACAGCGAGCACTAGCTTCTGAAATGTCACAATATTCTGTTAAGGTTGAAATATTTGAAGTTACAGGAAGTCATTGCTATATGTTTTGTTGTGAGTCACTAAATGATTGCAAAAATTGTCATTCTTCCTTTATAAATCCAGCTGCAATTCCCAAACTCATCAATACATTCTTAAAACTCTTCTAATGATTCATTCTAAAACTTGTAAGCACCTTCACCTTTGTTTTCCTGCCTGCTCTTACACAAACCTTAAACTTGTGACTTATTTCTTCTTGAACAAAGTTTTATTCATTCAGTGAAACAAGATACTGTATTTTTCGCACCATAGGACGCACCGGACAATAGGACGCACTTTGTTTTAGAAGGGGGAGAACAAGAAAAAAAAAAATCTCCCCCTCTCTGCCCAGCGCCCCTTCAGCGAAGCGGCAGGAGGCGCTGCGCAGAGAGGGGGAGAACTTTCCCCCTCTTGTTTTCCCGCTCTAAAACAAGGTGCCATTTAAGGTGCGTTCAGGCGGCTACCTCGGGAGCCTGGAGAGCGAGAGGGGTCGGTGTGCACTGACCCCTCTCGCTCTCCAGGCTTCAGGTTCCTTTCGACCTGCTCTTTGGGGCTGGTGGGGGGAAGCCCACCACCAGCCCCAAAGAGCAGGTCAGGGAGCAGCGGAAAGGCGCAGCGGAGAGGCTCCTGCCATAGCCGCACATCACCTCTCCAGCCGGGAGGGGTCGTGGGGTGCTTCTTTAGCTCCGCGCGCACTCTCCCGGCTGGAGAGGTGACGCTCGGCTGTAGAGGCTCCTGCCATAGCCACGCATCACCTCTCCAGCCGGGAGAGGGTCGCGGGGGGCTGCTTTAGCCCCGCGCGTGCTCTCCCGGCTGGAGAGGTGACGCGCGGCTATAGAGGCTCCTGCCATAGCCACGCATCACCTCTCCAGCCGGGAGAGGGTCGCGGGGGGCTTCTTTAGCCCCGCGCGCGCTCTCCCGGCTGGAGAGGTGACGCGCGGCTATAGAGGCTCCTGCCATAGCCGTGCGTCACCTCTCCAGCTGGGAGAGGGTTGCGGGGGGCTGCTTTAGCCCCGCTCGCGCTCTCCCGGCGGGAGAGGTGACGCGCGGCTATAGCGGCTCCTGCCATAGCCGCGCGTCACCTCTCCAGCCGGGAGACGGTCGCGGGGCTATGGCGTCTTCGCTCCATAGGACGCACATTTTTGAAGGGGAAAAAGTGCGTCCTATAGAGTGAAAAATACGGTACCTGTTGAATCATTTTCATGGGGGGGGGGAAATCCTATTTTAGTCTTAATAGGCATATTTAATGCTGTTTTTTTAAACTATTGTTTTTTAGCTCAGCCTTTGATGCTAAAACTGGCCTGCGAGTGGCTGTGAAGAAATTGTCCAGACCATTTCAGTCCATCATCCATGCCAAAAGGACTTACCGTGAACTACGTCTGCTTAAACATATGAAACATGAAAATGTAAGTTTGGGGAGAAAACTAGAAATGTACATTTCATGTGGTTTCGAATCCTAGGTTAGGAGTGAATGCTGGCTTGATAACCATGGTGTACTTGGTACAGATAAAATGGCAGACCATAGTGTCGGGGTTTTGTTAAAAGAGTAGAGGGGCCAGAGCAAGAAAATGAATCATTCAAAAGTTCATTCCCAATACTTTCATCTTGACTGAAAGCTGAGAAAATGTAACATGTGTATCATAGTATTTTCAACATACTAGAGCCAGTTGCTTATAAACTGTTTAAGAAGTTTCTTAGTTCTGATTTTGTGGTGGTTATTTCAAATGTTATGTAAACTTTCCTTACTGGTTAAATTCTCTAGTTTTAAAGTTAGCTTAATGCATGTTTATTTCCATGAGTACGTATTTTTTTCATTTCATTCATTGTTTTGGGTAATGGCTTCCATGTGTTGATTTCAATATTTTCTTACAGAACATATTAACTAGGGGAGACACTAAACCTTGGGGGAAACAATGAGTCTGTTAATTACACAATTGTAAAACGTGAGAACTGTTGCAAAGTATCTCACAAGTCCCAGTTTGTTTCTGAAACACTACAAGAAGGATGTTGCAGAAACATTTCTACCTTTTATGCTGCTGTGAAGATTTTAGTGTTACTATTTCATAGTATGCATGAATAATATGTGTGCACAGATCTGTGCTCCTGCTTTCTTCCCTTAACCCTAACCCCAACAAATTATGCAATTATAGTACTAAATAAATACAACAGCATATACCTCAGGGTGATTTTTAAGTACTTTTTTTGGAACAGTTGTGTTTCTGTTCATAATATTTCTTCAGACATGCCAGCAAACACTAGAGGTGTGACAGAAGCAGGGTGACTGACATAGGAAAGCATCTCCTAATCTCCTAAAGCAGGAATGAGGAACCTGCAGTCTTTCAGAGGTTGTTGGACTTCATTCACATCAGCCTCATCCAGGATGGCCAACAGTCAGGAGTGATGGGCATCCCAAAAACATTTGGAGGACTACAGATTTACCACCCCGATATAAACCCTTGTTTCACTAGCATTTGGGTAGATTTTTAATGACAGCACTTACAGTCAAACCTTGATTGACGAACATAATCCGTTCCACAAGACCGTTCAACTTCCGAAATGTTAAACAACAGAGGCACGGCTTCCGATTGGTTGCAAGAGCTTCTTGCACTCAAGCAGAAGCCGCTTTGGATGTTTGGGTTCTGAAAAACATTCGAAAACCGAAGCATTTACTTCTGGGTTTTCGGCATTCGGGAGCTGAAACGTTCGAAAATGGAGCCGTTTGAGAATCGAGGTTTGATGGTACTACTTACTATTTATCTGTTTTAACCACACTAACATTTGGTCCATAGTTTTTAATTTTCCTATAAATGCAGGAGAATCTTTAGTTCTTGCATTTCAAACAGGAAGGTATTCTTGCAGCAGTTTTACAATGTAATTACTTGGTAGGGCCTGAGTGTACTATAAAAATAGTCCTTTCACGTATTTGTCCCAAGTTGAAGCTTTCTAACACAACTATGAGTGACAAAGTGTTTGGAGAGGACAAAGAAGGAGATGGGAGGAGTGAAAATAATTTACCACTGAGGCAGAACATAGGTTAGCAGCCATAGCTTAGGGCAAGGAACTACACATCACAGAAGCCCTAACTGTAGTCTTGACCACAGCTATAATGCCCAAAGCCCTTCTAGTTCTTGAGCCATCTGTGTATTCTGCCTGATCACTTCTTTGTGTCCATGGGGATTAGATTTAGCTGTGTTGGTAATGTTTAGTCAAAAGTCAGATGACAAATACTTTAATGAAATAAATATGTACATTACAATGTATTTACTTTACAAGAAAAGTGAGATGTTCAAGAATCCAAATTCTTTGTTGGATACATGAACATGTTGTCAGATAAATTCCAGGACATTTTGTAATCCTTGGGATTTATGCATAGGGTTTATTTGTAAGCACTAATATAGTGTCTGGCTCTCTTTATTTTCCATGTCTTGTGCAAAAATAGCTGCCCTCTGGCGCTTGCAAAAAACACCCACTGATCTGTGTGCATTTAGATATATACAGTTGTGATAAGTAGAGATTTCTGAAGTTGAAATAAGTTATCACACTTGGGTTTCAGCTGTGCACATGAATGAAAATATTTTATGCCTCAGAGATGGAGCCTGTATCATAATATGATTACCCTGTATAATATCTTCACTTTACATCAGCCTTTTGGAAAAAGAAACATGAGTAGAACTAGTCAAGATGCCTGAGCCATGAATTAGCTTTCCTATTTACTATATGTGTATATTTGTGGGATTATTATTTTAGTGTGAAGCATGTGGTTATCTTCTGGTCACATTTCCCCTACATTTAGTTTATTTTGTTTGTGAGGGAACAGACCATTTTGGTCAGTGCTGGAGAGGTTTGTACTGATAGCAGTACTTGGAAATGTATGTTTTTAAAAACCCTCTTCTCCAAATTCTACTTAATGTGATGTATCCCTATTTAAAGCCTGTTTAAAAAAAGGTGAACGTACAAAGTCATATTTCATGGTCTCTGGTATGAAATTACATGTTACGTGTAAATGTGTAATGGAATCCTGAAAGCCCTTTTTAATTAGAAAAGTCAGTTTGCAAGCGGGTGATTAAGATCAGATGAGTCACATCTCCCTTCCTCTGCCTTCAGAGTTCCATGATGCATTTGTCAGGGCAGAGGGTATTCATAGAAAGTAGTGATGGCATGCTTGCCCTCCCATCCCTCTGATTACCCTATACAGTGGTACCTCGGGTTACAGACGCTTCAGGTTACAGACTCCGCTAACCCAGAAATAGTACCTCGGGTTAAGAACTTTGCTTCAGGATGAGAACAGAAATCGTGCTCTGGCGGTGCGGCGGCAGCAGGAGGCCCCATTAGCTAAAGTGGTGCTTCAGGTTAAGAACAGTTTCAGGTTAAGAACAGACCTCCGGAACGAATGAAGTAACCCGAGGTACCACTGTAGTACTAACTAGCCAGAGAGCTATTTAGCTAGCTGACACTGACTTCCGTACTTGATTTAGTTGAAATACTACCACCAAATTACCTTGACATGTACCCAGTGGCCACATTCAAATGAGAGATGAACAAGCCTTTTGTCCAAACATGCAGCTACTTTGTTTCGCTAGGTTGTCTTCAGTTAACTATATATTTCCATTACATCTGAGCTCATAACCTATAGTTATAGCTTTCGAACGGGGCAGGATATCAAGCCATGCTTTGAAGTTAGAGCTCATATTGCGGCTTGTTCTGAAGCTGTTAACCAAGGCCTCCATTTAAGAGCCATTGAGAAACTATACTTGCACAGTTCCAGATTTGTTTGCTCGTACAGCAAAGAGAGAAAAGAAGTTACATGTGCACCCACAAGGTTCATTTATATCTCATCTCATTAAGCTGAGATACGATTTTCTGAACCAACCCAGTGTGTATCACTGCATATTTACATTGGAGGTAGCGCTGAGCTATTTGATATGTTTACACCCCTTGTTTTTGAAAAATAAGTAGCAATTATGCTTTTAAAAAAACAATTGTCAATTCTTTTCATTAAGGAAAATAGTTTACAACGGAAACAGTGATCTGGAGCCAAAGATGAAGCAGGAGGAGTCCATGCATGCAACATGATTCTTTTCTCTGATATTTTTCAACATGCCACATTACAAGATATTTGAAAGTTGCCAGATTTAAAGGAACTATTTTGAGTTTGCATCTGTGTAAGGATAAAAGTCTTACTTATGTGCAAGTCGATGTGTTCATATAGTAGGCACTTTGAATTGGGACAGTGTATATATGTGAGTTGGGAAATGGCAGATAAATGTAGAAAATGTTATTCCTTGTGTGTCTTTTTCCCTTTCTAGGTTATTGGTCTTCTAGATGTGTTCACACCTGCAAAGTCACTAGAAGAATTCAATGATGTGTAGGTAACCCTTCATAGCCTTTTTGTTGGAAATAGTTTCCAGCCTTGATGGAAACGTCCTTATCTATAAGGAGCATTAATGTAATAGAATCAAAGGTTTCAGTTTAGACAGGACTTTAGATTCCTATTGGACAATGAAATTAGGCATATGGAGGAAGAAATGAATGAAGTTATTGCATTGACTTTACTGTGATAGAAGTATGTAGTCACAACCCTTCATTAATTAGCATGGAAGGTAGCTATGGGCTGTTTCACACACTAGATTTTCTTTACTCAGTAGTGGGAGTAAGAAATTATTCAGTCATGTGTGAAAACTGTAAATATCTACTTTGCCATGTTGACATTTGCCAAGAAGTTGACATCTGGCTCCGAACTGAAAATCTGCTTAATAGTAATACAGTATATTGAACTCACTTTATGTAACTATTTCCCATCATGCAAATAGCCTGTAAATACAACTCTCTAGCAAACGGCAGTTCCGTGCACTTCTCTGATTTGCCAGAAGTGGCTTAGTCATGCTGGTCACATGACCCGGAAGCTGTACGCCGGCTCCCTTGGCCAGTAAAGCGAGATGAGCGCCACAACCCTAGAGTCGTCCACGACTGGACCTAACGGTCAGGGGTCCCTTTACCTTTACCATTACCTTTACAACTCGCTAGCACTGTAGCTCTCTCAGCTGGTGTGATCTAGAATCCTGAGTGAAGGTCTCCCTCTTTAAAGTCATGTTATCAGTTTGAGGGTGCTTCTTTACTTTACAGTCATACCTCGGCTCTCGAACACCTTGGGAATCAAACCCTCCGGTTCCCGAATGCCCCAAACCCAGAAGTGAGTGTTCTGGTTTTCAAACATTCTTTTGGAAGCCAAACATTTGATGGGGCTTCCGATTGGCTGCAGGAGCTTCGTGCAGCCAACCAGAAACCACACTTTGGAAGTTGAACATTTCAGAAGTTGAACAGACTTCTGGAATGGATTCTGTTTGACTTCCGAGGTACAATTGTACTAGGCTCTATGTCTGCTCATGCACAGTAGATCCCAGAACATGCTGTGTATTACTTAGGTTTCCAATTTCAAATATTCCAATTTCAAACTTTAGGCCATCCAAATTTTGGATCTTAATTCCCCTCCCCCCTCAGTTTTGTGCCTGGAAGGGGAATATATATGAGTTATTCTGCAGCTTAACAGTTTTGATTTATTACTGAATCCAGTTCTCAGGCCTAAGCCATTTGAATTAAATGGCACAGTACACAGGATTGCCATGCTTATAGAAGCATAACAAATTTAAATGTTCCATGATTAGGTGCCCTGAGCTCCTTGTGGAGACAGAGGTTTTAAAGCTTTTTAGTAGCAGAATATTATTGTTGCTTTAAGGTTACCTTAGGCAGGTGCAGTTACTGTCCAAAGCAGGAATGGCAAGTGTATCTGAAAAGTGGGAAATCAAGACTGAGCAAAGTGCTTTAGCTATATGGAAGGACTTTTGGGTTTTGGTAGGAAATTGCTCATTTTAGGAGGGGAGTAATGTATTAATCATGTGACCATCTTCGGTCACATAGAATGATTGAGCCCTGGTTTATTTAGTCATTACTTTGTACCAAGGCAGACTCATGGATATTTGCAGTTGTATGATGAGACAAATGACAGATGTCTTAAATAGCTGTTTATAAAACCTGTTGGACTTGTATGTGACAGTTTCAAAGCACATGTTGAGACAGGCTTCCTGTCACAATAAGTCCATGTAGAAGTATTTTATTAATGATGTACATACACCCTGTACACACCTTTTACCATGTTCTTACTCTTGTGGAGAACTGGAAAGACTGAATCAATGCAGAGATCAGCCTAGTTTCATCGTCTTTGAAAGGTAGTAAAATTACTAATTTCAATACGTCTTTTCGTCTTGGGGCTTCACATTTAAAAATACTTAAACTAACAACTATTTTGTACTAGGAGCTGGTTCCCATATAGCCCTGCCATATAGGTGGGGTGGAGAATACATGTAAATTCTTGTGTGAGTAGATCCTGCCAAACATTAGTCTGACTTAGGAAAAGGAGTAGATGGACTGTGTGGTTATACTCTAGGTCCTGTGAGTGGTCGGGGAGAATGTGCAAATCTGAGACTCATTCCTTGGCCTCAGCCCTCTGTAACTACAAGCTAAGACCTTGCATGAAGCAGGCCCAAAATAAATATAGGAAAAATATGTTAATTGTGAATTTAAATTACAGTGCATCCTTAAGAAGTCTCTTATTATCTACTGGAATTTTAAATAGAATGGATCTTTCTAAACAATGAGAGATGCAGGGTTATACATGAATCTGCAAAAGATAGAACTGTCTTATTGCTTATTGTCTTACATTATGAATACACTCTTTTTTGCATTGCAACACAAGTGTATCGTATATCTCTGTACTAAATGGTTTACATTCTTTATAATGGCTTGTATCCAATATAGTGCTAAGTACCTGACACATCCAGATTTCCACTTATCCACTTGTGCAAAGGGACGTCCCCCATCTTGTCCCTCTGAACAAATCTCAAATCTGTTTTGAAGGTTTTCTCAACCCTCTGGAATAGATTGCGAGAGGATGCAGGAGGAGGAGAGGGAGGGAAGTCCCATTGTGCAAGAAGAAATCCTTGTGCTGATGGAAACAACGAAGTTAGATACTGCCCAATGTATTCTCACCATACATTTAAAATTGTATCTGTACCATAGCAGACTACTGGCTATGAAAAGGTCATACATAAAACCAATGAATTTTCATAAATGCAATAGGTTGGATCCAGATTTAGTCGTATTTGAAGAAGTTGGTCAGTAACTGATTTCAGTGGAAACTAGGCAGCTAACAGACCAGCCTAAATCCCTGTTCTATCATGGTGGAGGGAATTTTAATGGGACAGAGTTATCCCTCTGCCTGGTTCTACCACCTTTTGCTGTTGGCAGAGGAACAGCTGCACCCTGTTGAACCAACCCAAAAGGCAGGTCAGCAGAAGCTGCTGCTACTGCCAGTATACTTGCCAGCAGTAGCCAGTGGAAAACTCCTCCGCTAGGGGGTGATTGGGGGATGATCTGTGCTGTACAGGATCTCCTGTGCTGACCACCCTGCTGCCACGTGATGGCAACAGGCCTTATCCAAGCAACTGGGGTGCTGGCACAGCAAAGGGATATATTCCCTTTTTGCCACCTTCTGCTCTAGCTAGCGTGACTGGTAGGACTGTGGAAGTGGTGGTGACTACTTGGCACTGTCAAAGCCCACCGCTGCCAGTGATTGATCCCTAACTTAATCTGAACAAAATCCAGTGCTTCTCTATAAATGCTCTGACTCACTCACCTACAACACATGGAGGTAATACCATTGTTTAATTCTTGTTTTTTAGATACCTTGTAACCCATCTTATGGGGGCAGATCTGAACAATATTGTGAAATGTCAGAAGCTCACAGATGACCATGTACAGTTTCTAATCTATCAAATTCTTCGTGGTTTGAAGGTATTTGCATTAACTCTATTACTATTGTATTCTGTATGCAAGTGGCAAATAAAAGACATACTTTCTTCCCATTAGAAAGGTCCATAGGCATACTTTGGATTCAGATAAAAACACCATCACATGGTCCTGAATTGGTTGAACTGACCCCCATTATGACAGTCATGAAATATTAGCTGTTCTTTTTGAGAGTCTGAAGAGAGGCAAAGATATCATTACATGCTGCTCTCCTGAATCAGCTCAGACTTGCCTCTTGTATTCTGCTCTCCTCATGTTTAGAGGAACTAAATGTTCTTTCTGTGTGGGAGGATTTTGTTTTATGTGTTACATTCCCTTTGGTTGTGGGGGGAGGCACTGCAAAAAAAAAAAAAAAAAGTTACCTAGAGGGAAAGAAGGGAATGGGATCCTGCTGGAGATAGCAAGGCAGAAGCCAATACTTCCTTCTCGGTGGTGCTATCTTGTTTCACCCTTCTGTGTACGAAAACAAGGAAGGGGGTTGAGAAGCACAGAAAGATAGTGAGAGCCACAGCATTTGCAGCATGATCACAGGCCCTTTTGTCAATTTCAAGTCTATATTTTCTGACCCAAAGAAGAAATGTGCTCCTAATTGGTTTGTCATATGCAGGTGATTCTAATTGAGGAAACACTCTGCATGCATTAGCTCAGAGAAACAGTTGTGTGGCTTTTGAACAATTAGCACAACCTTACTGGAAATAAGTTATAAATTATTGTTATTTTTTAAGTAGAAGTTCCTTCCAGAACTTCTAGATGCCCTCTTAAATGTTAAATGTTGTGAACCTTGTGAGGTTACTATCTCGTGAGATTTCTGAGGCACCAGACGGATGCAGACTTTGATTCAGTAGTTTCAAAATGCATCTATACTTTGCCACAGAATGGGGAAGAACCAAATATGAAGGGATGAAAATATGAACATTGTGCAGGCATTATTCCCTCTTCCTTTCTGGTTGGAAATGACTTTGGTTATCTTCAAAGGAACAAACTCAGAGCAGACATTTCTCAGACGTCATTACAAAACCACTGAATGCTAGATGAGTAAATGTAATACAAGACATAGACTTTCATAAGCCATGGACCTTCATAATGGAAAATAGTGTCTGAACCTAATCTTCAAAATATTTTTATTTTCAGTATATCCATTCAGCTGACATAATACACAGAGTGAGTATTATTTTTAGTGTAAACTATTCAATGACAGCAGCATCCTGGGAAGTTGTAGCATTAGATCTTTGTATATCAAAGCAGCAGTAAAATTAAGCTAAAAGTTCAATAAAATTGCAATAAATATTTTAGTTAATGCTGGGAGAGAGTGAGTCTAGACAGATTCTGTTCAGGCATAGTTCACTTTACCATGGGGTTGGCTCTGGCCACCACTTTTCTTAACGTGCCTGCAGAGTACAGAACTGTAATTTGACTTGTTTCATATATTTGATTGGTTGGTTGTTTCTTCAGGGGTGGGATTAATTCTTGTTTATATACATATGGCTGATGCATACTGTTGAAAATCTCAGTGAAGTGTGGATTATGGTAGGATTGTATTACAGTTAACCTCTGAAGATTGTTTTTGAAAGTTGAGGAATACATTAGATGTTGCCAGTGCTAAATTTCATGGTTGGGACAGCTTTTTTATCATTGCAATGCTGTGACACTAGTATCTCTTTCTTTCTTTCTTTTAGGATTTAAAACCTAGTAACCTAGCTGTGAATGAGGACTGTGAGCTGAAGGTAAGGTGGGGTTAGTGTACACATAGCTTGTGGGCAGCCTAACAATCATTTGTTTAATAGGTCAGGACCTGAATATCTTAACAGGAAAAAGTAGGCACTAATATAAGCAAGTCTGTTGACCCCTGGACAAATATTTTAGAATTTATGAGTCTTTCTACACTGTTGGCTCAAAAGGTATTTAATAAAAGTTCCACTTTAGTTATTCCATGGTTGTGTATTTGTGGTACTCTTGAACTGCTCTTGTTTGAAATTGGGCACAGTGCAGTTAGGGAGTCACATAAGAGCTGTAAATCCTTGACAAATTTAGTCTTACAAAAGTATGTTTCACCAAACCTATTTCTGGAAGTGTTCAACAACATTTCTTTTCATCCATTTTTTGCATCTTCTGCAGTTGTTGCTAATCAGAAGTCCAGTTTGTCCTTTAAAAATAAATAAATGTACCAGTGCATTACTATCTTCCCTGTTCTGCAGATTCTGGATTTTGGATTGGCACGACACACAGATGATGAGATGACGGGGTATGTAGCAACTAGGTGGTACAGAGCTCCTGAGATCATGCTGAACTGGATGCATTACAATCAAACAGGTACAGTGTCTCATTAATCAAACCATCAGAGATTTGTATAATAAAACTGTATCATATAATTCTGTACCACAGTGGAATTGCCTCACTGTTGTAATATAAGAGACCTAATTTTTCAAGCATAATTTGACATCTACCGGTATATCATTAACAGAACCAGGTCTGCATCTGAAATTGTCAAATTCATGTTTATCAAGAGTACAAATATGTGCTTTTTCTTGCTGTCATACTAAAGCTAAGCATTTTAGGATTAGGTTAACCATTGCAATTGGTTTTATTTAAATCTTTTGGAATACTGGAACAGAGATCTGGCTAAAGGAGTCTGGCTTCTAAATTCATTCTGCTTTTTCCTCAGTTGATATTTGGTCTGTTGGATGTATTATGGCTGAACTGTTGACTGGAAGAACGCTATTCCCTGGTACAGACCGTATCCTTTAAAAACATCTAAAAATGAACTGAAACATTCATTTTCACACACAGCAACATGTAACCCAAGGAAGACTTGGGAACCAGCTCTGCACTTTGGTGTTGGAATTCTTTCTATGCAGATGAATGCATTTTGAGAACTACTGCTGCATTCTCCAAGAATGCTTTTTGCAGGTGGTTGAAATGCTTTATTTCAGTCTGTGGTTTAACATTAGGGTTTCACTTTCTCTCTCTTTGCTTGTTCTTCTCTTTAAAAGCTTTGAAAGTGGCCTTCCACCTTGAAGGGAAAATGTAATTACTTTTTTCAGCATCTCTGAGATCTGTTTTCCAGTTCCAGTAATTCAGATGTCCTGTCAAACTACTTCAATTTTGATACTAAGGTTCTATGAGAAGACCGGTTCCCTCATAAGGTTTAGCAACCCCAGAGTAAAGGGATATCTTGACAAGTCAGTGACTTGGCTTGTAAAAGGGAAGAATATATAATCTACAGGTAGATCTGTTAATCTGTTCTTATGTAACTTGTAAATATGACACAAAATAAAGGATTCTGTGTTGGCCAATTAAAAAAATTCCAAAATCCATATTATGGCAATACTTTTATAAAGCCAACCAAAATAGTGGACAAGCAATTGAGTCCTCAGATCAAGACTTGGGAAGAGAATGCATGGCTGGTGGTAACAGCATGGCTGTGCATTTTGGAAGAGTATAAAGGCAAAATGTGGGAATAGGTAGTAGGCTCTCACATGGAACTCTTAAATGTTGTGTTGCTGTTTCGTTGTACCAAGGTTTACTTGAAAGGAAGAAACAATGGCAAATTTCCTATCTTTGGAACTACAAAAAGTAGCTGTTACTCAGGTCTGTCTCCATCCTTACATGAAGCACACAGGTTTATGTTTTGTGTGACTTGGATAGATGGAAAAGCAGAATAAAGAGGAAGGGCTATAGCTCTGGGTTGGAGCATCTGCTTCTTACCTTCCTAAAGAGAAAGGCAGTCTTATTAACAAAAGTGTACTTTTTTTTTACCTTGCACTCCACCTATACTTAACTTTTACCCACCTGAACTTTCAACCTCTGATAATATAAATAATATCTACTTTCTCTTCATTCTTCTCTACCTGTCCAGGTCACACAAAAAGTAAACCTGTATGGCATTTCACCTAAAGATAGAAGCAAACCAGGGTACCAGTTGTTTTTTGTAGTTTTTTTGTATATGAATTTTGTTTTAAAAAATAAAGATGGGAAATCAGGCATTATCAGCCCATCTGTATACCTTGGTGCAACCTGATACCTGCATAGCGCTTACAGAACCTCATTTGAATGTCTGCTGCTTCCTCCCGCATTATGCCACAGGATTCTTTATCAAGTGCAGATTCATGGCTTTACCACTAGCTAAATATTCTGTCCCCAGCCCCCCATTTTATCCACACAACAGCCTTCGGCTGAGCAACAGGGACTGGCCCAAGGTCATCCAGTGAGCTTCATGACTGAGTGGGGACTTGAATCTTGGTCTCCAGGTCCTATTCCAATACTTAAGCCTCTTTAACATACTGGCGCACACTATAATATAAAAAAGCATTCTGTGTATAATTCAGAAGATGTATTTGGTCCCTAATCTGAAGTCTAAATCATTGCCAGGATCCGTGCAACCCTTTTATCAGTTATTAATGGAGAGATTTTGAAAGATAAGAATATATTGATATTCTGTCCAGTTGCACTGTGTCCACCAAAATATGTTCTATGGGAATGAAACATTTAAAAGTTTCCGGGTTATCCGTCTAAAAGTAATAAATAAATTGATTGAATCCTAGGGAAATAAAATATATTTTTGCATTTAATTTTCCGACTATTAAATATTTCATGAAGGAGAGTGTGTGATGTTGATCTTTGTGGAAAAAACTAACACATTTATTTTAGGTTTTAGGCTAATATTAGAAGGTGTGAAGATGGTCAAAGTCATTTATTTTATGGTTGTTTTTTACCAAACTTTCCCAGAATAGATGAGGCAAATGTGAAAACTATATGATACATTTATAGCCTACATGTTGGATTTTTTCCCTTGTTTTTGTTGTGTTATCCCTTTGCTTTCACTTCTTCCTGTTCACTTCTCCTTTTCCAAGACCCTTACAGTTGTCTTTCTCCTTCTCCTTTTCTGTCTGGGGTATGTAGAAAAAAAAAGTTTCTTGCCTAAAGAGCAAAATAGACATGTTTTAACTATGTTGGGTGCAATTTTCATTTTTACAATATAAATCTTTTTACTCTTTTCTCTATTACATGTACATACTCCTCTTTTTGAATGGTCCTAAATGAAGTTGTGTTTGCCTTCCACAAATCTTCACTCCATATGTGGCAGTTATTTAAGGCTAGGGTGGGGAGTGATAACCATTTCTGTCAGCTTCTTAATCGGAATAATGGATATGCATTCAAGGAATAATAACACATTGGCTTACATTATAGGAATTCTGTGAGTACACACAGCATGCAAATTGGTTTAACCAGTGGCAGGAATTTGTAAAGCAAGCTTTTATTGCTCAGCTCTTGGAAATCTGATCTGCAGGAGATAGTGGGTTTGGGGGCTCCATTAGTGGGAGTTGTCAACTTAAACACTTGATGATCAGCAGCTACAGGTAAGGGAATGATTAAATGCCCAAGCTGTAATTGGTTAATATGCTGCATGTGCAGACTTAACTTCCATAGCTAAATTATGTGTTTTGAAAATTGCTATAGCATAACCAAAGTTGTATCTGGTAGTACTGAGTAAAATCTAATATAGTTATTGCTGAACAGAGTTCATATTTCTTCTACCCTGACCCATATTAGGGTGCTCTCCATATTTTGAAATTGTGAATAGGGAATCTGGGGCTGGGCCTGTGTCTTCAAGTAATGTACCTTGATTAACCTATTTGGGACAAGTTATTTCTTTAAAAAAAATAAAATCTTACTAACTGAATTACTACAATGATCTGGAATGACTAATTGAACTGTGATGTTGAATCTGTTATAAACATATTCTAAGTCAGGAAGTTTTCTCAAAAAGTAGCCATATCAGAATAACGTGTTCTGGGTACTCTTGGTCTTGAATGCCCACTTGGACCTGGCATCTGGATTTTGCTTTAAACTTGGCTTTTTGCAGTATTCACTGTTGGTTGTGGTAGCAAACTTTTCCCTTTTCTGTATGGTCAGTATTGGGACTTGCCAGTTCTTGAAATTCATTCTTTTCTGAGATCTGCATGCTTTTCTTTGCTTATGGCTTTCTATGCACTCTGTTTACTTTTGCTTTGAGTTTACTAACAACTCTTTTTTAGTTAAATGGCAGTTCACAAATTATATTGTTGATATATAGATGCAACAATCTTGTAATATTTTAATTGATTCATTGTGTTGGTTAGCTGCTTCCAACTGACTTCTGCTTCTTGCCCTAGAAAAGACTTTGTAGTGAAGTAATTAATGTTTGTCCGTGTACGCAGCAGACACAGTCTGTAAAAAAATAAATAGCACTGACAGCAATATATCTTTCATTACATTCAGATAGCACTTAACTTTCAAATACTTCAAACAACCAGAAAATGGTTGACTTACCATTATTTAGATGGCACATAAATCCATACTTTTGGTTGTACTATATAGTGTTCCCTTGTTTTAATTTACAAACTTGTGTTAACTTGTTCTGGCTGAAGGCTGAAGCACATACATGAAAACTCGCATCTTCTTTCAAAGATGAGCCTACATTGTGCAGGTTTTTGTTGGAGGCCTCAGTTCAAATCCAGCCTGGAATTTAGGAAGTAGCTTTTGGGAAGTTACTGCTAGAAAGTAACTTGCTTTAAGGCTTAGTATAACTAAGGTGGGAATTATTTTTCAAATTGAATTTATATCCTGCCATTCCCTAGGATAGCCTTGATGCAGTTTCAAATTCAGGAGATTAGATTTTAATCTTCAGGGGCTGGAAAGTTCTCACTCTCCAATAGCTATGGGATTTCCTATGCAGTCAATAACACTTTCTCACTCTCCCCACCATTGGGAGCATAGCTCATGAGCCCCAAGCCTCCTTTCCAATCTTAAGGATAGCAGTTCCAGGTGGGGTATAACTTCTAGGGCCCCTAAGGAGTTTGTGACTTTTTCAATCAGTTCCCTGCTTTGTTACACTAGCTGTTGTCCGCAAAACTCCCTGAGAGGACAGTGGAGGGAAGCAAGTGTAACTCATTAAAATATATATAACAGCCCATTAAATACTATGATAAAATGTCCAGATGGGTTTGATGACATGGGGTCTCCAATTGTAATAAAAGTCACTGATTTCACAAAAAGGATTAGGACTGAGTGTAAATAGTGTTGACCGCCAACTTCTACAAAGTAGAAGTGTTGACAGCACCTGAAGTAGCCAGCATCCTAGAAAGCATTTACCAACCTTTACCAACCTGGTGCCCTCCAGATGTTTTGGATTAAATTTCCCACCATCTGCTGACCATTGGCTGGGCAGGCTGGGGTTGATAGGAGTTGGGAGTCCACTAGGTTGAGGTAAATTGGTTTTGTGCACTATTAAAATTAGCCTCAAAGTTGCTACTTTACTCGAGCTTTAAAAGTTAAGTGACAGCAATTTCTACTTACAGGTAGGTAGCCATGTTGGTCTGCCATAGTCGAAACAAAACAAAATAAATAAATAAATAAACAAAATTCCTTCCAGTAACACCTTAGAGACCAACTAGGTTAGTTATTGGTATCTGAAGAAGTGTGCATGCTCACAAAAGCTCATACCAATAACTAAGTTAGTTGGTCTCTAAGGTGCTACTGGAAGGAATTTTTAAAGTTTATTTTATTTATTTTGTTTTGTTTTGATCAATTTCTACTTTCACTATCACCAGTGCATGCTAGTCTTTTACCATACTGCTTCTGCCACTAAATCTTAACTATTACTAATGACTGGGAGTATAGGTCTAACCTAAAATAATCACAGAGAGCATCAATTATACCTGTTAATCACCATTGTATTCTGATTGCAAAATGTGCATGTTTGCCACTATTGGATGGTAGCTTGGAATGGTGGACAAGCCTTAGTAGAACAATTAGAATATAGAGCGCAGAGCAGAACAAAAAAAAAAAAAAAGCACTTTAACCTTAGAACCTCAACGAAGCTGTTTTCAGTTTCAGTTCCTTTGGGCAGAAGCTTGGATATATTTTCTCTTGTAAGGGTAGAAAGATTTAGACTGTAAAGCTATAGTTCTAAAGATTCTAGGTGCACTCATTCTATTCTGAATTAGGAATTGCCTCATCCCTTCTATGAACAGGAAAATTGCAACTTGTGAAAGAGGAACCACATTGGGTAAATTCAACCTTACAACAATTGATCACTCACATAAGCAGTTGTCTCCATATGTTAGCTGCTTGCAGAAACAAATGTGGCTAAATGTGTCCACATTTCTTGAACAGATTTGGGTGTAGGATTTTCATCAGGTGGATATTTAAATGGTATGTGTCTTCTACATTAGATGTGTGCTAATATTACTTATTATTATTATTATTATTATTATTATTATTTTGATTGAGACATTTGGTTTTCTTTTTTCCCCTTTAGTTTTATTCGGCTGCTGCTGTGATTTTTTTTCTCCCATTTTATTTGTCCCAGCATTTTCCTTTATGGTCCATCGTTAGATATTGATCAATTGAAGCTCATTTTGAGACTCGTTGGAACACCAGGGCCTGAGCTTTTGAAGAAAATATCTTCAGAGTCTGTGAGTTTAAAGCTTGACAGTAATGCCTTGCCTTTTTGGATTTTGTGTTTTCCCTTTTGCTTTGCTTGCTTGTAGACTGCATCTATCTCCTTCCTGGTTAGTTTTGTCTTAAGCTTGTTTCCTTAGACACATCTTATTTTCCTTGGACACATCTTGAAGCCTCCCCTCTCTGCCTCTGTACTAGTCTTCATGTCCCATCTTACCTTCTATTTTCTGTCCGTAGGCTATACTAAGCTTAGCTGAACACTGTGTACTTCATTGCACACTCTTGTTAAACGCTGTTAGGCACATGCTGCTACCAATATCCCATATATATCACATCTCCTAATGGATAGTGCTTTCTTTAAGTTGGATTTTGGGACTTGCATTGAGTGCTCTTCCACAAACTGTTTCAAGAAGGGGGAAATGTTTAGGAACAAGTATGAGCATGAATCATGTTAAAAGCCACAGAGTAAATTCCTGTTGTCACTAGTGCAAACAGCTTGTTGTTGGATCATAACATTGACCTCAGTCCTAAAAGTGCTCAGTCATAAAGGTGATATCCATGGAAGTAATGATACAGCTGGGGTTTCCCCTCCATAAGTAGGATTGTTCTGCGTTCATGGGATGATAGCTAATCTACATTCTACACTTCAACATAGGGAGCAGCTGGGTGTTGCAGCTTACCAGAATAGCAATGAAAGTTGGGTAGGCGCCCCTGTGCGAGTGCAGGTTTGGCTTCACCAGTGTGCCTCTGCAATCCTGTCAACACTGCTGCCTGGTCCTCCCCTATCCCTGCAGCGTCCTAGTAAGAAGCAGCAATGCCATTGTCAGTAGGGTAGCACTGTAGGCCTACTCTCATCACACTGGTCACTGCTACTTACGCATGGATGATTTTGTTGTATAAAATATTTTTATTAGAAACTCATTTAAAATAGATCTACAAGAACCCTAATCTAGATTAGGCTTACTGAAGAGATTGAAACGTGTTCGGAAATAAGAGGGGGAAATGAGCTGAAAGGAACCCACAGATTCAACATATCCATATTTGTTTACTAAATACATGTTTGCCGGTTTAGCCATAAAGCAGTGGTGGAGAGCCAGCATGGTGTAGTGGTTAAGAGCAGTGGACTTGTAATCTGGTGAACTGGGTTCACTTCCCCACTCCTCCATGTGCAGCTGCTGGGTGACCTTGGGCTAGTCTCAGAGTTGTTGTGGGGAAGGAAGGGAAAGGAGATTGTTAGCCGCTTTGAGACTCCTTAAGGGGAGTGAAAGGCAGGATATCAAGTCCAAACAACAACAACTCCTCCTCCTCCTCTTATCACTAAATGGAGTGTGAGGAGGATGGGCCTATGAAACCTGTACCCCTACCCTGCCTTACCCCCTTAAGGTCTGCTGCTTGAAGAATTGATACTGGAACAGGAAGATGGGGAATTAAAGCAGCAGTTTTCAGGTAGGTAGGGCAGGGAAAGGGGTTGTTCCCACCAATCACACCACCCTTCTTCGTAGGCTAACCAACAAGCAGGCATTTAACAAACACAGCTGTTGAGCCCCCAATAGTTTTCTGGAATTAGGCTGATAGTACTTGAAAAATACTTAAAAGTTATAAAAATAAAAAGGGTTCTTCTGTGAATGCTGTGAATTGATGAAACAGATAAGAAAGACAATGATGCTTATCGTCCTACTTTTTCACCTTTTGCACATCTTGGTTTTTGCTTCAGGAGGACCGAGTAATCAGCAGTTGGGTCATACTGCAAGAATTTAATGGAACTTTTTTTCTGGGTTGAGGAAATAACTGGCTCCTGAGAACGCGCATATATTGACAGATGGATTTTTATTGTTTCTATAGTGCCATCTGTGCATATTGCATTTTACAAAGAACATGTTTTATAGGACCCAACCCCAAAGCATGTGTTCTTACCTGTGCTGTATATCCATTGAAGAGAGTACTGAAAAATCTAGCCCATCCCTTTATAGCCTTCTAAATGAGGGTCTGCTTTGGAGTAATGGGATTTTAAATGGCTGCATCTGCTCATAACTTTCTGCTTTGCAGTATCAGTAGCTACATGTGTTCACAGCCAACTTGGCCCAGATCTTATCCAGAAAACAATGCTGAGTGAAAAATTCAGAACTAGATGACAATGCATACTGCAATACAGCAGCTTGTCACCTTAAGCATCTTCATACAGTTATTTGAGATGAAGTAGCAGATGAAGATTCTTAGGCTCATACCAGATGGTTGTCTGGAATACCCTTGCTATGAATCATGGATCAGATGCAGTCTTGACTGAATGTGTGTTAAGTAGCAAAAAGTATGTAAACTGTTTTGAATAAATGTAGGAATGATTGCCAGGAGGTAAGTAAAGGTATAAAATGGCAGCATTGAAAAGCGGGGCATTTGAAGTGAGAGAGTGATTTTAACTCCCTCTGTGTGCCCCAAACTGATCAGCGTTTTTGTTCATATACTTGCTGTGTATGAGCCCTTTGGTTGACTGGGTGGGGGATAGAGAAGAGCCATGCTGCTCTTGTGTGTTTGAGGGTATTAGAGGGGTAATAAGAGATGGTGCCATTGTAGTTGAAGCAGATTGGTCTCCTGCTCACTCCACCCATCTTACTTGCAGGTTGGCGGTTGTAACCATAAGATATCAGATCTGAACAGAATGTAAATCAAACTGTGCCTTGACAAACACATAGCCTTTGCCTTTGTTTCCTGATGTGGAAGTTGGTAATATTCAGGCTAACACATTGTCAGTTTTCCCAGGACCGCTTTCCATTGGTTGTCTAATTTAAGGGAGATAATAGAATCACTAAAACTTCCAGTCTGTAGTAATCTCCATATATGCATACCCTTTTTACCTGTTTGAAACGTATAAAGGCCTGAAAGTAGGCCCATTGTCCAGCCAGTTTGGAGCCTGTGGTTTAATTAAAAATCCTACAGTGGAGGAAGAACTGTGGAGGCTATATTATGAAACTGATTCCACCCTCCCAACTTGGCATGAATTCCAATAAATAAGAAGTTTTTTGCTTTTGTAGACAAAGTAGCAATGTCAAATAGTATCAAATAGCAATATTCTCTAAATAGGGAAATTAACTAGATTTTTAAAGTTGATGAAAACTTTTTAGGCTAGAACATTACTTCAGTAAAAGGACTTCATTTGGTTCTGCATATAATTAAAGCATAGCTAGACAACATACTTGAAAAAAATCCTTGTCCTCTTTCCTCCCCATATATCATGTGCAGTTGAACAAAATTAAATGCTGTATAAAGAAATGTGCTACATGAAGCTTAACCTGACTACTATGCACTACTATTCACTGTACAGATGTTTATTTTGCCATAGTTGCCATTAAATTGGCTTTCTCTTGATCACTGACACCTAACATTTTTGTGCAATGCGAACAGCATTCTAACATTGCATATTTCTCTATTAGCATTCATATGGACGAGTATCTCAGATACTACATCCTCAGTGTATTAGTTTGTGCAGCAAAAGAGTGAAATCTAAGCTTTGTAAAGCCAGATAGAATAAAATAGTATATCTTTAGCAGCCATCAATTGGCTCACTTCCTTGTTCAAGGTGACTTCTGTTTCTAAAAGGGGCCAGCACCCAGTTTAAGGCTGCCAATTGATTATTATAAACAGTGAGCAAGCATCTGGCTTTACCGAAAGATTATTAACTGTTTTCTGATCCGCTTTCTTGTAATACAAAGATGGTGTGACACACAGAGTGGTAATTGCCTGTAGTGTGCAGACTAGATGCCTTTTGCGTAATTGTCTTGATTGTATGTTCACACTGATGCTGAAATATTAACAAAGCCCTTGACTAGGCACCTAAGATATTAACCAGCTTCAGCAGATAATGCGTCTGACGGGGACACCCCCTGCATATCTCATTAACAGGATGCCCAGCCATGAGGTGAGATGTGGCAGGGTGTGCATAGTTGTCTGCAGTTCAAAGCATTTCTTTATTCATGGATCTTTAGCCCATCTTCCAGGGCATAGCCCTACTAACGCTGCTCACAAAATTGAAACAGCATAGAACACTTAAATACATTATCACAACTCTGTCCCCCAGTCTAAAACCAACGGTGTTTAAAAACCCCAGTACACTGCACTTAAACAGAAGATAGACCTGAACAGTTCAGAATCTACTTTAAGGCAAATATAATTGGGTCTCATGAATTCATAGAGGTGGAGCTACTACAACAGAAGTCTGTCTCTGCCAGAGGACTAGAGATTAAGGCTCTTAAGGCCCAGGCAGGCCCATATGGGTGCAGGCAGTCCATCAGAGAACCTGCTGCCAAACACTTTAGGTCTTTAAAGGCTAAAACCATCACTTTAAATTGAGCCTTGAAGCAAGCTGGCAACCAGTGAAACTGGTATTGTGTAAGGTGCTCAAAACACCTAGCCCCCACAAGCATTCTAGCAGCTGAGTTTCCAGAGCACATTGAAAAGGTAAAGGACCCCTGACAGTTAAGTCCAGTCGCAGACGACTCTGGGGTTGCGGCGCTCATCTCGCTTTACAGGCCGAGGGAGCCGGCGTGTGTCCGCAGACAGTTTTTCTGGGGTCATGTGGCCAGCATGACTAAGCCGCTTCTGGCGCAACCAGAGCAGAGCACAGAAACACCTTTACCTTCCCTCCAGAGCGGTACCAGCAAGTAGATATACTTGCACCTTTTTTGGCGTGCTTTCAAATTGCTAGGTTGACAGGAGCTGGGACCAAGCAATGGGAGCTCACCCCGTCACGGGGATTCGAACTGCTGACCTTCTGATAGGCAAGCCCAAGAGGCTCAGTGGTTTAGATCATGGCGCCACCCGCGTCTCTCTATCCAGAGCACATTATGATAGTCTAATTTGGAGGTTGTCAGAACATCGATAAGTGAGGCAAGGTCTGCTTCTCTGCATAGAGCCACAACTGGTGAACTTTCCTAAGCTGATAGAAGGCTTCCCTTTATAGTAACTAGGATTTTTTAAAATGTGCTACTACACAGCTGTAGGCAGCATAATTAGCTTATACTTTGGGTCTTTTAATAGCAAGTAATGAAAATCCACAAAAGAGAACCAAATTTGCTGAAACTTTGTAATTAAGTAGTCAACAGATTGTAACTATCCATTTCAAATGGGACTCTTCTAGTTAGTTGCAGAAATAACATTTGTATTTGGTTAGTGCTCAACTACATAAAGACACCTGGATGCCACTGCTGACCTTCAGGAACTTGTCCTCACTTGCAGCAACCTTCAGTACATAACAGGCAATGTTCTTCCAGCCTTACAACTCATAGTGCCCTAGTTCCAACGCTTGTTAATTGTATCTTTGTCGCTGTGGTCAGTCTGGATGAGAAGGGGATGAGGATAAGATAGATGCTGATTAAGCTCAAGCAGGAAAAAGTAGGCACTCGCAGGAGCTTATAATGATTAGGAGGCACAACCTTAACAAAACGTTTTTCTTTTTCTCCAGGCAAGAAACTACATACAGTCTTTGTCTTACATGCCGAAGATGAATTTTGAAAATGTATTTATTGGTGCCAACCCCTTGGGTAAGACTTAACAGCAGTTCCATTACAGTGGAGAATCCATGCAAACATTGAGATGTTTAATGTCTCTTGAGACAGACTGATGTTTTAAAATAGTGCTCTTTGTCCAGGAGGTGAAATAACTATTTAAAATATTTATGGACTGCCTTTCTCAACAAAGTCAATGTGAGGCTCAAGCCCACAACCCTGAGATTAAGAGTCTCCTTCTCTACTGACTGAGCTATCCCAGCTCATCAAGTTCAACTCTGCATCTTAGTGAAAACTTACTTTATTTGTAAATTTTGGTTCAAGAGATAATACAACCAAGTGTTTGTTTGTTAAATACTACTTGTAGCTTCCTATCTGAAGAGGAATCCAAAGCTGTCCACTCAGATTTTTTTTTCTTGCAGGTGCTATTTGCAAAGCAGGTATTGATTGCATACCGCTTGGGGTATATTTTAAAGTAATACTCCCAAGTACAGCTTGAACCATAAATTACTCTCCATTGTGAAATTACAATACTCCTGGGACTGAATCCTTATCTACTATAGTTGGGATGGGGAACTTTTGGCCCTCTTGATGTTGTTGGACTCCTGACTTCCATTAGTCCTAGCCATTATGGCCAATGGTCAGGGGTGATGGGAGTGGTAGTCTAGCAACATCTGAAGGGCCACTGGTTCCCTGCCCTACAGCTTTAGGTGGGACTTTTTAAGAACTGTTGTACAATAATTCTCTCTCCTCCTCACCCCTTGACCCCTGAAGCTGTAGACTTGCTGGAGAAGATGTTGGTGCTGGACACAGACAAACGAATCACTGCTGCTGAAGCATTGGCTCATGCCTATTTTACGCAGTATCATGACCCAGATGATGAGCCAGTGGCAGATCCCTATGATCAATCCTTCGAAAGCAGAGAACTTGATATTGAAGAATGGAAAAGTAAGTTATCTGGGAGACTGATTTGGTAAGACAGGTCTTAATGGGTGACATTCACAAATACTATTATTGTATGCTCATATAGTGAAAGCAAAACTTGACAGGAGGTAATAAAATAGAATGCAACTCAGTATTTCTTTGAATAGAGGAGGCAGGGGGCGAAATAGCTCAGTTCTGGTGGTATATTGCAAAAATAAATAAAAATACAGTCCTTTGAATTTGATGTCAAATTAGGCCTGAACCTAATTGGTGGGGGTTCACAAAACCTTTCTTATTTCCATGTGCTGTTACTTGTCAAAAGTGCTTTCTACAATATTTGCCTTTAAAACTGAAGAAGTGGGATTTCTGTCAGATTGAATGATTCTGTAGGGAATAATGTAGGCAGCATAATATGCAGTTAATCAAAACTGGATACATGATGTCACAATCAAAGTGGAGCAAGGGGAGCCGTTGCTCGGGGGGGGGGTGGAACACATCCAATGTTTCTCACATCCTGCCCAACCGTTGCCAAAATGAAGGTGTGCAGTTCATGAGGGATGAAGTCTGTAACACAGTGTTCTCCTCAGTTTCTGCATAGTGTTACATGAAACTGCTGCTCACAAAAGCAGTAAGTTTACCTGTACTGAATTTGCTTATTGGCCCAATCCACCTCATTGCAGATTCTAAATATCTATAATTGGGGATTCTACTGCTTCATTAGGATTTGAGGAAAAAGAGTCATCAGCATTCTGCACTTCAAATCCCCACAGTAGTTTGTACACTTGACAGAACCGGGCTAACAGCTGCCATGTGTTCTGTCACCTTGTTCCAGCACAGTGATGACCAAACTTTGTCCTCCAGTTGTTTTGGGACTACAACTCCCATCATCCCTAGCTAACAGGACCAGTGGTCAGGGATGGTGGGAATTGTAGTCCCCAAAAAGCTAGAGGGCCAAGTTTGGCCATCACTGCGATCCAGCAAGTAGATTCAGGTCTGGCCTATAATTATGTGAATCCAGTGTGCAAATCTGGAAACAGCTAGTACTTAATTTTAGTTCAACAATCTTTGTTGACTCTGAGGATTGAATTAACTAGGAGTGATGCATTATCTTGTAGGAAAGGAACTGTTACCCACCGGCTGCACTAAAGTCAATGTCTTTCTCTTTTTCTCCACCAGGCCTAACCTATGATGAAGTAGTTAGCTTTGTGCCACCACCGCTTGATCAAGAGGAGATGGAGTCTTGAGAATCTATTTCTTTCTCTTTGTCCCATATCACTGTGAGGGGAAGGCCTTTTTCATAGGGATTCTCCACATATCATTCAAGTGCCTCTTGCCGTGAAGATTCTCCTTGGTGGAAGGGTTTTGTGTGTAATTCGTGTGTGTGTGTGTGTGTGTGTGTGTGTGTGTGTTGAATGGGGGTGGGTGGGAGAGTATTTATACAGTAACTGTATAAATAATGCTGCATGTTCTCTTGTATTTTTGTATACAGCCTGGGACATGCTTCTGAAGACCTGTTTGTTTGCTCTTTAGCCTTTACAGTTGGTAACCAGCTTTCATCGCTCATATGGCAAGGCAGATATTATGCAGGGAAGCTGAGATTTCAAATTCTCAGTAGCAATTCTTGCCATTAAATGGCTTTCCTATCAAGAAAAGACTTAAGATGATGGAAGCTGAACTTTTACTTGAACTGTGCCCTCTGCTTTCGAAGAGAAAAGAGGGTGAGGGATGTCTTTCCATTCCATGCCATGCAGCTGCTTTACACCCATAGCCTCTTCCCAGTATTCTGTTCAGCAGGAAGGATGGGCCCATGAATGACTGGCTACCTGTTGGGAATATTTTGTCTGAACCAGTGTAAAAAAAAAAAGTGTGTGCCTTAAATGACTGAGGAGAAATTGGAATCGGGGTTAGTGTTCTCTTAACAGTGGGATTCTGAGCTTGCTGCTTCCTAGGGTGTTGTGGGCCACAGAATACCCATGTATTACTGGCTGCTTTGGCCAGGATACAAATCTACCAAAAATAGGGTGCACCCCTCATTTTTGGTATCCTCTCTCTTCCCTGCCCAACTCTGAGATGCCCAGCAGTAGCTCTGTCATGCTGCCTGTTCATTTTGTATATCATCTTAAGAGAGAGTGTTTTGCATGTTGTAGCTGTGTATGCATGTAGGCTTCTTTGTGTTATCTGGAGGAGGCACTGGGTTGGTAATCAGCTAATAAATTACTGTATTCACTACCATGGTCAGAGCCATATACAATTGCAGAATCCATCTATTCTTCTTCAACTCATGGGTTGACATTTTGGGCACTTTTTGGATGAAAAGGGGCAAGTGAACATGCACCTTTCTTGGATCTTCCTTTTGTGGCTTTAAATACGAGTTAATTTGTCAGTTTGTGTGTGCCTGAACACAAGATTCAGTTCACTGTATTCATATATGATAGAAATCAAGTAATGATGAGATTGCCCTATTTAGGGACTAAGTGGGGGGCATCACTTCAAGTATTTTGTGTCCATCAGGTGTTCTGGGTATCTGAGGTCCTATTTTTAAAGTATTTTCTGAAATTTATATAATGCAGGTATCATGCATGGATTGTACGTCTGTCTCTGAAAGAGTGAAGCTTTGCAGTATTTTTGTTTTTCCTAATGGATCTGGGATTTTAATGTATTTATCCCTTTTGTACAGAGAAGCCGCCAAAAAAGAGAAAGAAAAAAAAGATGGCATGTGGATAATAAAGCCATCAGTTCCTTCCTTTCTAGTGATCTCCCTTCAGGTCATACCCTCTGTAGAGAGACTTGGGGTCCAGAGAGCAGTGCTGCTTCATGTTTCTGGTTTGGAGGCCATCTTAAGACCAAACAAAGTCAACTCCCTCTGCTGGACCTGCAGTCTGGGTATTCAGATGGAAATGTAGATATATTCTGTAAAACATAACAGGAAGATTATTTTTATCAGTCGTTTTATGTGTAGATGCTACCGTGTGACTTTCATGCAGAAATGCTATAAAAAAGAATTTAAAAACTTATAGGTATTTGTGTGAGTGGGAATATCTCAGAAGTTGAGAGTCTATGTGGGAGCCCCTGTGGAGAGCACTCCCTGTCATTTAGTGTGGTGCTGTTCTACTGCCTCAACTCTGGACAGAAAGTACACACATTAAAAGATAATTTCTGCAAATTTGTATGTATCCAGGAACTTTGCTCTAACTGGTTATGCCATATAGGATTATCACACAATGCCACTGGTTTAAAATAAACCTATTTTTCAAACTTAATGGACTGGCGGTGGTGGTTGCAAATTAATGTGTGTCTGTAATTAGGGTGAATCATTCATTGAGGCAATGGATATGATGCGGTAATGTCTTACAGTTAATAATAGCACTATGTGTAAAAAGCAAGGGAAAAAATCTTAACTGGCCACTGTGTGTTAGGTGGTGGTTGTGTTGCCTTTTTAAATGCCCCCCCAACCCAATTACTCTCTTGAATAAAATAATCAAACTAAGCCTGTTCAAATTTGTAAACAGATACCAAAGACCAATTACTCATCATTACATTTCAATGTTACGACTGGACTCTTGAAAGTACAGACTGCAAGGAATGGTTTATAAGGTACCCCTGGTTTGTATCCATTTGAGTTGGTCAACTCTGAAAATGAGCTTCATAAACAAGTCTGAAGAAGCTGGAATTACATCTTCCATGGCCACACTGCAAGAAGCTGTGCTTGTAAAGTTATAAGTCATTCTTAATCCTTCACATTTTACTGACATGCATTCATTGTGCTGGAACAGATATATTTTAAATAATAAAAAGGTGGCGTATCTGATAGGTGTGAAGTAGGTAGTGGAAAGAACAGATCAGAGGAAATAACATCTGCCTGCACTTTCTTGTAAACCTGGCTGAAATGTAAACTGGTGTCCGTAAAATATTCAGTTAGACCAGGACAAAAGAGTGTGTTTCCTTTTGGGATAAGATGGTGGGAATCCCGTACTATAGAGCTGTTAATAAGCTGGAGTTGTCAGTGAGGTGGTTATCTTTACCTTTTGTATAATTGTTTCTACACACTATTCTCCATCCAGGCAGACAAGAGCATTCAGGGATAAATAGCCAGGTAAAAACACTCAAGGAGAATGCAAAACAGGGCTGATGGGTATGGTGACAGAGTCCCTAAGGTCAGGTAGCGATGCCCTGAGGACCACATTTAGACCCAGGCTTGAGGTTCACACCTCTTTAGTAGTCTTTAAGCCAATTCTTTACATTAATCTCCAGAAATCTAATTAGCTATTTGCATTCCAGAATGTTGAGACTTCCTTCTAATGGTTCTTCATCCTGGGGAAAAAGTGAAAAGTAGGATGCCGCAGGGTTCAGTCCTGGGCCAGTGGTTGTTTTTATAAACAACTTGGATGAAGGAACTGAGGGCAGATCCCACCAAACTGGGAGGGGTAGTTAAGGCTGTAGAAGACAGAACTGACATTCAATATGACCTTAACAGATTGGAGAATTGACCCTAAACTAACAAAATGAATTTCAAAATAAATACAATTAGGGTGCCACAATAATTGAATTTATGTGTGTGTGTTTTAAATGAAAACAATTAAATAGACTGATTTCAGCAAAGATTCAGAGCCAAATGTTTGTTTCTATGTAAAATTTTCTTCATTGGATTTGACAATCCCAAAAAACACTGGCTTGTAGCACGGCATTGCTAAATAAGCATCCCAACAGTGCAATGATGCCTGCTTGCACAAAGTGATTCACCCCCCCCATCATCCTCCCCAGGCACGCCATAAATCTGTTATGGTGGTACTCCCAATATTACAGAGCAGATTTGGGAAGCAGGCAGTGGGACTTGAAGAGGGAAATCCTGTTCCACAAGCAGAAATCCTTGCACTAAAGAGATGCTTCCATACTTCTGTAATGGAAACAAGCCTGAGTGAAGTGTGACTACTGAACACCTAAATCTACACAATACATTGAAAGTCAATTGGAAATGTGGCTGTAATTGTGATCACCTTTTAAAATTATCCTTCAGAGCATTTACAAAGACCTCAAATATGCATACAAAAAGACAATGTTGTAAAAGAGAGCCATGTGTAATATGGCTAGGTCTTCAAAGTACTCCTACATTGTCTAGCAGAGCCCAGACAGAATGAGATTTGCCCATCTGCTGTGGCATAATTTGTAGATAGACCTAAAGGGACCCCTGACCGTTAGGTCCAGTCGTGGCCAACTCTGGGGTTGCAGCGCTCATCTCACTTTACTGGCCGAGGGAGCCGGCGCACAGCTTCCGGGTTATGTGGCCAGCATGACTAAGCCACTTCTGGCAAACCAGAGCAGCGCACGGAAACGCAGTTTAGCTTCCCACCGGAGCGGTACCTATTTATCTACTTGCACTTTGACGTGCTTTCGAACTGCTAGGTTGGCAGGAGCAGGGACCGAGCAATGGGAGCTCACCTTCTGATCGGCAAGCCCTAGGCTCTGTGGTTTAAACCACAGCACCACCCGTGTCCCAATTTGTAGATACTCACTGTAATAGCACTCTTGCAGCCTTCTAAAATGTTTGACATACCCTGGCTAATTTGAGCACAAGGTGTCTCCCTGAGCAAAGGGATGAAAGCAATTCACAAGCATGACAAACTTGTCCATAATCGCCATTCCCTGCATGAGCCTATTAGCCACAGATCCACATTTTTTCACTGTGATCAACCCTCTGACCGCTCATAATGCAATAATGCATTCATTTATCCAGCTAATTACAAGCGCCTGCAATCAGCATGTGATGATGTGATCAAGGGAATGGGAATGGCTCGTGGTAAGTAACTCAAGTAATTACTCAACCATAGTAGACAAGCAGGGAGGCAACAAGCCAATCAGATGCTTAGTTGTCCATCCAATTACGGCTATCATTTACTTGAAAAATGTGAAGTCTCCCACTGTCTCCATCCTACAGGGGAACTCCTAGAAGGTGAAACTAGAGCTGTAATCCACTGACTGGACTATCCTTAAGTGAGCTATAGAATTGTTCCTGGATAACTGGTGTAAATGAACTCTGTTTGCAATCATCTTTCAGATCCCTCCTGCTTATTTACACATGACTGTTGGGTGAAACTAATGATTAACTTTGTAGGCAGCTGCTAGTTGTACCACAGGCAGGTGATTTGTCATCTTAGACCTACAAGTGGTTTTATTGCTAACCTATCTTTGTCCTACTCCCCAGCCCGCCCACCGAAAGTCAGCACTTCTTCATTGTATCCAGAAATGAGATCCATAACTTACAAAGCTGCACACTGATCAGACAAAAGATATTTAAGAATATAAGAGCCCTGCTGGATCAAACCATGGGTTCATCTAAGCCATGGGTAGGCAAACTAAGGCCCCGGGGCCGGATCCAGCCCAATCACCTTCTAAATCTGGCCCGCGTATGGTCCGGGAATCAGCGTGTTTTTATATGAGTAGAATGTGTCCTTTTATTTAAAATGCATCTCTGGGTTATTTGTTCTTTTTTCCCCCTTCAAAATATAGTCCAGCCCCCCACAAGGTCTGAGGGACAGTGGACCGGCCCCCTGCTAAAAAAGTTTGCTGACCCCTGATCTAGGCCAGAGGTGGTGAATCTTTTTCAGTCTTTGAGACATAGTCACCATTGCCCACCCATACCTTTTCAAGGAGTGCTTCCCAGTGATGGGTGTGGATAAATCCAAAAGAGCATGACTGCCCAACACACTCTAAAGTGCACACATTGCCACTCACCACGCACATGCATCTCTCTCTCTAAACACACACCAGTGCTTTGTTTTCTGGTGGTACTCATTGGCACACTGCCAGCAACTTAAAAATTAAATGAAATCTTGGCTTCTAAATCGAGCGTGTGAGGAGGGTGTGCCTTTTCTCCCATGCCCATGATGGCAAGCCCTTTGGCACTGCCAGCTCCTGTGGCACCACTTTGCCCTCCTCCCATGGCGGCACAGCTGTAGAAAGCTGCTGGGCTGCCACTGCACCCACCGCTGCTATTCAGCCAGCTCAGCAGGAAGCAGGTGGGCTGGGTTTATGGAGGCAGTGGCAGCCTTGCAGGACTCTGGCTTCCTTAAAGGCCTTGCAGATGGCATTGAGGCGGAAGGCCACACCTCCTGGCAGGGAGGAGCCCAGCTCTGGGTGCTCGGCAAACACTCGCCCCACACCGAGCCCAGCTTGCAGCACGGCCTGCCCAATAGCAGCTGCAGCCAGTTTGGCTGAGAAGGGTACTTCATTGTGAGTAACAGCACACACACACACACACACACACAGAGAGAGAGAGAGAGAGAGAGAGAGAGAGAGAGAGAGAGAGAAACAAAGCACTGCATACAGGCCACATTTACATCCTGGCTACAGACCACATGCCTCTCCTATTCTCTCACAAACACACTTCTCACACACTCACCCTTCTCGACAGCAGTGGTGAACACTTGTCCAGATAATTCGCCACACCACCAGCACTTTTCATTGAGAGCTGCAATAGTGGCAGCTTTGCCAAACCTTTTCCCAGAGGACAGGAAGAAAGAGAACCAATCTCTCCTAAATAGCGCATGGGCCCACCAGGAACTAGGAAGATAGCTCAGTGTTGCAGAAGCACTTGACAATGAGGATGCAGCAAGTAGCAGGTCAAACAGAGGGCTGTGGCTGCTGGCACCGTCAATAAAAATTCTGATCTTGGTGGGGGACAAGCACAACAACCCAAGCTCAACCAGTGTTTAATGCAATTTAGTTGTTTTTTTAAAAAAAATGCCCCACCAATTTGCCAAATCCTGGTGGGTCTTGAACAGCCAAGCTAAGAACACTTGGTGGCTGGATATGGACAATGGGATGCAGGTGAGCCACCCATGATACAGATTCTGTTTCACACAGTGATGCCTCTAGAAAGATATGATTACAATAACCCCCCACTATTGCTGCTACCCAACCATTTGAGAAGAGCATCACTTTAAAGGCAATAATTATCACTTCACCAATGTTCGTCTTGTTTCTGAAACCTTTCATCTTAAAATGCAGGATATGGCCTTTTGGTTTTGCCTCTGAATGTTTCCAATGAGATAGCCAACATTTTCAATAGCATTTTGTGCAACTATAGCTCTATGCTTCCTTTACGCTTCCTCACCGATTGAAGGAAGCCATGGGATAGACAAGCCTTTTACATGAAGCTCTTTTCCCCAGTCTGCATCAGTACTGGAACTGTTTTGATCTGTTTTCATTTTTTTGTATCTGGAACCACTTTTAATTGTTATATATGTGTGCATGATTCTGCTTTAAAAAAACAACAACCAACAACAACACTTTTCTTTTACAGTTGTATCAGTTTTAATCGTGTGTAAGTGTTCATATTATTGTTGTAACCCACTCTGTGCTCTTATTGTGAAGGGCAGTTAAGAAATACACCCCACCCCACCCCATTTTATATAAATGGCAGCTGGAATCAAGCAGCTGGAATTTTGATGGCTGTTCTAAGATCTGATTATTCCTTTGCATCAATAATTTTCCAGCCAAGGACAAAGTC